CGAATCTTGCCCGCATTTTCTTCTTTTGTCTTTCCGGTTGTCCATGGCGGACCCACTGATTTTGTTGAATCCGCAAAGCCACAATGTTAGAACGTGCATACAGAAACCACCTAGTCAATTGATGGCAGGCTGTTCACCAGTTCAAAGCTCACCGCATCACCAATCTCGCCAGGTATGCTGCCGTTTCTGCAGACCTGCACGACGTTGCCAGCAAAGCAATCTCAAGGATGAAGAATCAAATACGTCACAAACTAAATCGTGAGCACAACAATGTGCTCAAAATCATGGCTATGAGAAAACACATAATCTTCATGTTTGGCGAAACTTACGGGGACCTTGATGAAGAATTTGGATTGTTGTAGAAATCTATGTACTTTTGAAAATAAATTAATTACGGCTTTCATGCACGTACCACTTGTCTGATCGATAAAGTCCTTGTATTTTCTCAACAAACTGTGAATACCCAGATTTTTGTTTATCAAATCTTCACCCCTTTTCTTCTTTGGCACTGTACACTGCTCAGGTCTTCCCACAGAACGGCTTCCTTCCGCTTTATCCTTCAAGTTCTCTTTTGCACAGCAAGTTCACGTTCTTCAATAACGTTTTTCCTTGTCGTATCTTCCAGGCAGAAGTACTGAGCAGTCTCCAGTACAAGGCTAGACATTCTCCTCCAGATAGGTAAGAGGTGGACATCCAGAATAGCAGGGTTTATCAATGGAAGTCTGGAACAAAAGCGTTTCGGGCTTTACCTGAACACAGATATAGGACCCTTACCTGTTAATTTCGTTGGTAATTTCGTGTGAGCAGAACATTTGACCATCAGTTTCGGTGTATTTTCACAAAAATCTAAACTGATTGATCACCCGTACATATGTGGAATGGCTGTGGAATCTGCGTATAGGTGAGCCACACCGGTGACCACTCCTGATGCTAATTTTCTAAGTCTTTATACTGTTGGATGTACGACTTATCTTGCTTATAGTCTAATTATCAACATGGGCTTTTGGGTAGAGTAAAATAAGATCAACGCATTGTAATACTCGTCGTCTTATGGTTTCTAGCATCCTTTCCAGTCTGAAGTCTCAAAATTCACTGAGTGGTACCCAGTGTGATCAGAGGCATTATGCATCGGTGATAATCATCATGTTTTACCACCGTGGCATCAAAACTCCTAGCGCAGGCGAAAGCAACCTCGTTGCAAATTTCTGGAAGGCATTAGTTTTGGAAGCTTACTTGCAGAAGAATTTGCAACGACTTTGCTTCCGCAAACAGACCTTTACCAGGTCCAAGTAACTGGGCAGGTATGTCGTTTTGTCCACATAAACAATAGCTAATGGTATGAGCCTGAAAATACTTGAGGACCATATCTCTCCTGATTGAGTTCTGCTGCTATGAGTTATGCTAGAATGAACAGAATGAGTAGTAGAAGAAGAGCCGATGGGAGGAAAGGAAGAAACAGGAGGAATAAATTGATGACTGCTTGAGAGTCCAGTGGGAGATTCTCCAAAAACTAAACCGGTTCGGAGTTTCTTATCAACAATAAAGAAACCCTGAATCAAGTGTCAAATGCAGATATATTGCCCAGGTCAAGTTCCACAATTAAAGGATTTTAAAATAGGATCCCTCTTCACGTTTTCTGATAAACTTCTTATGGTAAAGAGAATGATTTTGACAAACATTCCAGCCAAAACAAATCCACTTTGAACAGAAGCAGAAGATTTTTCATCCAGCATCTAGAATTGTGTTCTTCGAAATCAAAAATGAGAAGAAGAAAACATGGTGGGGCGCTTCAAAACCATAGCCCCTGTTTTATCACACATCAGTGTAAGTGCAGCTTGCAGAGAAAATTCAAGCTCATTCAACATTCTTCTTGACCAAATCAGGATTTCAGTGGCTAATGAAGAATTAAATGTCTCAGCTTCTGCTGAAATTAGAGCTAGTGGTTTTCTCTCGAAAGATTTTATAATATCTTTGAAATGGGTTGAATTAGAGTCTTTACAAAAACTTAACATTAATTTACATCAGTCCAATATTACTGGTTATAATATATCTTTTCTATGTTCAAAAGCTACTTGTTGTCATCGTACAAAGATATGAAATGTGAATAACAGTTCAACGCAGTATTATCCATGTTGGATCTTTGAATTCGGGGTTACTCGGTGAAGAAACTAATCTAGATGCTGCTCGTTTTTTTTTTTGGCTTGAACTTGACTGTTGCACCAAATCAAACTTCAGACTTTTTTTATCTATTGGACTATTGCCAGTTCAACAATGTCCTAAGCATGAGGAATTGCAATGCAAAGGCTTAAACTACACCGTCCAAGCTGCACTACCTTAGACGAAGAAACTGTGGTTACCTGTGCGTGCGCTATTTGCTTCCGCATTCTTCAGCCTGTAACTTCATCCACCACACCACACGAACCAACTGTACCCCTGCAAATATACAAAAGAAATGATTACATAAAGTTAAATGCATGACATATGAATAAAGTGTTGCATGAGTTTCTTACTAATTTTGTACAAACATAAGTATGATTACTTTTCACTAGAGGAATTATAAATAAATTGAGTCACAAATATCTCATTTATTTATATAATAGGTTTATATTAAAAAAAACTATACTTCATATTATTATCATTGATATGAATTATATAATTCAAAGTATACTCAATAGGATCTAAAACTTACACTTCATCTTTATCGGGAGGTCAGTTTGAGACCACTGCTTTAAAGAAGAAGAAGATTATACCTTTTAAAAAACGTCAAAATAAGAGGGTTCTTTCTTTCATTTTGCTATAACGTCCATTCTTGGCAAATGTGAAACCTGATCAATCAAAAATTCTAATGGCATGTCCACTTCTATTGGCTTGCAACTTAACCTGAGCTTCTTGATAACCGAAAACGGCGCGTTTCCCGCCCTTTTGTCTAGCTGGGTGGCTGTCCAGTTCCTTTGACACCTAATTGTATAGCCTCCAATACTTTTGAGCGCTGCTGGACAATCCTCATAGATTGGATTGCATACTTGGTTACCCGATGCTATGGACAATCGAATACAGCTTTCTGTTTTTCACTAAACTTTTTTAAAACGCTTGATACTGATATTAAACATTTGGCTTTAGTCTTTGATGAAAAGGTTCCTTGCCGAACATGTTTACAGCCAAGTTAGGAAGGTTTTAAAAAACATCAGAAACAAAAAAAAGATTAAAATTAAAAGAAAAATACGTATAGAAAAATATTCAAACAATTATGCATCATACCATCAATCTTTTTTGAAAGAACAATTGCTAAATATACATTCTGATTGAGCATATAAGTTATATAATATATTATAATTGGCAAAGTGAGTAGAAAATACAATAATGATGATTGATTCACAGCGCTTAAACTATAAAACAATTATTGGCCACGAAATCACGATTATAGAAAATGATGCACAATATTTTTTCTAGTAACCAGCACAATATTGAAAATTCAATCAATCTTTCAATTTTCATTAAATTTTTGTTTTAAAAATAATTATCTCATTAGAAAAATACTCAAATACATAACAAAACATTTAGTCTGAATTTTTCAAACCATTTAAGGATTTATTTCAAACAAATTTTGAATTGAAAATCAAATAAAAAATAAATTTGAAGATTGAAGATTTAATACTTCATTGAACTTATAAAAATTTGCTGCAGGATAGATTATGCTCAAGATTTTCCCCACGTCACATCAACGAACTCATAATTAAGAAAGTTTAATAGGATATCTCATTCGTTTTGTTTATTAAATTCGGTTTTCATCTCAATATTACCTCAAAGGAAGGTAATCTATGAATGTTCTAAACCACAAAGATGATTACAAGTTGAGACGCAGTAGAGAGAGGCCACAATTGCGTTTCACAATGTTCGAGTTGAGAAAACCGAGATGGTGTACTGGAGATCTGAGATAAGCATCCACTTGTCCCTTTTGCAAGGGACAAGAGGATAGCTTCAATCCGAAGCATGTCAAGCGCGTTGATTGTGCAATAGTGCCACTTGTTTTCTGAAGTTGTACGTTGCATCTGTTTCTGTATATATTGATTTTTTAGGGTTGATTGACACTGGCCACCTAACTAACAAAAATTGAATCTCAACTAGGACAGATGAAGGCAACAACAGATATATATACTTGTATATATATTAGTCAGGAGTGTCACAGACAACCTTTTCTTTTAGTCTACACATCGATTGATTGATCGTGAGATATCGAAGGTCCTTTACTTGTATGTAGCCCCAGGGACGGTTGAGAACTTTTCAGAGAGCTACAAGTAGAAACAAGAGAAGAGGGAGGGAATAATGATTTGTCGAAAGATAACAAGTTGCAATTTAGAAATATATTCCCTACATTGAGTTCCAAGAAAGTTTGACCTTTAGCTGCTGAGCATGAACTTCCTCAAGAGTGTGGCTGGAGATCGAAAATTCTGGTAGATGCTCGAAGAGAAGACGCAAATGTGAGATCGAAGCGATTTATCGCCTCACGTTCATGTCGTCATTGAATCAGCATTACATGACAGCAACTACAATAGGCTGGCAAACGAGTACCCTTCACAATTCTACAGACTACAAGTACATTAGTAACGTCGTGCCTTTCATCTCTCACATCACGCCTGCATGTGTAGAAACGTAAGCCGTATAATCCAAAGTTGGAATGACGTGTTTCCTTGAGTGCATGGTGCTCAGGTAAACAATGTACTGGCTGTAGTGACACTATGCTGAACCTCTTCTTGTTGCCTGCAGTACTAGTGTTCGCATGATTATCTTGGCCGTATTGCACAGGAAGCTACTGTGGTTTAGTTCATCCTGCTGTAAGAAACAAGAAAGTGTGATTCTTGAAGAATATTGACTGCTTGCTTTAAGAAAGCTGTCGTCAGCCATCTGTGCAACAAAGTTTCTATCTGTTTATTTTTTACTTCCCACCAGAGTTTAGCCTTCTATGTAAGGTATTGAGAAGTGACGTCTATCTGTAGGCCATGGTTTCGATCGTTTGCTTTTGCGTGCAGTTCATGGTTATTTTGAAACTGTCTTTGCCTTTCTCTTTCAGTCCTATCTATACTTTTATTATGTCGATGGCAATGAACCTCTGTGAGGCTCTGTACTTCTGTTCCGTTACTTCCTATGTTCTTTTGCTCACTTACTTCATTACGGCTTTCATGCTCATAACACCTGTCTAATCGACAAAATCCTTGCATTTTCTCAACAAACTGTCGATGTCAAAACCCAGATTTTTGTTTATCAAATCTTCACCCCTTTTCTTTTTCGTTTCTGTACAGTGCTCAGGTCTTGTCACAGAACGGCTTCATTCCGCTTTATCCTTCAAATTCTCTTTTGCACAGCATGTTGGCTGTTGATTCTGCATATAGGTGAGCCACACCGGTGACCACTCCTGATGCTAATTTTCTAAGTCTTTATACTGTTGGATGTACGACTTATCTTGCTTATGGTCTAATTATCAACATGGGCTTTTGAGTAGAGTAAAATAAGATCAACGCATTGTAATACTCGTCGTCTTATGGTTTCTAGCATCCTTTCCAGTCTGAAGTCTCAAAATTCACTGAGTGGTACCCAGTGTGATCAGAGGCATTATGCATCGGTGATAATCATCATGTTTTACCTCCGTGGCATCAAAACTCCTAGCGCAGGCGAAAGCAACCTCGTTGCAAATTTCTGGAAGGCATTAGTTTTGGAAGCTTACTTGCAGAAGAATTTGCAACGACTTTGCTTCCGCAAACAGACCTTTACCAGGTCCAAGTAACTGGGCAGGTATGTCGTTTTGTCCACATAAACCATAGCTAATGGTATGAGCCTGAAAATACTTGAGGACCATATCTCTCCTGATTGAGTTCTGCTGCTATGATTTATGCTAGTATGAACAGATTGAGTAGTAGAAGAAAGCCGATGGGAGGAAAGGAAGAAACAGGAGGAAAAAATTGATGACTGCTTGAGAGTCCAGTGGGAGATTCTCCAAAAACTAAACCGGTCCGGAGTTTCATATCAACAATAAAGAAACCCTGAATCAAATCATCCTCATGAAGATCAAAATTTGGTCCCTTGTACGAATCTATTTTTTTCTTCAAAGCTGTCATTGATGGCTTTCCACAGTTCGTCGACACTTGTCTCTCGTGCAACTGCTCTATCTTCTTCCTTTTATTTCCTTGATATGCGATAGTACATTAGCTTAACTGATTTATTCTCTCTACACACGCTTTTGACGTCTCTATCTCCCCTATGGGTGCCGCGAGTTCCAGGGAACACAAAATAATATTCCCTATTGTAACAGAATTTTTTTTCCCAACACAGATCTTGGTGGCACATCTAAGCTGTCGCCAGCAGTCGAGTACTTGGGCGATTCTGGAACGGTAGTCATGGCAGGATGTAGATACTTCGACCGATTGGTGATTTTCTTTCAAGTTCTCTGGACGCTTGACTCCATCTGTCTCCGTGCAAGTTGTTCTAGGAGATGTTTATTCCATCATTTGCTGATTACTCTATTCCTAGATTTTGATGGAAAAGAAAGGTATAAATTTTGTGTTCAAACTCATGGACTCCATGCCAATCTGATTTAGAATGTGAGTCCAGTCGCCTGGTGTTTCCCTGGCTTTCAACTCATCAACAGCTGGTGGCGGACCGAATCAACTCATCAATCTTTAATCCGAATCAACTCATCAACAGCATGGCGGACCGAATCAGTTCTGATTTCGTGTGGGATTTTAATGTATCTCTTTTAAAATAAAATTAATAGGAAAAAATCTATATTCAAAAGGTATATGTTGAAATGCGTATTATGAAATAGTATATATTTCAGAAACACTTGTAAGAGTACACTTCTTACGGATGATACTACATCTATTATACAATTGACTGTTTAGAAGTAAAAACATGTGATCGAGTGGATCATCTAGTCAAGATTTTTACAATAGAAGAATGATTAGATGAATCTTGAATATGATTCAGTATTAACAACCTGTTGTTAACTCATGAGTTAAATATAAAATAGCAAACAATGATGCTAATGAATCTCAAAACCAGTGTTACGATTTTGAAAAAAACAAAGGATTTAATCACTGGCATGATTTTGCAACAATATATATAGTCTTCAAAATTAATGTTAAACATGTACACACAAATTTTTAAAAAATTAACATTTTGATTTTTCAAATAACCACCAAACTAGCCTTATTTACACATATCATCTATCTATCACGATATAAAACTCATTTTTTACAATTGATAAATACAACACCTGATTATCAAAAGAATTCAACAGTAAATTAGTAGTAAATAAGATTTAAGGTAAATTAATTATATTTATTAAATGGATGATTAACATTGTTAACTTATGATTGAAAGTCACCAACCATTTGTAATTAGACTTTTGGATTTCTGAATGAACTTTGTGCAAACACTCATGTCAAGAAATTCAAATGATCAATAATATTCGTTTTTGATATCGATACGACTATTGTATTATGGGAGTTTTTAGTGTATTTGTGATGTAAGTAATATGATTTAATCTTTTCATAAGATACGCATCAAATGGGGAAATATTAAAAAAAATATTTAGAAGTTTTCGAAGGCTATATCAATTTTATTCAATTTATGGCAAGTGGAAAATATATCTCTGAAGACTTGTTATGTTAAATACATCATGTAGAAATTATCTGTGTATCTCCCGTGTTTGAAAATCAAGAGTTTTTGTTTATTACATTCTTGCATTAAATCAATGAGATTGATTCACAACCCGATGAATTTTCCGGCGGTGCGTGGGCCGGTGGTGCAAAAGTTGGAATAGAAAATTTCCAACTTTTGCACATGAAACTCTACACCACGAAATAAATACAATTTTGAACAAGCTTATACAATATACATGTCATACATCTGATGCGGATTAAATGGACGGTGTGCAGGTCACCGTGTGGTTAATATTGACATTTACTAATGAATGTCATATTAAACGAAGAAAGTCTTAACTGATTCATCCAACTGGCAGTTACAGATGGTCCAGTGCAATGGCTCAAAATTATATAAAGAGTACAGTTGCAGTGAAGGTTCAAGTAAGTGAGAGCTGAGATGCAATGCTCTACTAAGCTGTGACAAAAAACAAGTTATGGGGGATCCTTTAGTCGAGAAACATGTGAGAATGCGTTTATTGTACAGTAAGTAACTTCAAAGTAGCAAGTTGCAACGGTTGTGAAGATTTTGACCATGTTGACTAGGCAGACAACCAGAAGCATGACTTGGATCTTTAATATGATAAATGAAGGAAACAACAATTCTAAAGCAGGTGCAACATAGAAAACCGATATAGTGTGTATGTAGTACACAAGTGTACACTACATATGGCGATTGAAATTACTAATTGAATATGCGACATTTGAGAATCATGAAATCTACTTGCAGTAAAAAGGACAGAAAAGGGGAAGAAATGATCTTTTAGATGAACAAAATATGAATAAAACCAGATATATTTTACAATCAACCCCATTTTATCAAAGGAAGTTTCTTGATGGAACCCGGGAAAACTCAAAATATTTAATGGGACAACAGGTTTCATTTTACCCTATGGACCCATACACTTCCCACTCTATACAGCAAATCAGTAGGTTATAAGAACATGGACTCCGGTGGCCGTCGAATGGGTCCCATGGGGTAAAGGGAAACCTGATGGGTCCTTCAAGACCCCATAGGGTAAAGCGAAACCCAAAGGGTCCGTTCAAGACGATTGAGTTTCCAACAGGTCCATCAAATAATTTCCTCCATTTTATCATGAAAGTCTCAGTTCTTATGCATGAACTTCCTCAAGGGATGTTGCCGAAGATCGAAAAATCTGGTACTCTAAGAGAAAAGAAGCAAATGACCTGAAATTAATGTCTGCAATGACTCAGCACTACCTCCAGGCAAATGCTATCTGGTCGTCAAAACTCGCAATCTCTGTAAGAACAAAGTAGAGTAAATTGATATCACTCCATCCCTCCTTCATATCTAGCATGCATATGCATAGTGTCTTTATCTTCGCACACATGTAGTATCTCTTCACTAAATTGTTCCGGAGACTTTCTACTATCTTTACATCATAGTTAGAACATTTCAAATTAGCCCTTCATGTCACCTTCTAAGCCAGCAAAATTCTAAATATTTAATCGAAAGCCAACTTGCAGCCAATTGCTTTTGGCGAGTTTTATGTGTGACTTAGTTCCCAGGGCCTAGACATTGAATGGTGTCGACGAAACTTGAAGATATTCTATTTCACTTTTCGTTAGATCTTTACACTTGGTGAAGTATTATCAGACATTTTAGAAGGTCCGACTAAGTATTTCGCTTGCACCACCTAGGATGCATGTTTACTTATTTGCTACTCAATCACATTCGTATCTTATTCATATTGATTACGGGGCAAATAGTTAAATGGACATATCTTCCATAGTTAGATGTACACTGCACTCCTTGAATGCATATACAAAGGGCACTTTCTCATCGAGCGCATACGAGGTGCGTCGTATGTACAATACACACACTTTATGTGTATTATACATTATCCACTGATTCACCAGGCTGTACTACGGACTATATCATTACTATCGGCTTGAATTCTACTCGGTAGTGGTCTAGCCCCATGTTGTAAGTGCCCCAATATAGAATTAAGTAACGGCGCGAGCAAAACCAGTTCATTCGTGCAGGGCTTTTAATGCTCTCAACTTTGCAGCAGTCGAGTCATTCGAGATTAAAAAGTATGATCATATACTCGTTTCAAGCTCGAAAGCTTGTTACTTCATGCATGTGTCTTTTCTTCTCATACTCATTCACAAAAAAATAGGAGCTGTCGAAGAGTACACTTTGCATGAACAAACTATCCATCTCTTTCAAAACAGTACTGATTGACTCAAATAACTCAAGTTATTTCAGTCGTGATCGCATAAGAAATCAGAAGTACCCTCTGGTGCACAATGAACAATGGATGTGTAGGTTGCAAAACCATAAGCATTCGGCAACTGGTCGTCAACTCGCAAATATACCTGCTTATAGATTGAGCTCTATGCAGTAATTCTTAAACATATGAACATATGGACATAATGTAAAGGCACTGATCGCAGCCTCTAAAAAAATGAACTCGCAATTGTTAGGCTCCTAAGGGGCGTCAATTACAAGCAAAAAAATGAAGAACTAGTTTTGGTGGGGAGTTGACTCTCACTGCAACATGGTCTTGCTTTCGCAAGGCCCAAGCAACACTCAAGAGGAAAATTTGACCACTGCGCTGTGGATGGCATCGGCAAGTTGAGGAACTGTTCGTGAGCTGAGGCCGGCCATACTGATCCGCCCGTCAAGAGGAAAATTTGACCACTGCGCTGTGGATGGCATCGGCAAGTTGAGGAACTGTTCGTGAGCTGAGGCCGGCCCTACTGATCCGCCCGTCAAGAGGAAAATTTGACCACTGCGCTGTGGATGGCATCGGCAAGTTGAGGAACTGTTCGTGAGCTGAGGCCGGCCATACTGATCCGCCCGTCCATAGTCATGTAGATGTGGTATTCCTTGGTCATGTACTCCACTTGCTGCTTGTTCAAGCCGGTAAACGTGAACATGCCAATCTGGTTGAGAATGTGAGTCCAGTCGCCTGGTGTCTTCCTGGCTTTCAACGCATCGAACAGCTGGTGGCGCATGCTGATGATTCGGTCGGCCATCGCTTTCAGCTCCACTTTCCACTCGTCGTAGAGGGCCGGGTTACTAAGAATGGTCGACACGATGGCAGCTCCGTAGGTAGGAGGGCTAGAGTACATAGGTCGAATCACGAGCTTCAGCTGGCTTTCCACACGAGCTGCGACCGAGGGGTCCCTCACCACAATGCTCAGGGCTCCGACTCGTTCTCCATACAAACCCATGTTCTTGGCGTAGCTCTGGGCGATGAAGGTTTCCCCGCCGTCGTTGACAAATCTGCGCACGGCAAACGCGTCGGTGTCCAAACTTCCGCTGGCGAAACCCTGATAGGCGCTGTCGAAGAAGGGCAGCTGCTGCTTGTCATTTCGAATCACCTTTCGCAGGCCCTCCCACTCTTCCTGAGTGAGATCCACGCCGGTGGGATTGTGTGCGCAAGCGTGCAGCAACACCACCGCTCCGTTGGGCGCTGCTCTCAAATCCTCGATCATGCCCTCGTAATCCAGTCCGCGGGTCTTGGGGTTGTAATATCGGTAGGTTCTGGTTTCCAACCCAGCGAGTGGGAAAATCTTCAAGTGGTTGCCCCATGTTGGAGAAGGAACGTAGATCACCTTGGGCCCGCTGTAGTGAGTGGCAAGGAACTCTCCGCCGACTCTCAAAGATCCAGTCCCAGACAAACACTGGGCGGTGATAACTCTGCCCTGTGCGATGGCCGGGCTATCGCGGCCGAGAATCAGCTCTGCGCTGAGTTTGTTGAACTGAGGAATACCCGTAATTCCCAAATACTCCTTGTTCCTAGCCCTATCTGCAAGAAGCTGCTCCTCGGCTTTCCGGACGACATTGAGCACCAGAGGTTTGCCCTCCTCCGTTCGGTAAGCGCCGACGCCCAGATTCACCTTCACGGGGCTCGGATCCTTGTTGTAGGCAACAGTCACGCCAAGAATCGCATCCTCCGGAGCTTGCTTGACATGAGCGAAGGACGATGCGGTCGCACTGGTGGGAGAAAACGCGATCGACCCGCCCTCCTCCATGCGGAAGTGCCGCGCAAGAGATGCAATTCGTCTATGGTGGACGGACTTCATCTTCGTCCAACAACACTTCTTCTACTTCTACTTCACTCACACCGCCGCCGCCCCTGTCCCTCGATGTGGATCGTCGTGGGCCGATAGGTATCTTCTGCTCGAGATCTGTACAATTCCTCCTCCCCCCGCTGGCGGATTGGCACTGCTTATGTAGGAATCGCAGAATGGATGCCAGTCGCGCTGGCTATCTTGGATCGGGGCGTTCTTATCCCAATGAACATCAATAGGAAAGTGGACTCAACTGCCGCCCGTGTTCTTTGACGATCCGAACAAACACTTCCCCCTTTTAAGCTCAGCAGTTGCGTTATCTACAATTAATTTTAGCGCGGGTGGAGTTTCCAAGCGGCCACCCTGCTTCCAGCAACTCGTCTTTCGTCGCACAGAGGAGTGTGCGATGCTTTGATTCGCGGGAATCTGGAGCGGGCACAGGGCGAACGGCAAGGGGAAGGGGAAGGTGAAGCGTGCACACATCGATGGGGAACCAGCGCAGGAAAGGTTGCGCCGCGATGGCCCCGCTCAACGTTTTCCGAGGCTAGTCTACGTGTCGCTTTCCGATCGGAGTCAGCGCTCTGTCCCTCGGTAGAACTGAAATGTCGTCGCTTGCTCTGTTTCTGGGATGAGTACGGTAGGCGCCCGTGCCCGTGCCCATGCCGGCCGTTCGTAGTCGATCGCCGGTGAGGTGTTTCCCCAAAGAGGTCCGTAACTTCGTGTCGCTTTCGGACACTGGGGTTCGGGTTCTTGCCACCTGGCCTTGAGCTCATGATTGCAGCCGTGCGAATGTCTTCACTCGAAGGCTTGGCATGTTCTGCATATATATATATACAGTAAGTACTACGACAGAAAGGGGACGGGAAGACCCCATCCCCTCTTAACATGGGCTAGGTGCCATAGGTGCCAGTATATTTTATTTCACATATATAGGTTTAGATATGTGTGTGGTTATTCTATATTTCCGATTTTCGTTGGTTTTTTTTTCATGCGGCTCTAAGTCTGTCTGGTTTCCTTCGAGTAAGTTTGATACTTCCTTTTACACTCTCGTCAAGCTAAATGTATAATATTCATTTCGTTCAATGAGCACTTGACAAATCCTACTACATATTTTGAGTGTCATTGCAAAGAAATCAAATTAATGAACATTGATGTATGTATTATTTTGAAATTTTATTATCTTTAGAAAGATAGAACTTCCTATTGCTAAAGTTTGAACATATTATATATTATAAAATTTACTTTAAATATAAAAATATTGATAGTTCGATATCCATTTATATTCCCACTTAAACATCACTTTACGAGAATTATCATAAATCACTTAAATATTACCATACTCTATTCTACTTTCAAGACATCCCCCAAGATATATCAATTATCATCACCCACATATTAGGCTTGAGTCAAACTCAGATCTTTGGCAACTTTTTAAAATGACATAAATCGAATTTTTCACTAAATCAAAATACATTTGATTCAACAAATCCATTTAATTTTACTTGATTTTTTATTAAAATTTATAAAATATCAAAGATTTATATCCAAATTTTGATTTTGAATTTTGATGAAATAATTCTTATGTTCAATTAGAAATTCAATTCATCCTTAAAATATAAATTTAATAGTTAAACTTAATAATTAATATAATCACAATATAATATTTTATTTTTTTTATTTTATTTTATTCAATTCAATTCATAACATACACATCCATGAGTCATACAAGCATATTCATGTTTTTCGAAATTTAGTAATGAAGATTATGAAGCATGATGCATTGATTTGTTACATATCTCATACATATTAAAATTATGATATTTTTCTCATACTTTATAAAAAAAACTGCAAATTCATGTTAGACTATGACCATGCTTATTATGGAAATAAAAAATACAATAAAATACATTTTTATACTTAAAAATGAATACATATATTAAAGCTTTATTATACAAAAGTGCATAGCTCAATGTATGTAATAGCACTATACGTGTTAAGAAAAAAGTAGCAAAGAAGTCAATTTGGTTAAAAAAATTTACTATTTTGAATATCATTTGAAATACTTTTGAAAGTTATAATTTTATTTCAAAAAATATTAATCAAAATTTTCAAAACTCACATAATTTTTTGTGAAACATTTGTCATCTGAATGTAATCTATATTTGATAAAAAAAATTGCAAATATTTTTTGCATAAGTTGCATAGTATATTAAATCATCTAATTTAATGTACAAATTTGAGAATAATTATAAAAAGATTTTTTGATAATAGTTTTAATAAGCTTAAAATTATGCATTGATTATAATAGTTTGTTCGTAAGATTTATCATTTTGCATCTAAGAATAATGATTAAAAAAGTAATCTTATGTTCAAAACAATCTTCAATTTGCAAGTGTAGTAAAATTTAAAATTGAAGTTCTGTAAATTGTAATTTGATTATGTATTAGAGTGGACTTTGTATGAAATCTTATTATTTTAAAAAAAGGAAAGATTTTTCAAATTTCTCATAAAGACATTGATAAATCTTCATACAACTATGTTGTTGAAATAATTTCTGGTTTTTACAAATCAACTGATACAACATAGAAAAATACCTTTAATACAATTTGAGTAGATTTGAAATAAAACAATTTTTTAAAAAAAATTTAATTTTTGACAAATCTCAAGAAGTTGCGTCAAAGAACAAAATCTAAGGAGATTACTTAAAAAAATCACAAAATCAAATAGTTATAGACTTCATAAGCTGTAAAATATAGGTTCATTTATGCATTTTTAAACTAACAATAGCGATATCAATATGTTTTTCTTGAAAAAATACCTTAAATCTATAAAATAGCCTAAAATTCTATTAATAAAATTGAGTAAAATATTGATATCAATACAATTTTTGATGAATATTAACCTAATGAAACTTCTAAAACATCAACTTTGTCAATCCGAGATATGTTAGACAGTGATAGACAAACATGCAAATCTACCAAAACAAATACACATAGTCGTAATGTGATTCATACCTTTTAGTACTTCGTCCACAAGAAAATATATTACCATAGTGAAAAGCAACATTGATACATTCCCGAAGCCTTGGATATATATATATATATATATATATATATAATCAACACAGGCAATAACCTAGCTAAAAACAGTTAACACTTGAGTTTACACCTTAATCGGAGTTAAATTTAACAAATCTTTAATCAAATACAAATGAGTACAGTAGTTGAAGAATATCCAACAAGTAAACATGATTGTATCTTAAAATTCATGTTCACATTCAAAACTATATATAAAAAAGAATAAAGTGTTTTCATTTATAACAAAGTTTATCACAACTTGATTTGTGTTAAAATATGTTTCAAATTTTTGATCCACTTAAATATGTTGACATAATATTTTACTATGTAAATTTTAACTTAAAATGTACATAAGAAACTCATTTTCTTTAAAAATAAAATCATAAAAAACTTGTTTGTAGATTACTAAAAATTTTATGTGGGTTGATTAAAAAATTTAATTTAGTTCAATATATTTGAATAAAACTAACGTAAGATATGTTATATGTATATTATGATAGTCAAAACACATTACATTCTTAAACAGATCAAATGATGAATAATGAGAATAACCACATCAAAATCCTATATCACATTATGAAAATGTATTTTGTGATAAAAAATTAAACTAGTAAAGATTGATGAACAATTAAATGTACTTTATGCATCAATCAAGATTATTGCTTTAGGAAAATTTAACAAAAATTGTGTATTTTTGTAGTTTTCTAGTAAATACAATAAATAAAACTATTTTAAAAATTTTAAGTTATTTTCTTAAGTAATTTTATTATGATTATTTTTTGAATCTACTTAATTCTAATTTATAAAAATAATTAGTTTAGATTTTTTCAAGAATATTTTTCATAATTATCATATTTTTTTAAATGTATATAGATTCCAAAACATGAATCAAGACAAAGATTTTCATATATCAATTCAAGTATTGTTGAATGAAGTTATTGTTGCTCTAGTAACAAAAACCAAAATCTGTTAATAGTCTTTAAGATAATCCATCATAGTTTTCAATGACATATATTTTAGGATTATTATTTAAGTTATAGCTCTTTTAGCAACAAACCAGATTTTTTTTATCAAGTTGATTAAATTTTTGCCTAGATAATATTTAAATTTCTATCCAACATTTTGTGGAGGTCAAATTTTTTTATTTTTTTTCCTTGTTGTTAGATTAAAAAAATCAGTTGGTTGCTCATTATATTGACTTTTGATAAAAATAAATTACATCAGAGTAAATTTAGCTTGTGAAGGTATAGTAAAAAAGTCATTAATTAAAATGACAAATAACTCTTTTAGCTGGATTATGTGAGTAGATTAATTATCTTGATTTGACTGACAAAGAAAATTACTTGATAAGATACCTGGAAAACTCAAATTACTTGATGGTTTTATTTAATCCGATGGAACTCCACTCTACGGCCAAGCAATTCATCATGAGCAATGTTCCAATAAATTTTTGTATAACCTGATAATTTTCAATATAGTGTGGAGAGTGTCTGCTATAGGATTTTGTCATAATTGCAACCAAGAAAAACTTTAAGAGCTTCCTATCCGAAATAAACCCCATATCCTATTGGAACATTGCTAACGGTGGGTTGTAGGGCCGTCAAGTGTGTACCATCAGGTAAATTGAAACATGTTGGATCTCATCAAGTTTGTTGAGTTTTCTTGGGGTCCCATCAAGTAATATACTTTTTTTTCTCATGAGTAAGAATATTCATTTTGTATCTTATAAATTTCTCTTCATTCTTAGAAGTACATTGATAAGTGGACATACATTTCAATTTTTATTTTTTTCTAAAATACCTATTTGTTACTAAGTCAAGTATTATGTGATTAAACAGATCATATATTTCAAATCAATCAAATCAAATAAAAATTAAGGTGTGATAAAAAATTAAATGTAAATTTGATTAAAAAAAATAACTCCTAGCATTTAAAAAATTTGTAAGATATTATGCTATGATATTTAACTGAAGATTTAATAGCTAAATCCAGTTTTAATTATATAGATGACTCATCATTAAAATATCAAAGTATAAATTATAGTTATTTATACAACTAATGCAATCATACAATCAAATATGTTAGAGTTCAAAGTGATGATTTAATTTTGCTACAAATGATACAAATTAATTTTGCAACTGTAAATCCAAAGTGATGAAAAAATTTATATAAGTGTTGTTACAAAGTGATTTGATTAAAAAAATAAAATTTGAAGTAATTTTCAAGCAAATACTAAAAAAATTTGCTCAAAAGGTTAAAAATGAATAACAGTTGTGTGTAATAAAATAATGAGTACATAAAATTTATAATAAAAATATGAAAAATATTAAATAAATTAAATACAAAAATTGACAGTGTTATAAAGATTGATGAAATGATAAGATCCAAGATTGATGAAAAAAGTTATAAAAAGAGTTAAAAAACAAAGTTACAAGGAGCTTTAACTGATAACAAATTATGTCAATTTTTTTTATCAAATAAGTTAGAAAACAAAAACTCATCAATGAGAAGTCAAAATTTCATTTTGACATGAACTAGTTAAAAAGAAGAATTACATATTTTTTAAAAGGAAGGAAAAAAATTCACACAAAGTGGAAGGTAAATTTAAGGGCTTTGAGAACATTTTAAAAGATTACAAAAGCTTTGTAGAAATTTTGAATGACTTAATGTTATTACTTAATATTTAGAGATTGCAGTTTCATCTCTCTGAATAAAATCTAAGTGCAAGCTAGTAGTATCGAGTTGATAAAAATTTAAAATACAAATATTACAATCGATCGTGGAAGAGTTTAATTATGAAATTTGGCAAGAATTTTCTTTCTAAATAATTTTTTTTAAATAAAATTCAGATTTTAAAATATATTAGTGGGATTAAATAAAGAAATTTAAAAAAAATTCAACATATTTTATTTAAAAAAATTCAAAATATTTCAATATGTGATACGGTGAATGATTTGAAAATGTTGAGGGAAAATATAAAAGAAAATATTAACGATAAACTATAATAGTATGATAGAATAAAGTGAAATTTTTGTGAAATTTGGTTGAGATAAATTGAATCAAATAAAAAATTTCACATATTAATTTTTCTTTTTTTAAAAAAATTTCATGACAAAAAAATTCGAAAAAGACAAGTATACAAAGAACCCAAAAGAATGTTTAACATCCAGAGATTCAGATTTTGTGTGAGTGCCGTCTCACTTTAAATTTAGTTCAGATGAATTTTGATAGCTCATTAGATCTAGATTGACAATATTTCATTTTCATTTTCAACTTGTACACGAATCTTTTCAATCATTACTCAATACAAAATTTCAAATACAGTCAAACTTACAAAGCAACTTAATTAATTAACTTATGAAAAGAATTTGTAGACCATTTTTTTTGTAAATTTAAGTGACAGTTGATATTTAATTTTCTATATGTGTGATTTTATGTATATATTCTATAATTATATATATTATATAGTATTATATATTTCATAATTAATTATCATTATCATTTCATTTCATTTCATTGAAAACAATTAATATCATGAATTACTTTAAAAAATATTAATTTCCACTAAGTCAAACTAATATATAATCAAATCAATCAAATTCTAATATTTATGATTAGGAATCTAATATCTGATTCTTTCATAATTTTGCAAAATATTTAAAATACACTCAAGTTATATTGCCAAATAAAGATATAACAACTCAACTTACTTGGTATCATAATAACCATAGTCATTTCTTAAATTTATTTACAACAAATAGATCATATAACTAGATGCATTGTCATTTAAATTGACTAAAATCATAAAAAAAATAAAATTCTTAGCAGTCTAATATACAACTGATAATGGATTACTCTTTGTTGAGGTTAACTTCAATTAAGGAGTAACCTCGGGTCCTAGCTATAAATAACTTGGACGGTCGTCTGGACTAGGGATAAATACCTCGGGGCTCACCTTGTACAATGATTCTTTCGTGACAAGATCTAAAGAGAAGATGTTCGTGTTCTTGGTGACGTAACCCTCTCCCCGAGGGTGAACCATGTTATATTGTGTGTCTCAAATATGGAAATATTTGAGACACACAATATAACATGAGGATTTTACTATGACACTCTTGATGTTTTAATTGCAACCTAAAACAGAGATTTATGTTTTTGTATTTGCTGCTTCCATCGAAGACCATTTATTAGTTTTCAATGACTCAATCACTTTATCTCATAATTTCCACAATGCATTCATTGAATTATTTCGCATACATGAGTAAAATCTGCATACTGGCTCCTTAGTCTTACACAAAATCTGAATCAACTTCCCAATCCAATTCGAGTCAAACTTCCAACCAATGTACTTTCATCATGCTAATAGGCAATCATAACTATTTTTGAGACAATATTGTCAACCATTATGGCTGTTCAATCTTCAACTTTTAATTTGGGTTCAAATTGCACTAAACGATTTACCAAGAGATAGTTCTTGGAGACTTGACTTGTAACCTGGTATTTGAAGCTTATAATTACACAAAAACAATATGGTTTTACTTTAAAGTAAAATATGATGTGATCCTCATATATTTTCCAAGACATTCGTGATCAAATATCAAGATTTTGCATTGATTTTTACAAGATTTGGACTTTTTGCTTAATTTAATTCTGTTACCATCAACAACACTCATGACGTTTACATTTAGAGACTACAAGTCATCTAGATTTTTTTATATAATGCAAGGAGTTTATATTTTAAGTTTTGTTTATAAGATCCAATATTTAGAGAGTTTTCCATGTTGACATAGGCTTAGATGGTTACAAAATGTTAGTAATGTTGTAATGAAATTTTAAAGAAGTTTAAGAGTTGTTAACTTTAAATATCGATTTTTAAAGTAAATATACATTTTTATTAAATATACATGTGTATTCCTATAACGTTAAGTATCGATTTTTGTACATGTGTATTCCTCGTTAAATTACAATAGTTTGTACAGAACTATTTTTCTATCCATACCATATGCAAGGAAACTTTCAAATTTGAAAGTGTTACATGATTGTGTTGAGCCATTTATAATGAATAAGACTTCAATGAAGAGAGATAGTGGGAGCTATCAATTAACAAACATACTACACACCTAGACAAAATTGTATACTACTCCTGAGTTTGTTACTTGAAGACAAAAATATGATCATAAAGGAGAGAAAGATGCAAATAAAGTCACGAAGTATTTATTGTCATGAAGTATATCCAAATTTGCAAGATTTGTGAAAATGAGAAAGTCAGAGATGGTGAGATTGTTTGCTTTCAGTTTTCACAAAGCCTTGGTGTAGAGGATGAGAATTATGCGACCTCTTTAGCTGAAACTAATAATCATTGTGATTGGCAAATATGAACTCTAAGTCTTGAATAAATAATAAAGCTAGTGAATCCAATCCACACCATCACTAATATGGTTAAACTTGTGGGAGGCAAAGGAGTGTTTGTTACAATGATGGTAAGATCTCTAAATACAGATAAGACTTGTGATTAGAAGTGATGCAGTCATGCACTGAGCTTGAAGACACGCCGTGCGGTATGATAGATTTAATGGAATGTATGTACTTACAAAATCCTGAAGTTGATAGAATGGCACAGTAAAAACAAAGTTTGTCGATGTTGTTATAGCATGGTCTTGATACAAGTTGGATACTAATGTAAATATAGAGGTCAGTGCAAGTTTAAGTTATGAATGTAAACCTCAATTACAAGCTAGATGCCTCAATACGGACAGATCCATGTATGACGAGCCTCAAAACATGTTGTATCTAAGTATGGAGGATTCCTCATTACAAGGTCGTAAGAATGGTGATCATGAACATGTATCTTAGTCAAGCATAATGAGGAGGAAATTTCCATTTTAGGTGTGTTTTAGATGATCCTAACCTCACCGGCAGAACATTGCCATTTTTTTGATTGCTTATGACATCAATGTGAAGTTTGAAATAGAGGACCTTGATGTTGTCTCATTTTGTCTAAAATTGCATCTCACTCAGATTTTAGAAAGAATTTCTGTTCATCAAGATATATTCGGGTTAAAATACATCAGAGCCACTTTCTTTACACATTTCTCCGCTGTTGGATTCACACATGGTGGTTTGTTGTTCAAATCTACATAAGACAGAATACGTGCGTTGCGATGAAGGGTTTGGATGGATGTGTATGACCTGCGATTCCACACTTAGAATGGATTAAAGCACGTCGATGAAAATTCTTAGATTTTTCGAATGTTCTAACCTTGATGATTAAGATATATCAAGTTATGTAAGACATACAAATAACTGTGACGCTATTGGGGCCTAGCCTTGTGTTAACCGTGGGACTGGATGGTTTTCTATCCTTAATCCCTCGATTAGTATGTAAAATAAGAAAATGGACGCCTCTGGATGCGAACTCTAACGCTCTCCTTTTCTACATTTGGTCCCAAAAACCACCCAACCCCCAGATGGCCCAGATCGCTCCATCCCTGTCGTCCAACGCATGTACATCATCGCCCGAGGTTTAACTCTACCTTCGGTTTGGGATTCCTCAACTCAATCTAATCAGACAGATTATTAATTTTCTGTGTATGTAATTTTCTGCGCAGCCTTACATTTAGAACAGAACCCCAAGCTCTTCCTGCGGATGATAAGAATTCAGAGTGGACAAAATCTTACGAAAGAAAATCTTCCAGCGATATGAAAGAAATCATAATGTCAACAAAAAATGTCGTCGCGTTCTTTACAGACGAGGAGACCGCGATAAATGGAGTAGTTACACCAATCCCTGGAAAAGAAGGCAACGAAGAAGGGCCTGGTAAAAGTGGCAAGGCCGGGAATGGCTGTGGGCACTTTTTACCTTCTGCATTGGGAATTCCTCCGTCCGCTGTTTCTGACCCAATCAGTCAGTGAGATTAGCTTTCTTACACGAGCTCCTCCCTTCTTAACGCCTAACTAATGCTCTAATCTGTGTAGGAAGCGATTCCTTCGATGTAACTTCTTCGCCGGGGCCGTTCATTTGTTGTGCTTAATTCGGGTTGGAATCGCGTAATTAGTGTAATTCTAGATGCAATGTCGGCCCGGTCTGCCCGGCCTCGTAATGCCCGCCCGCCCTCTCGCCCGCCCGCTCCGTTGGAGCGTCGAACGTCTGTTCGCTGCAACGGAGCCATTTGAAGTGGAGCTCGAGCTTCAGGTGAAGGAGTGCGCGTTCGGCAGGGAACGAGAGATTTCATCGGCAGGAGCTGCGGCAGGCAGATTGACCGATCGATCGAGCGATTTGGCGTGCGAGTGAGTGAGGGAAAGATTGGAGCTATGGCGGGAGCAGCAGGAGCGCTTTGCGCAGCCGCCACCAGCAGCTGTGCGACCACTGTGAGATTGGGCGCCACAGCCAGCGCTCGTCTAGTATCGTCGTCCTCTGCCGCTGCTTCTTTCGCTCCTCAGCATTACTTCGGTGGGCTTCGTCAGTCCAGCTCCCTTCATGCCTCTGGCCCTGCCCGCCTCAGAGTCGCCAATGTGGAAGGCTCTTCTCGCTCTTTCACCTCTGGTAAAATTCTGTCTTGATCCCTCGTCGCCTTTGATAGATCTTCCATGCCTGGTTTAAAAGTGCAGAGGGTGTACCCTACCCTCGTGGACCTCACGCTCCGGGTTGAAGGGTGTCAGTTTTGATTCCGATGATCAAATTCTCATGTGCACACATTGTAGCGTCTGCTGCCACTCACTTGAAGTGGAGGCTGGGAATGGGATTCTTTTCTGCTGCATGGTGCAGGAAGAGAACGAGTCAGAGGACTCCTTGCTTCCGAATGTTTTTGAATATTCACTGTCTCCACTGGCACCGATGGATTCAATTTTCCTCAAAAATGTCATACCATCCGAAAATAGAATGTGCTTAAATAAGGTCCTTGAAGCTATGCTCCACATGGCCGTCAGCCGTCATTGGAATGCTTATAAGGTCGTTGACAATTCGATCACGTGGGAGCATAAGTCCAGTGGTTTTTGGTGTCTTGAGAGTGAGATGAATTTCACATTCTTGAGGTGACAAGGTCCCCAGCATGGTGAAGAAGACAAGAAATATTGGAGTAAGGGTTTTGCTGAATTGTACCACTGTAAGCTCCTGCACTCTACAGCATATGATTGATGTGCTTCTTAGCCGATTGTACGATCAGTAAATCATTGGTGTTAATGATGTAGGTGTGAAAGCTCAGGTTGCCACCACCGAGACAGCTGCCACAGAGACCTCCAAATTGGTTGAGGCTCCAGTAACCATAGTGACAGGAGCGTCCAGGGGAATCGGCAAGGCTGTTGCACTTGCTTTGGGTGCAGCTGGTGCCAAGGTAGGAAAGTTAGCACTCGAACTCTCAAGTTTATCAAGAATTCTGAAGTATATCAAGTATTCTACACAGGTTCTCGTAGACAGTCCTCTCTTGCACGCTGGTTGTCTTCTTCTTGCCTGGGTTGGATGTTCAAGTAAGGTTTTTGTTTTGGTCACCAGTTTTCTGTGCGTCTCATTGTTTGGTTCGTGTTGATTCTCGTTTATGGCTTCCTCACTTCATTGTTTGTATGTTAGGTCTTGGTAAACTATGCACGCTCCGCCAAGGAGGCCGAAGATGTCGCTAAACAGGTAAATACCAAGTTCCCCGTAATCAAAAACCGGGTTTTCGCCGTGATATTTTTTAAAGTGACCTTATCATGATTTGCTCATGAGGTGTCTGACCTGCTGTATCTTCGTTCATTCAGTGGAAATTATTCCTACAAGATTGGTGTTCATTATCTTATGTGATAGAAGAGTATCATACTTTTCAGCAAGTCGAAGTTAGACAGCGAGGATGGTGTAGTCATATGCTCTCAACAATGTGCGTTAGTTATTGTACTTATATAAATATTTTCTTGTTACCAGTGAACTTCTGACAGCGGAGACAACTCTTGCTTAACACAATTGTTGATTGCCATATAAATGATTCCATTACGGATTCATGTTTGCAGATAGAGGAACTCGGTGGATCAGCAATCGTGGTCGGAGGAGATATGTCTAAGGAAGCCGATGTCGAAGCCGTTTTCAAGGCTGTAAGTACTGCAGTCATTATTTTCCTTCTCCCGGCGCCCCGACTGTGGACGTTTAGTTGTGAATTTCGTAAGGTCTTTGCGGATGGCCACGAGCATTGTCTGATTGTTCCTGCTGTGTTGTCTCGTGCAGGCAGTGGACAAGTGGGGCACAGTTGACATTTTGGTCAACAACGCAGGTATTCTTCTTCCTACTTTCTTTACCTACTTTTTTTAATAGGCCAAGGAATTTTAAACGAAACACTGACTTGCCATCCATGTATAACTTGTTTAGTATCCATCTTTTATTGTAACCACGTTAAACGACCAGCAAGGGATCCTTGAATCTGCTTCGCCGGCATTCTTCAAATTGCATCTTTTGTAATTGCTGGCAACGACCAACCAATTCGGCTTGCTGATCCTCAGGTATCACGAGAGACACACTCTTGATGAGGATGAAGAAGTCTCAGTGGGACGAAGTTATCGAGCTGAACTTGACCGGAGTTTTTCTCTGCACACAGGTGAGTGCGAAATACCTCTTTAATATAATTACGAAACTCTTGTTCAAGCGTGCCGAAGAGTGCAATCATCATCTGCAATGTAACGTGCAACTTTTGTCTAACTTGCCGTTGTGGAAATGATGTGTTGCTGATGGTGCACAGGCAGCTGCCAAGATCATGATGAAGAAGAGGAAGGTATATTCTTTTCCGAAAATTGTAATCGGATGTGTTGATTCCCACGTTTTTTGTTCCGACGTAAGCAGCTGTCAGTTTGTGGTGGGGACACGATACATCCATGGATTGCATTATCCACCAATCTGAGATAAGTTTTATGGTTTTAGGGACGAATTATCAATATTTCATCTGTAGTCGGAGCGTCTGGAAATGCTGGTCAAGCCAACTACGCCGCTGCAAAGGCAGGTGTGATCGGGTTCACAAAGAGCGTTGCGAGGGAGTACGCATCGCGAAACATCACTGTAAGACACTTGCTTCCACATGGCTTTGGATTTCTGTTCAGCCTTAAACGTTCAACAATTCTGCACACGAAACACCCTTCTATCTGAGTTTCACCTAAGCTGTATATGAATAATTCCAGGTGAATGCTGTGGCACCTGGATTCATCGCATCTGACATGACAGCCAAACTGGGAGCTGATATCGAGAAGAAAATCATGGACACCATCCCACTTGGTGAGTAGTAGTATTACTACCTAAGTTTAACAGCAGGCTAGAAATGAGAACTTTTCTCTGCACTAGTGCAACGCTTTTTGAAGCCAATTTATCAGCATGATTCAAGATGCAGAGTTACCTTAACCTCACATCAATAGTTGATCTCTGAAAACAGGAAGGTATGGGCAAGTAGAAGAGGTGGCTGGAGCTGTGAAGTACTTGGCTCTAGATCCTTCTGCAGCTTACATTACAGGCCAGGTATGCAATATGTTTTTTCTGATTGCCAAGTTAACCAGTAAGCCTCCTAGCTATGTCCTAATCTCTGCTCAATGTTGTATCTTTGTAGCTTAAGTTTTAGCCAAACGGTCAGGCCTTGTCAGGTTAGGACACATTGTAAGGTCTGATATGAAAAGTTGAAGTCTTCTCATAGGCCTGACCGTGGTAGGCCTGTGGTTGTCACAGGGAGTTCATACCTCGGCTGAAAAGTCTAGCGCATATTTTTGATTTTTGATTTTTGGAAGATAACCAATGATTAAGGAGCCATCAACGCGACCTCATCTGACAAGAATATTGTTTCTGTGCAGTGCCTTCACATCAACGGAGGTATGCTCATGCCTTGAAAGAACGTAACTTGTTGTCGTCAAAGAGGAAAGAGGTTTGCACGTGCTGCGTCATCTATTGAGAGGGAGTCTTACCTTCCGGCGAGGAAGTTACACACTTCGAAGAATCCTGAAGGACAACTTCACGGGAAAGATCAATTTTGGAGAAAGTAGACTGACGGACGTAGGGTCAGCTAGTATCGTCTTCTCTCATTAGACTAGTTGGTACCATTGTACTGTCATACACCCGAGTAAAACTTGGTCATGTATTAGGAACTAGCCATTATTACTTGTGCTATTGCACGAATGTATTTGACCGGTGCCGCGAACGAACCTTTTCTTGGTTTCGAGTACAATTCCTTGTGTTAATCTACATTCAGCGCCCATGAATGGTGCAAAAAGTATTGAAACTTTATATCTCCTCTGGCTCGGGCTGTGTGATGCATGCAAGTCAGTTGTTCTCAGTGGTTTTTTTAATGCGACAGCGAACTTGGTGGATGAAGTTTTGTCTCAACACTTAACAGCTTTTAAGACTGATGGATTCTTTTCATCAATGTTATACACGTTCGACTTCGGTGAATAAAGGTGCTGTCGTACTCGACGAGTCGCAAGAAAGGCTGGGTTCGGAGTGTCAAGAGGAAATTGTTTCAAGTGGTTCTTGTGCGCTGGATGGTCCGTGTCATCATCACGGTAAATCGATACTTGGAAATCCAACCGACAAGCTCTACAGTACTGGTTCTGCCCAATTTTGTTCGTCAGGAGGGAGTGGTTTCCAGAGCCTCCGAACGAAGCCATAATGAACCCTATCCAAATGCAGAAAAAAAAAATGGTTAGCTTACATACTGTCGTAAACCAGCCTGTTCCAAATCGGAGAAAGCGTCTCAGTACCAGATCTCCAAGATAAACCCCTCTGTCCCTACAGTCTAGGATTTATCTGATTGGCATAATGCGAATAACTGACTAGTAAAGTTATCCTGTATATGGGGAAAAAGTAAATGTATTCGAATAGCCGAATATCGTATGGTAGATGTCATTGTCAAGTCTAAGGTGGATAGGATTATATATATGTATGTATGTATGTTTGAGCTACACACGAAAATAAATCGAAAAATGATGAGAGTTGAAAATCCTTGTCACTTTATCTAAAAAACGGGTACCCTATTCATAACAACAACGAAAAATTTGTACATCTGAGGCCCCAATTACCATTTGCTTTGATTACTGCAACTCCCTTCAAGTCTTTGACAATGACCAACGATTGTGTTGATCACTAACTGAGTTATGTCATGCATTGACTTTTGGTTTGCTTCCGGTAAGCTTGATGGTAAGCTTTTCATCTATTTTGGAAAATTAGATTGGCCTGTTCAATCTTGTAATCTCTTGCAACGTACATTTATTTATTTATGTTGTTCTTTATTTGCAATAAGTCTTTCAAGAGAACATGATTTTCAACATTTATTTCGCCGCATGTAAGTCTCCACAGTCATTTGTATCTCATATATCTGCTCCATCATACTCAATTATAGCATCGCTTATTGCCGAAGTGGATTCAATATGGTAAGAATCATCTTCCGCAGACTCACGGGTCACCGTTCAGCGAGAATATGATCCCATAGTTTTGCCCAATGATTTTCGAGCACCCTGCTCTCCAGAAGCTTACAAATGCAATTCAACCACGATTTAATGAATGCGTTCCGTAAAGAGGTCAAAAGCAGCAGTTTACCGACTGAGATCAGCCCTGGCAAACTTGTCTTCCTTTCTAAGTCGAATCACATCCACGAGCAAAAGATTCCTCATTTGTCCATCAACATGTTTGTTTCGGCTGTTTCCCAAAGAGCAGATGTCGTCAACGACCTGCATGTTTGCCTAATGACAAGCCAGCGTGAGCAGACGCTGAAGGTTTCCCATAGAAGTTGCACAACAGAGTGCCATTTCCTACAAGAACATTGACAAACGAACAGAGTCAACCGGGACACCACGATGCAGTGTCCGGGGCCAGAGTAGGACGACTCTGTAATCGGTGCAGAGGAGGACATCGATTTGTCGATTGTAGTAGGTTTGTAGGTCGTTTTCAGCTTCGGAATCTGAAGTTGCCCATTTTGAATCATCACTGTTTTTCAGCCAGACTGATTCATACTCTCGAGGACAAGATTTTGTGGACGAAATTTCCGAAATTGCTTGTGTAGGATTGGTGGCATAGAATTCCTCTTGCTCCATGTCTTCAGCAGAGCTTTAGTTGGAGGAGTTTGGACACCTACGAAAGATCACGAACTAGCCTGGTGACCGAAGATTCATTCTTATCGTAAGTAGAAGCCTTACATGGTCTCTTCCTCTCAGGAGACTCCTCAAGTACTCACATTTTGATTTCCTGTTGAATATTTCTCTTTCTTCTCGTCAGTTCCTGTAGAATTTCTCTTATTCTCTATCGGTCCTTATTTTACATTCACTTGAAGACGTTTCTAATTTTAGGACACAGCATTGAAAATTGCAGATGTCGAATTATGCCTGTACTGGCATAGCTCATTCAAGCCAGTCATGGTAGATATTTGACGAATCCTTGGATTCTCCTTCGATTTGAAAGATGGGGCGCTCTTGCGAAGTTTGTCAAAAGAATAGACCGGCTCTTCGGCGGCCGAAAACGGGACAGCAGGTGAGATTGTCGAAGTGAGGAGTAAGCATGACATACCCGAAAACTTGCCTGGCAGACCAGATCTCCAGGCTGGACTTGCACTAGAAGGGTTTTTGTAATACTCAATGATATGTTTGCGGATTCCATGGTGACCTTTCATTTTTCTGCATGCGGAAATGACAGAGAATGCCAACGTTTTAATATCGTAATAATTATCCTTGCAACTGAGTCATACGGTTCAGCTGATTTCCTTACCTCGTTGAGTTTGTTGAGAATCTTAGAACTTTTGGATTGGTAAGAGTCTGAACTCCTCACGATTTCAGACGTAACATATGACGCTAAACTAGCGAATTGCTGATCACTGGGTCTTGCGGTCATTGGCAGGTGTGTCGCGAATGTTTCTTCTGTGCTTTCGAGGATGAGATTCACAGGACTATCGTTGAAAATCGTCTTTTTAAGAAAGGGGATCGTGTAGCTATTGCTGCATCTGGTGGGAAAGGTCAGTATTTTATGCATGGAGTAAACGTTTGAGGGACAAGATTATAGTTATCCATGCTTCCTTGTCCCCAGTAGTCTGCATGCTGTTCGCATGTTTCATGTCAAATACTCCGTCCTCTGATACACTAAACCCTGAGAATAAACTGGTCGTGCTTTGCTGGGAAAACACGAAACCACCATTTTTCCTCCTGAATTAACGAAGGAAATTCCCGATGTTATTTCTTCTGGCTTGAGATTCAGCTCTGGATGATCTGCTGTGCCTGAAATTCAGAAGCCAGTTATAGAGGGTTCAGGGTTTAGGGTTTAGGGTTTAGGCCATCTGTCATGTTGTTCAGGTTATTGTGAAATGTGTGCTTGTTTCAATTGAAGTTCCTAGTCTTTCTCTCAGTTGTCCTTGTCGTGCAGTCTCTTATTTTCATCGAATTCAAATGACCTGTGTCGTTGTGATGTGCAGATTCCACTGTGTTGGCTCATATCATGACTCTACTTAACAAGAGGCACGATTATGGTTTAGATCTTTTCTTATTATCAATAGACGAGGGAATTACAGGTTACAGAGACGACTCTCTGGAAACCGTAAAGCGTAATGAAGTGCAGGTACATTACATCTTACTGTTCTCATATCTGACTTCGTTGTATCTCATATGTCGATGACAGAATAGGGTACTCTCAGTAGTCACTCTTACGAGATTGAAACGTCATGGAATAGTTTATAACTCTGCCTTTGAATCTTTTTATTTCAGTACGGCATACCCCTGAAAGTTGTGTCTTATAAAACTTTGTACGGATGGACCATGGATGATATAGTCCGAGAAATTGGCCGCAAGAACAATTGTACATTTTGCGGTGTTTTCCGGCGTCAGGTGAGTTTAGCAGACGACCACCTTTGTTGTCTTCACATCTTTTGCGGCTCTAGTTTCAGGCAATCAATCCATCACAGAGGTTGAAATCATGATTCATAATATTGACTATTACTTACAGGCTTTGGATCGAGGAGGTGTAGTAATGAAAGCAGACAAGATGGCGACTGGTCATAATGCTGATGACATTGCTGAAACTGTGCTGCTTAATATTTTGAGGGGAGATATCGCTCGGTAAGCAGAGTTGACGTCTTTATGTGTTCACTTGTACTTAAGATCATGCTTTTATGGCCGCGGAAAGTTGATTCTTCAATGTAGTAATACTACGGTAGTATCACTTCTGTATAGCTCTGTCTTTCGACGAACTTTGACAAAGATAAGAAATTGGTTTGGCAATGCTTGTATTGACACGTAGGTAAGTAGTGTTTGATTGTGAACTTGGTGAGTTGCATTTTGCAGTCTTGCGAGGTGTACTGCAATAACTACTGGAGAAGACAGTGTTCTACCGAGGTGCAAGCCTTTCAAGTACACATACGAAAAGGAGATCGTAATATATCCTTTTTCTAACTAAGTTAACACATTGATTTCGGCAGTGTGGAGAGCTATTAGATACACAGTAATGGATTGCGCAAGCTAGGACCGGATCAATCTGTACTTGGAGGGTGATCAATATCTATTGCTTAAAGATGAACCTTGTTCTCATCGTGGACTCTTGGTAAGCAGAGGGTGTGACACTGGATTCTGTTTAACTATTTGAAGTACTTAAGTCTACACTGCCTTCAAATCCCTTTCCCAAATGTAAATATCTGTCTATACATATCATTGTCGTTGTCGACGTGTTACGTAAAGAGCTGTAGGCAGAAGACGGTTTATCAACTCTAGAATGTTCATACAATTCCATCAGTGTCCTTGACTGACTTTCACGTATGCGTACTTCAAAAAGCTGGACTATTTTTCTACTGAATGTAAGTAGCTGAGCATTCCTGGGCTCTTGGTTTGCTGGCTTTCCAGTATTGAATTTTAATTTTGTCTCAAATGGCTTCTTTGCTTGTTCACAAGTAGTCTGTGAAAATTGGATTTTAATTGGGGGTTGCTTCTCGTGCAGGTATATACTCACCAAATGCATATCGTGGTTTTGCTCGGGAGTTCATAAAGGATCTCGAATCTATCAGGTGCTTCTCATGTGACTGTGCATGTGACACCCAGGATAGATGGACTTCAGACTGAAAATGTATTTAGAACCATCTGAACCATCTGAACCATCATCCATCTGATCGAGGCTTCCAAATTATTTCTCTATAGTCCAATTGTCTTAGACTTTCCGACTTACTCTTCACTTGTTCCCGTTTTGCGCACATGGACGGTCATTTGTAGACCTCGAGCAATTCTCGATATAATCAAGTCAGGAGAAGACTTCAGAATAGCATCCACAGCGAAAATGCCCGAACAAGGAATCTGCAAGCGCTGCGGATATATATCGAGTCAGGTACAATCATTTGCCTCCTCGTACTTCGACATCTTGAGCGATCAGTAGCTCAGCTGATTAAGCAGATCCATGAGGCGAGTCAACTCAAATGATTCCTGTGTTCAGATCTGAGATTTATTATGCAGAGAGAGCAAGAGCTAAAAGGGCTAAGACTGGTGACTGGAGCACTCAGATTCTCAAGGCACACGTGGTCCAGTCGTGTCTTAGTTGTATTCTAATCGGTGTCTGACGTGGACACAGGAGTGCTGCAAGGCGTGTGTTCTGCTGGAGGGCCTGAATCGAGGATTACCTCGACTGGGGATCAGCAGGACCAGGGCCTCGAACAAGGAAGGTCCAAAAGCCGAATCCAACAGGGCGAAGGAGAGACCGAGAAGTATTTCTCTGGACTTTTAGTCTGTGACGCGGAGACCGGGAATCCGAGAACAGCCGTGGGATGGCCCTGGACGGGACGGTGGCCCACCGCCAGTCCCCTGGCCCCCTGGCCCCCTGGCCTTGAGCAGTTACATGTGTAATGTTTCTCAGTCATCCATGAAAATTGTATTCTAAATAAAAAAACGGAAATGGAAATATAAATTTCACATTACTCATTTGTGGATTCCATGGACCAGAATTCTAGATGGTTATCCTGTTGATCTACAGTTTGCAGTTGTATTTGTGTCTTTTTGGATGGATTACTCGTCAGCAAGGGACGCCATGAATAAAAATCGCTGCAAAGGTTCGCATATTTTGGAGTCTGTTTCATATGACCGGTCGAATTTTAACTGTTTTTGTTGACTCCTGACTGACTTTCTTCAGCTTTTGGCACTTCACAAAATATTCTGGGCTATGAAACCAAGGACTTATGACAATAGACAGGTGCATTTTCAGTATTAGTACAAGATTCAATAATGAACTTTATATTGTCTTTTTTGCATACAATATGGATTTATGGGATGTATAATCTTAGTAAAAAACTCCTTATTTGTAATATATGTATTCAAAGCTTTCGTCGATTCATATTTAAAACTTCAATGGTGATAACGCCACTATGGACTTTCTGTAATTATCATTTATAAAACTGCTGGTTTTGATAGGAGAATGATATATGGACATAGCAATCCTTTATTATAAGAAAGACAGAGAGACTCTCAATTAACTTGTTATCTACATTGTGCTAGCTTCCATTTCATTTCATTGCGAAAATACATGTTTTCAATTTACAATAATTATGCACTTGAAATTACATGAAATGAATTGAAAAACAGAAATATACTCATATCACAAAGATACATTTGACTTTGAGTTGACAATACTAAACACTTCTTCTTTGCAGTCTTATTCATATTTTAGTTTTATTAGTTTAGATGACTAAGAACATGAAGATTCTAATAGAGAGATAAAACTTCTCTATGAAAGTTTCATTTCAAAAGAATGATATCTATGGACATATATTTACTAAATATAGTTTTTTAAAACATGTAATATGCAGATGAAATGTATTTGGTCTTGTCTATCTCCCGTCTTCACATGCATTTACCTTCATTCTATAATTTGGTTTATTTTCATACAAGTTGAAATTAACTAACATGTAGTGTAGGATGCAATCTTGTATGTATATTGTTTTAAAATTAATTCATGGAATTATTAGTTATCCTTCAATTTATGTTAATTATTTTTCACCTTACACAAATTATATAAATAAATAGCTAGTTTAGTGGAAGATTATTCAATCTGCCTGCACCTCCCCAGTAGTTTGGGTAATCTCCTTCCTCGTTGAGGGTCTGCAATGTCACGGGTTATGCGACCTGGATACGACATAGCTCACATGAAGATCCAAAGCATAGAGTAACCTACCTGAGTGGTCCCGAAATTCTTCGGAGTGCCCAAATTAGGCAGCAGCTTTCATTTAGTAACTAATTCAAATAATTTTTTTTGGTTGAGAGATAATTAGGATAAATAGAATTATAACTAGCCCTGTTCTTTAATTTATCATAAACATATAATTCTAAGATAGAATGATCTTCAAATATATTGATGATTTTTACCTTTCTTCTTCAACATCTAATTTGAACATGTCATAAATGATAAAGGTACTTTTCCTGATTAACATAGTACATAAAAATTAAATCTTATAATCTATTTGTGAGTTATTCTATTTTTCACTATGTTCTTCTCATTTATAAAAGTTTGAAAATAACTAACCTGATTGAATTGTCTTGCAAGATTCTTTGTAGTGTAAAGTGTGCAATATATAAATAATTATCCTTTAATTATTTTTATTTTTTCTCTGCTATTATCATATATTTTATGAATTAAAATCATCATCTCAAAGTCCATTGTAGATAGTACCAAGAAAATCATTTGGAAATTTTTGAATTTCGAGATGAATATAAAAAATTTTAATCTTTAATTTAGTAGTGAGATTGTGTTTCATAATAAACCATAATGTGAATCGATCGATCTATCTATTAAGAATTTTTTACTAGAGTAAACTCTTTTCATATGATAGTGAGATTATTCTTGGTTTAATCGAGCCTCATGATTTATACCTGAGTTTTTATTTGTTGATGTTCCGGGAAATATAACTAGTTTCTGATGTGATTTGAATTTGGAAAAGAAAAGTAACAACCTAATATGCTATTATGTATACCACATAAACATATTGGGTTGACTAATCATGTGTGTATGTATATATATATATATATATAATTCTTTATTTATTTGTAGTCATGGGTCATGTACCCGTTCTTGGTGGACTTCTCTCTCTTGAACAGTTCCACGAAGGAGGCTCGTGTCTCGACTCGTGGATTCACCTGAGATCGATCGCGCTATCCAGCAGATGTGCTCACCTTGCTGCTCCTCGTCAACCCATCTGTTGATCGAGTTGCCATGTCTGCCTGTCTCTCTATGACCGAACCTTCTTTCTTCCTTCCTTCCTTCCTTCCCTTCCTCGAAGCCCCGGGAGCCATCGCGGCTCGCGGCTCTCGAGCATCACGATCTGAAATCCAGTCGACCTCTCCCACTCGCAGCACTCCACCGAGCGAATCACCGAAGAACAACGTGAACGGGCGCACTTAATGTGAAAGGCGACCGGAGGGGCCGGTCCCTCGACGTGTGTTCGGACCGCGCAGAGATTCCGTCATCCGCGATTCCTCGCCATTATTATCATCATTATTCTAAAGCCCCGAGGGGTCTTAGGGGCCGGCGAGGTGGTGACCTCTGGGCATCTGACCCCAACTGTGGATGCGTCCCCTGATCGGCCTCGACATCGACCTCGACCCGACCCGAATTCAGAATTGGTCCAAAGTCCAAATTCAAGATTATCTTGTGGGAATGGAGTGGAGGGAGATATGGCACTCCAAGCTCTTTGGACTAGTTGCAGGAAGGAAGGCAGGCAGGCAGGGACACACAATTCTCGCAGGACATGAGAGAGAATGAGAATGTGAATGTGGAGAAGAGACGAGCATTTGGGCTCACGGGTCATGTCATGCAAGAGTTGGCTCGGTCCGGGAAGCACAGCCTCGAGCTAATCTTGTCCGAATTCTCTGGGGGAGCAGGAAGAGTCCGATGAGGATCTGTGCGCTCTGGGATCGTTGATGGCGCGCCTTTTCAGGCAGCAATGACTGATCATGTGTCCGTGCTTTGTCGGTTCTCAGTGCAGGTGAGCTTAGAGCACAGTGTACCTGTTGCCCCAGCCCTGTAGTCCGAGCTAGCCGACGACTACAGGAAGATCTGGACACAGACTTCACCGACCGAGTGGTAGGGACCAGACAGAATCCATGTTCCCATAGGTCATGAGAGAACATTCTGGAATTCAATTTTCCGAATACATTCTCCTCTCACGGGGAATGTAGTCGGAAAGTTGTTGCTCCGTGGAGCTGGCAGTGCCCTCCTTTGATTGCGATAGAGATAGAGATTCCGAGTCGGCGGAATTGTGAGCTCAGATGTTTTCCACTCTCCTCACTCCGAGCAAGAATGAGCTTCACCTTGCTCTTGCTCTGACAACAATGGCTTCCCATTCCCTATCGTGGTCCTTTGCGAGATGAACGCAATACTGTACTTTCAAGCACCAGCCCTGCGTTCCAATCAGAGTCAGTGATCCTTCTCGCTAGAAGCATTTCCAGCTCGATGTGACTGTGAGTCAATTGAACATTTGAATTCCGAGAACATGCCAAGATTTTCGTAAGTACAGGAATTGAGAAGATTTTGGAAAACATTCTTTCAAGATGAAGAAAACTGGATGGGTTGCTGAACCACATCCACGATCAGAGACCAGAACGCTGATTGCTTGGTCCAGCCTCTGTCCAGTAAACAGTCCATTCCAACTAATGATGGCAGAGATTTTTCAAACGGGTAGAGGTTCTGAAATCTTCGTGGTTTGTTTCGTGACCAGTCGACGTAGTGTTTCCAGATTTATCTCGAGCTCCACAAGTACAGGAATGACCCAGAGACTGACTGCAATTTGAGAGCACAGGGAGTACATATTGTTCGAGCGGATGGAGTTGTTCAGTTGCATATTCCGAGCAGTGAAGCTGTACAGACGGATAATCAACGAGTAGAATCCACTGATTTGCATGGAGGAGGCAGATGGATACTTTGGAGACGCATGATAATACGATTGGGAGGTCGTGACAAATGTGAGATGAGGATGATGATTTACTGAAAAAAAATCAGCAACTGCTGAAATTGCAGCTACCTATGGGTCACCAGGGGCCACGGTGGGACAATGTTTGTTGAATCTCTCTATCTGGCTGGGTCATGAGCCTCATCTCATCTCGAAATATGAGCAAGCAAGGAAGGCAAAATTACACTGCTGCCGTTACAGCTGATAGCTCGCTTGACGTAGTAGTAGATAACTTCTATTATGTGAAGAAGCTTCTATTACATCAATGTATCTCAATCGCTTGAATAATATTTAGCTTAGGACTAGTTCATCCAAAAACGAATCACTACTTGAATGCTACGAGTGGATTACAACTCGGGGCAAATTCTGAGATTAATAGTTATATGCCTGGCTTTTCCTGTTAGATGATGCCTCCTCCCATCGTTCGAAGAAGAGCACCTGCTTAGGCTGCAATGGTTCACAATGAGTTTCATTGCAGCTGCAACAGCAGCTTAGCTCCTGCCATGTAGTCCTTCCGATCACCACGGCCGTCACTAGGTCTGCTGCTGTTGGTGTTCATCATGATCACTCTCCGAACGTGTTATCGATCGGTCCATTGCAAGAGCCACATTTCACTCGCCCCCATGACCAGACCCTGCACGTAGAAGGTGAAAAAGCTTAAAAGCAGCACACGCCATGAACTGAAAAATGATGAAACTGTCACAGATTCCTGAGCTCAGCAAGCCCAATCCACTCAGATTGCATGCCTTGTGCTGTTGTGTACCCCTTACGAAGGCAACGACGGGATTATACAGAAGTCTCGAAGTGGAATACCGACCACCATGTGTAGCTCGAGTGAGAGAGGTACGTCTCGTAGCTCTGGCCCCGATTAGTCAGAGAGTCTGATAATACAAGAGAGGATGATAGAACGACAGCAAACTCTCGGAGCGAGCCCAACCAGAAAGGACAATGAACACAGAATAGACTATACCTGCAGCAGCAGCAGACAGACTCCTGAGGCTCAAAAGGTACCGCTGGTGGTGGGGCTGGATCATTCGGAGCTCTGATCGGCATTGGGGCTTATAAGCAAGGGGCGAGGCGAAGGTGGGTCGGAGACGTACTAGGTATGTAAATTGACACCCGGGTCTTCGTCGGCTGTGAAAGATACTCGGCCACCTGCAGGCTATATAGACCCCGCAGCGCATGCACAGTGTTGGAATTCATGATGAGCCCTGTGAGGCCTCTCGTGATCGATCTTGGCAGGCGTAACTATTTTACAGCATTACCTGTAAAGGCTAGCTAGCTACTCGTGATAGTCGTTTCCATCCCCGGACTTGTCAACAAGTAGTGAAGTGCAAGCATGAATGGAGGGGAGGGGAGGTGAGGGCAGGCAGGAAGGAGGGCTCGAGGGAGGCAGGCAGGCAGGCCCAGGAAGCTAACCGACGCATGAAGTGAAGCGCAAGCTCAGTGAGTAAGTGAGTGAGTGAGTGAGTGAGTGATTGAGTGAGTGAGGGAGTGAGAGATCTGGAGAGAGAGAGAGATAGGAGTACAAGTATGTACGTACCAGTCTGAGATGGCGCTGCCATCCACGTAAACAAGGTCCAGGGGCTCGTGTACATGAGGAGGACATATACTAGTATTTGTCTACAGACGCTTTGTCGTTTAATAGCCTCGAGAGAGGTTCTTATAATCGGCTGACAGCTAACAGAGCAAGCAGGATTATATACATGTTCATATTCGCCCCGGTCATGACCAGCTACAGGAGCAATCTCGTGCACCGACTGCTGAACACCAAAATTGGCTGCTGTGATGATGATTGACGGGGTCCAAGCTAAGTACAAGCCGTCTCGGACACTTGCTCTACTCAGCGCGCATAAATGCTCACGCTGTCGAGTCATGTTGATTCGTTTGACTCTCTGAAGGTCGCTTTCGGGTTCCTCAATCTTGCTTGCTACCTTTCGGTCGCTCAGTGGCTCGGTCCCTCACACTCTCGCACACTCGCACACTCGCTCATGACCGTCGTCGGGACGAGCTTCCGTTTCCTGCGAACATTCAAAGCTCAGGAGATCGCGGCTTTCGACCACATCGTCCAGACATTGGTGGCTATAGTGAAAAGTGGAACCCTCGTACATCGTTGCCCGAAGGCGGAAAGTTCAAGGAGCAGATATTTCGATGCATAATATTACGTGAGGCTCTGGCCGACGGATGCCATGATCTTGCGACAGCCCCGACGAGTGAAATGTCATCAAGCTTGAGCTCAGCTTGCTGCCATGCCGAGTTTCGAGATTTGCCATGCCAACATTCGGCGCTGGTCGGTAGATTGTTTAATGGCACGCGCTGTAGCGGCTGAGATCTTGCTGTTGTACTGGACCTCGTACACCAGTGCCAGTGTCAGACCTAGTACGTAAGACCATCTCGTAGACCCTTATCCCAGCGCATCACGTAACAGTTCCATGGCTCTCATTCCCAGCAAAAGTGATTTGGAGGCAATCTCAGATTTTACTGTCATTTCGAGAATTGACCATCTCGTAGACCCTTATCCCAGCGCATCACGAAACAGTTCCATGGCTCTTATTCCCAGCAAAAGTGATTTGGAGGCAATCCCAGATTTTACTGTCATTTCGAGAATTACACTGTCATCTCCTTTTGCAAACCGCAGTTGTGTCACCGGTTTCTTCTAATGAAGTCTCTCAAGCTTGAACCTGTAATATGGCGAGAGCCCAACTTGAGCTACGTCATCTGTGCACTGTCTTCGCATTCCATATAGCCTTGGTCTCCGGAATCTCTGATTATATTGTGATTGTGTGTTCTGTGTTGACAGTTCCACAACTCATTACATTGGAATTGTCTTTGGCCGGGACTGCTCAGCTTATCTACAGACAGCTCTTCTTGAGTTCAGAATCTAGAACTCGTTGCGACAACTTGGTGGCAGCTTGAAAACTTTGCTATCTCATTAAGAGGCCATCTTAGAGGATGACGTACACAGAATTCACCAGAATCTGGAGTAAGCTTGAAAATTTTCGTGCATAAGATAACATACAAGACAAGTTGATAAAATCTGAGATGTCTACTGCAACAAGAGAGGCAGTGAATGCAAGTATATTGCTGCTTCATCAGAGCAAAAAAACTTTCCGATAGATGTCTACTGCAACAAGAGAGGCAGTGAATGCAAGTTTATTGCTGCTTCATCAGAGCAAAAAAACTTTCCATTAGAGAATATGGGCTGTTCGCCTTACAATCATATTGGGAACATGGAGACACTGAAGATCAAATTTACAAAGTAAATCACAAAGATCACCTAAAGATGTGCGACTTTCAAAATTATTGACGATGAGTAAGGCAGAGTTTAGGATAAGTTCTCAAACTGTCCTTTTCGATCACTCGGGAACAATTGATTTATACCAGTTGACTAAAACATCTTACTTTGTCTCAAAGTTCAGAGCAACAACTTCATGTCTTGCCTAATATAATGTCCTTGTTACATTGGTCAAAATGGGCCCCATGTTTAGAAGCCGGTATCTATTATAAATGAGTAAATTTAAAGCTAGGGAAGTTATCGAGGTTACGAATCGATGCTGTCTTCTTAACTACTTCTTGAAAAAGAATATTTCGAAATCGAGTTCGAGAAACTTACCTCGAGGATTGAGATTATGGAACTACTGATTTAGTTACCAGTATTCTGTCCAATTTAATAGCATTTATCAACGCCCGAGGCTGGGGATTATCTGCAATTGACGTCAGATTAAGATCATTATCGATAAATAATCCCTCTGACTGCAAGCAACATTCCAACATGTGCTAATGGCCTTAGACGACCATATTACCGCATATCGGCACAAAGTGCCAAAATCTATTACTAGTAGGACAATTATGTCCATGGGAAGGCCAACACTGGAGAATGCAGATACTAATTATGATTTCCACACAGTGATGCCATGATCACGCTGCTTAGCGTTAAGTTAGCTGCAAATAGATGCCAACTTCCAATTGAATACGACAGTAACCTCTCTCACATCAATTTCTACTTTTAACCGCGAGGCCTTAGATTTCTTCAATCCTCCTCCAAGCTGATAAGCCTGTGCATGATATCCAGCTGCGGGGAGAAATCTGCAGCTGGGATAATATGCCGTGGCACTGTGAAACCCGATAATGAGCGTTTACCTCATAATTCAATTCGGACATCTTCAGATCAAGATAGAGGGCACGAGGACGAGCTGTATACGAGCGGAGTGGTTACTTCAATTCCTTCGAAGATCGTTGTCGACCGAACTGCGTGACAGTGAATGTTTTTCGATGGAAATCTGCAGTGATAACTAGTATTCAATCAGCAAATTAACAGCAAGAGAGGTCCTTAGTAGCGATATACTATTTTAGACCAATCTTGTCATACACATCTAATATGATGTCAAACAGGGCATCACGAGGCAGATCAGACAAGACTTACGCTCTGGACCTCGCCCAATACTAGCATCACAAAGAACTGCACAAACAACTACCTTCAGAAGTCTCTGATCTATAGGCACGACTGTTCGAATATTATCTGCGGCGTGCAGCGAAGTTCGCATGCATGACATGACTAAACCTTAAGAAAGAGAGGCCATGGCAAGTCACTGAAGCATATTGTACAAGTGAGAATCGACTCTGATGCCACAAACATGAGCAGGGAAGACACGTCACTTGTGAGCTCCTACGATCACAAACTTACTGCATAAATTAGTCTATCTCTACCGTCAGCATGGGCATAGCACCGTTGGAACTTTCAAAACTTTGTTTTCAATTCTAGCTATTTGCTAAATCACCTCCTCCGCTGTGTCTGCACAGGGAAAAAACAGAAGTTCACTTCTGAACACTTCTTGACTGTCTTAAGGTGCCTGAAATTGCTCTCAGCGGAACTCTGCGCACTCGTTTGTGTCTACACTTGGGAGATAGGAGGTCCGAAACTTCTAGCTCGATAATGGAAGCATCGAGTGGCTACTAGATTAAAGTATACGCAAATACTGAAGACTAAACCATTTCTTGGTCATCTAAATCTCGAACTGTCATGATTTCCATTTACCAACAGCTCAAAAGGAGAGGTCACCATTGTACTAATAAGTTATCAATGTAGTTTCACAAGAGTGTTTAGATATGTATAAGAAACGTGTGGACGGTTGAAGTCATCATAACAAATCTAGATGGAAATCGGATCGTTCATCCTGAAACTGAAGGGACAGCAATAAAGTGGGTAAACTTTCTCCTCAGATTCAACTGATTTACAGACCGAATCATAGCAGGAAGATCAAATCATAAACTGTTGCAACTTGAACTCTGAAACGCTAAGAATACCATGTTGTCACAGCTATTTACATGCATGATGGAACTGTAAATCAAAGAAATGCAATAACTTCCTCTAGATGCTCATCTCCACTAAGACACGCCTACGTATTCGGTAGATTTTTATACAAGCAACATTTTAATACGATATACTTTGCGGTTCAAGTTATGATAAATATTCAACCCCTCAATTCCGTACAAATTTTAGGAACATGAAAGTACATAGTTCTAGATTGCTTCTTGTACGTTATATATCTTCACTGTTGTCAGTCAGTACGTTATGTTATGCGCTAGAAGGTTGACTAATTTCTTGAGATAAAGCAGGTTGCTTGAGCCATAAGCCAAGAAACTAAAGGAAAGAAGAACCAATCCCAAGATTCAAGTGTTGCATACAGTTTGTCCTTATCCCACACGGAAAGTAGTCACTTCCACTTCATCTAAGCTCCAATCTGGCCCTGAGAAGAGGTTACAATCTCATAATAGTTACCTTTGCTTTATCAGTGAGCCTCATTTTCATATTTCTTCGTTCACATGTTAATCTTGGAGTGGACTTGTTAACACTGTCGTTTCATGAATACTACATACGATATTGTCAGAGTCTACCTTTTAGGTAACTTTCCAATTGATGGAAAAGATTATCGACGCGATTCGAGCTTTATATCGTATAAATATTTCCTCTGTCCGAGCGAGTGTGTACTGTTAGACTTGAACACTCTTTCAGGTTGTTTTTGAAATGTATAGCGGAAGTAGTGAATAGAAGAAACAAGACTCAAAAGTCCGTATTAGTGGTCAAGATTTCTTATTTATTACTACTGATCATATTTCAATTACACCAGGTCTCTTCGTTAGTCTTCATCATCATGCACAAGATTATCTACAGATTATCTCGCGAGGACAAGACTGTGGCCTAAATAAGCACAGAAGCAATGGGTTAGGCAGAATGGATGGAGCACACAATATATCTCACGATCAGCTCGACAGACTTTCTGAATGTCATATAAGAAGATCCTTAGTCTAAGTATCAAAACCGGTCGTTAATCGGGCAATACACAATGTGTGAAATGAGTACCTGCAAGGCATGTACAAATGTTAATGATGCTGATACTCATGCAGGTCAACGCAGGATGTTGGTTGCCTCTTAAAAGTGTTATGTTCAATCCTCATACAAATTAGATGCTTACTTATTTCAAAAATAACATGAAGATGGTATAAACCTGTATTTTAGTGTTCGATGGAAAAGATTGATTACAGAAAGATCATTCAAATTGCACGGTGTCATTAGAAATTTTATTTTTGTGTGCTGACCTGAACGATGCTGTCAGACGTATAATCTTCACCGCTTTAAACAATCATGACACCATGAACAGCTTCTTCGTGCTATTTCTGTTCCCATCCCACCTATTTTAAAGTTTCGAATTCTACATTGCAGTGTTTATTATGGATAATACTGACTTGAGGTGTTCCTCAATCAAGAGTAAAAGCCCGAATAATATTGTAAGGTCGAGAAGAAGAATTCTTACTGCTTCTCAAGATAGAGAATCAATTTGACTTTGTGATCGTGATCTACAATTAGCAGAAGACTTATGATAAAAAGTAAACTAGACAACATATCCCTACTAGCTCTGGTGCTACAACAGAATGAACACACATTCGAGGTCCATACATTGTGAGGTTCCTATCTACGAACGAAGTCATCCCCGCTTCCGATATCGCTTCAAACCCTCTTTAGCTGTTTCAGCGGGTATAAGCAGGAGCTATTACGATACATATAAAAGTAGCATTGGTTCATAGCTATAAGTCGCTAGCTTGCTATTGTCGATAATTGTTTTCTGCCACATCTGGGATATTATTAAGCATTAAGAATACTTCTCCTGAATAGCCGCTGTTACATAAAACGCATCCAACCAAAGATTCTGACAACTTCTATGCTAGCTTACTATTGAGCAACGGTGTAAAGCTGATTTTCACGTAGTCCGAGTGGCGAACAAGACCTGGTTTTGATTGATATTCAATTTGCAGTTCATTTGAAATTTATAAAGCTACTGTCAATCATGGAAAAATTTAATCTTCTCACTTCGGTAGGACATTTAACGTGCCACTGGAAGGGCTGTCATCGATGCTCTAATAACACATCGTGAAGATCAATGCCTTGACTTACACCTTGTCAGAACAATGAGCAGAGATGCAACTGGAGTCAAAGGACATCTACAGTCTGAGGGCGAAGAAAGATAGAACCTTTTAGAATAAGCAGAAGTCAGCAGGTCTTACAGAAACAGGAGATGGTAAGCCGCGTCAAGATATAGAGTCCACAAGCAAGCTTCAAGGTGCCAGCTCGATTGGTTCCATCTGTACTTTGAGAGGTTTTTCAACTATTTCTCTGCAGAAACAATTCTCAGTCCAATCAGTTCCTTTCCAAGACGGCAAGCTCAAAAAATTCACTCTCTCAGCCAGTACGCAGTCAAACAGTCTTCTCACGTAATGTGTTACCTGCCCATACTGCTGCTGGAATGCTCATCTGAATTTTCGTTGGTCCCCCTTGTGAAGCTCCAAGCCCATATACTCGACAGAAAGCAGAGTACAGTCTCCTTTCGAGCAAAAAGGAACTGAAATGTCTTGTAGCGGTTTGAATCTCGATATATTTTGACTACATCCCCGCACCTCAAGGAGCCGGACATATATGGGGAGGAGCTCGAGGTCCGCAGGAAGGAGAGCTGCAAGTGGGAAAAAATGAGGTTCTGTTTCCAATCACGAATTCGGAACAGCATCTAATTCAGTCCTGTTTGTTAATATGCGGAGAACATATGACAAGATCTCGGTGAACAGTAAAGCCTAAGCTTTATGAACATGCAGGGATTCCATCATGATCAGAGATAGGACAGTTCGCAACTGCAGCTCATCTCACTTTCAAATACAATTCAATGCACACAAAAGATGAGACCAACAACTCGAAATGTCTCTTTCAAATGTATAGGCCTACGTGGTTCTTTGAGATTCTGTGACAGACGTGTTCATTTACTGGGATTTCTCCAGGAAATAAATTATCATCTGTCCTCATGTATCTTTGCAATCGTTTTGACTGACGTCGAGAAAGGCTGGTTGTTGCAGTAAATTTGAACTCCGAGCTCGATTCTCCATATGCTTGTCTCGTGCACTGACTTCAGCGTAACTCTTCTTTGCTCTTCCATTGGCAATATCTGTATATTTCAACAGTAAGGCAATAGCTTCAAGATCATGGCAGGGAATATTATCGCCACTCTGCTGAGCAAGTCATCATGTTAAGAGACAGTACTCAGTTCTTAGAAGTCTCTATTCAAAACCACTGTATTTTGACCGCCAAAAGCGATGTATAGCTTGAAAATATCCTATTATCTACAATATGTTATTGTCTAAGAGAACAGTAATCGACGTGATGGAAACCATCTTAATTCTGCAGGGAATGGAAATAAGATAGACATTCGGTTCAACTTGGGGTCCTTTAACGCGTGGCCATGCTTTGACCAAACCGGCTGTTGCATTGTAATTGAAGTTCGACTTCAGCATGTTTTGAGATAGTTTTTAATCATGATCCATCTCCATTCAAAGTTTTCCTATCAGAGCTAGATGAACCTCATTTTTCTTACTTTGCAACATCAAACCATTGGGGTTTCTAAAGCCTCTGATCTGAAGTTTTTCTTTTCTTTTCTTTTGTGGGTTTCTTGTCAGTTGTCTGCTGTTTTTAAAAATATTTTTTTGGGTCTCACAGTACCCCGCGCTACTGGCCATTGCTGTATACGAATTTCCAAAGACGAGAAACCGACATAACCATGAAAAGTCTCCACGAAATAAACTTGACTCTTTACCATTTGCGTTTCGAAAAAACAAAGACATGGCGTTCCACAGCTTAAGTTCGATTCGAGCATCCAATGTCTTGTCTAACAAATCAATCTCTGGTACAATTTGTTCTCTTCTTGTCGGTGAATAACAGTCTCAAGAACCTTCAGTTGTCCAAAATTTAGGGCTTGTCTTACCTCGGAGCTTGACTGTAGCATTGGTTACCGTTTTGTCTGCAAACCAGCTCAATATGCTACTAATCTGCAAAACAAAATGCCTAAGATGTTAACTCTTAAAATGCACACAAGAAACATCAAAATGAAGTGAATGCATTATAACATCTTCACTTCAACTTCATAGATCTTAGCTTCACCATCATGCCACACTACGGTAACGAGAAAGATAAGAATAACAATTCCAGCAGTTCTGAAAGCTTATAACACATTGCAAGGGGTGATACGGTTACCACCAGGATCGATATACATCTCTTAAGCTATATAGCACTAGGCCATCATGACTACATATAACCAACATAAAATTGTCACTAACTTCATGCCATTAGGCCCTAATGGCTAATACGTAACCGGATGACGGTGCATACTGATCGAAAGGACAAACAACACTTATGATGAGGGTCGTCACCTTTCGCTGTGAATGGATCGCCATCAACAGGTCTGTCTGAATTTCAAAATCGTGGTGTCCGGACGCAGCTTCCATATCTTTCATTGGACTTATCAAGCTCTTCGACTGTTCCAGTAGAAAACAATTCATGTGATGTTGAGCTTTCCAAACACTGTTTTGAATTTGAACTGACTTTTGTTTTCTGAGCTTCGAGACTCGTGCGCAAGACTCCATGCAACTGTGCACTAAATCGTGAGTTATTGTGGCGTTCAGTTTAGCTCTATGTGATATTTGTCGATCTATCAGTTCGAATATATTTAAAGAGAAATAAATGACGTGGTTATATCGAATCTTGCCCTTAATTGTATTTATTTATTTGTGGTTATTTTGATTCATCTCTCCTGTGGTTTGTGCTTCGTCTTATTCATCGTTGTCGGATATTCCAAACACCAATATCAGTGGATTATTTTTAAATCGCGTTGGAATATGAAGACAAGTGATTATGTTTTTGTAATCAAATTGCTCAGATTTTAGATAAATTTCATTATTCGATATTTTAGATACTGCTTGGCATATTTCCACCACTCAGATTCTTGAGAACGGAAGAGAGTGGATTATTCTTAATGAGTAAGAATCAAAATTCCTTTAAATTGTACGTACTAAGAAAGTCACAGTTTCAATATTTATCAGCATGAGAAGAATCATATTGTTCTGATAGGCCAGCTCGTATACAGAACCTAAGAGAGAACAATGGGTCTTTGTGGATATATGACATTGGAATGTCAAAACTATAATTTAGTTGGATATGCACTGCATGATAACACGAGTAGACATAGAAATATCAAGATAACATTTATTATCTATAGGATATAGATAGGTTTGAAGGCTCCAGAAAAAGCATCCCGACTCTCTTTGCAAAACTATGATTTAATTACAACCTTGCATAATACGTAGCAATTCAATTTATCTTGAAGGTTTACTTACATCTTTCCGATGCCCTTCTTATAAGGAATAACTCCTCTTCGTTGTACAAGCTGAAAAAGTAATTCCTTTACTTTGGCCCAGCATCTTCCAAGCCTTGAAATGACCACCATCTCCTCATCGATTATTACTTCTTTGAAATGTCCGAAAACTCCCTCAATTTCGTAGGAGATATGAGATCCATCTTTGAAGATTCAAAAGATCGAAGATATGGAAAGAAAGAAGACTATAAAAGAAGACGATAGTTTCACAAAAGTAGGTCAGTGATAAGATAATCAAGTTCCCAATTGGTTGATAAGCAATAAATCTGAAGACCCTTCTTGGATTGAATCTTCTTTCGTTACAAGCCCGAAATGCTTACAGCTAACGTCGTCAGCTGAGCCTGTCGTTTATCAGAGTTTAGAAATCTAGTACAGAATGAACTTTTGAGGGGAGAGAATGTTGTCACAGATTGAGCAACAAAGACTTCACAACTACGCCTCGATGTAAATCCAAGTACATGCTCCCCAGGCAAGTTCTGTCACTCATGCGTAACTGAAGAACGTCAACTTTCGCATGCAATGGATTTGAGGCATCATAGAGAGCTATATAGAGCATATGATCATATGGTATGTTTTTAGAACTTCATAAATCGACCTGAGGATACTTCTTTATTGTAGACGGAATGTTCTACTTGTGAAAATTGGGTTGCGCATATGAGAAGAAACCTTTTTGTCTAATGGTTGCAAAATATGTTCCAAACTGATCGCATGGATATTATATAACTCTTGAGACAAGTACATGTCGTAATGAACGTGAAATACCAACCATAACACATCTCCCGAACATAGCCGCAGATCCAAAAGTTTACCATCCTTTTTGCATGATCCTCTCAAACTATGGGTTGACTGTACGAGTTGACTTTACTTTCAGCTGATGCTTGAAGACGAAAGTCTACTTTTGAAGGGAAAAATGATGGAGTCAAAGCCTAGGAGTAGGAAGTTCAGCCAAAAAGTTCCCGATGACTTCCTATCGTACCATAGATAATTGAATCTTGGAGACGGGACAAAAGAAGTAAGTTCTGGGATAGGTCCAATCTTGATCAGATTATTGGAGAACAATTAATCATTGGTTGTTTTGAGAATCAAAGCTGCATATGTACAAGCAAACGAAGATCATATATTTCCGGAAGTGCCTCCTCATATGCCAGAAATTTGTATCTTACAAGGATCATAAACTAATATCATGCTAAAAATCTCTCATCTTCATCAAACAGGATAATCTTACGAGTTTAATACTTGGGATTTGGCTAGAATTCGCCGCCGGAAGGATTTGACCTCTGTTGTATATAGGACACACAAATGAATCACAATCCCAATCGAAAGATGTTAAAGTTCACAAACCTTGCATGCTGTGGTGGCCACAGTCAAGATAATCGAGTATAAAACTTTGATGACAATAATCCTTCACAATTTTTTAGGAACAGTGAGAAGGAAGTTTACTTTCAGGCTCTAAAGGTCACTAATCACCCGGTTAACGATGGCGAACGGAGGCGGCGGTGGCTCTGCGGATGGATATCCCTCACTCATCGGTCTACCACCGTTGTGACGCGACACAAGCAACCGCTCTCAATCCGTTCTGTGGTGGCAAGAACTGTGGTGCAGTACTCAGTACTACTACGTCACTCGCAAAGCGAGAGTGTTACCTTTAAGAAGTGCACGATGTTTTGGTCATTGTCTTTTCACCTTGAGAGAATGTCAAAATACTGCGAGTTTCCTTAAACATGAAAACTAACGGTTAAAATGTTTGACCCAATGTTTGTGCTTAAAATTACGTAGATATAAATCTTGGCGTAGACAAGTTTCGTAAAACTTGTCGACGAGATTCTATGGAGTGAAGTTGCATTCCTGGAGGGTGGATGCAACAAATAAGACGTGAGTGTCCATCCAAATGAATGGAACCTGATTTGATGTTACACAAGAATCGACCAGAATAGTATCTCTCGCATTGAAGAGAATAGTTACTTTTATCATCAACCTGTTTACTAAATTCAAGTCTCTGCTCTCAACGAACAAAGAGAAGCTCGAAGCTCCGAGCCCAACCGAAAGGTTTATGAACAACAAGAAATAACGATGAACTTGACGACCGTATTTTGATTAAAGACGGATGGGGACGAATCAAATTACAGTGAAGACACTCTTGGCATGCGCGCGACGTGTATATCAATCAGTCTTCAAGACGAGGTTATATTTCAGGTCCGACGCTACTACATTAACATACATTATCACGCACAAATGTAAGAAAAGTGGAAATATCGAGCGCCTCTTTGGCGGTGTTCTCGTCCTACTCGTCCATCTCTCGTCCCACCCCGTTTGAAAGTTCCTTCCAATAAATGAGTCAATTTCGCCTTCTTCCTTCGAGTCCACTTGCTCGGCACAGATTAGTAACAACATCCAAAGACAGTTGCAACACACTTCTGGCCCGACATACACATCGATATCTAATTACCAAGAGAAAAGGGGAACCCTCTCGCTTTGTACAGATTCACGAGAGGTTCTGTCGGACACCTAGGAGAAAAAATCGAATAACTCAAGGGGATCGAAAACGTCGAGCCCGCCCGAGTGGAGCAGAATAAGAGCGCCGTCCATCGCAGCAGACCAGAGGAGCTCCGACTGCGTAAAGCTGAATCAGCACACATTGCAGTCCACAGGGAGAGAGAAGAGGGAGCACGCAGCCACTGTCGAAATGCCATCGACCCGACCCGCTCGTCCGAACGAATGGGGTCCACGAGCAGCAGCAGCAGCAGCAGCGCGGACGAGGCCATGGCGAGAGAATCGGAAGCAAGGGCTTTGTCCGATCGTGTCCATGTGCGCGCGAATCTGAGCTCCAAATCCAGGAGCTCTGTCTCGTCATGTCCCGGAGGAGTTCCTGCGGCCGGCGTGAGCATGCGTGCGTGCGCGCGCGCCCACCCACCCACGTTCAAAACTGCATGAGCCGTTGGTCGAAGCTCATAATTTCCCGCGAACTCATTTCCCCAGCCAGCGGGCGCGGGCGGGGAATCTTTCAACTGCCCCGGCCCTGGCTATGGCCCGGGGCTCGGCGCGTCGTTCCTCCGTCCAGCTCGGCCCCCGTCCGTCGCCTCGTCCGTCCGTGTAGGGCCCAACGTGGCCGTGCCCACGCTACCACGTCACCCTAACTCGCGCCCATCACTGCCGGTCGCAGATTCTCCCTCCGGAGAGCTCGAGAGCTCGAGCTCTCGAGCTCTCGAGCAGATCACTGCAAGACTTGCGCCACCTCGCGCCATGCGCATCATCATCCACTGCGCGAGCTTTCGAGCTCCCCGCGGCTTTGGTGCACGCTTTGGCGTCGATTGTAGTCTCGGACAAGCTTTGTTGGCGACTGAATGATTCGCTCGTTCTGCTGGTGCACAAATTGGGCGCTGGATCATTGGCACGCGACGGTATGGGATCGGATGGGACAGGACTCGACGTACTCGAATTCTTCCAAGTCTCACGCAAAACCATAGCTCTGCATGCGTGCGTGCTTGCTTGCTTGCTCGATCATTGCAATGCATTTGTGCTCATGAGTGAGTACAGTCTGTATCGGAGTTTCCAGTCTGGAACGCAAGCTCGTCGGCCTTCGAGCATAATGAGCTTTCGAGGCCGAGCACGCGACTGAACGAACGAACGAACGACGATGGCCAGAGCGTTCCGAAGGATTCTGGACCAACTCTTTCATGCAAGAAGCAAGACCAAGCATGATCATCTGTTTCCAAACCTGTTGCCATCGTGTGGCGAATTCAGAGCAGAGCACAGCATGGTGAGTGAGAGAGTGCAGAAAGGAACATCGAGGTGCGGAATAAAGCAAGTGATACAGAGAGGCCGGGAGGCCGTGAGCAAATGAAATCGGAGTCGATTTGATAACATCAAATGACGAGTCTAGATTACATAAATATAGATATCAGATGTAAAGGATATGTCCAGGCCAGTCTGATTCATATCGGAGGGCTGCTGCAGGCATGTGACAGAAACCTAGAATGCTACTAATAATAATTATATGGAATTCAGAATAGGTGAAGTTATATCATGATGACACTCAGTCTTCGATCGATCGAGAGATTCGGATAGAGAGCGAACAAGAAAAAATGTAGTTAGTATTTTGAGTCCCGAGTGGCTTCGCAATTGAGCCAAAACTTCGGAAATTTTACAACGAGAAACACTTCTAGCACTGGCCAGCAGCCAGCCAGCGAGCTACGTGCAGCCTGTCGACTAGATCGACTCGTGAGTAAATTCGAGCTGAGTGAGTGAGTAAGTGAGTGAGGGATGAGTGAGTGTGTAAATCATGATACAAGGGTGTCGTAGGAGGAATCAGGACATAGGAGACTATCAGCCGCTGCTGCCCCGCATCGCATCGAATCCTGTGGACAAGTGCAGTCCGCCACGAGGAATTCATTCCAACGGAACGGGCTCTCGACTGGCGTTCAGAGCGCAGAAGCTGGAGAGTCTCCGTGTCGTCGTCGTCGTCGTGATCATCGTCGTCGTGAAAAACTAAAAAGAGCAAGCTTAAAATATCTTCTTAAAGTGTGTACGTCTCGAGCTTTCCTAATAGTTCCAGGCCTAACCCAAATCTAAGTGAACGAACCAAGTCATGCTTAAGCCTATATGTATGTACATTTCACGCCCAGCAGCAGCAGCAGCAGCAGCAATCTGTCGGAGCAGAGAGAGAGAGTGCTCTGAGGTAACAAAATTGACACACGAATCGCTGAAAAACGTCATGTGCTCGCAGGAGGGGCAAAAAATATTCTCGCGAGGTCCGGAACCGACCCACGGGCGCAATGGCATGCGCGAAAGCAAGCTCTCGAGAATCCGATCGATCACGCACGCACTCTCGCTCGCTCGCGGCGGCTCCCTGTTGCGGAAGAGCGGGCCTGCTGCCTTTTTGATTTTATGTGATCGGTCGGTAGTCTCTCGTGATCTGATCGAGGCTGAATCGAATCGGGGCGGGGATGGGTCGCTTCTCTACCATCGTCTTCGTCTTTGTCGTCGCTTCTCCACATTCCGTTCATTCATCGATCGATCGATCGGTCCGTCGGCTCGCTCGATTTGTCATTTGGAATCCGCAGGTATCTCGGCGAACAATGTCGCGCCGACCACGGTGACCAATTGCACGAAGAGCGCCGGATCGCAGACGATCGGGACTCCGCCTCGGAACTCATTCTCCACGCCCACCTCGTCCTCCGAGCACTTGAGCAGCACTTGGAAAAGATGGTGCCTCAGGAAATGCTTGCTGATCACGTACTTCACTCTCTTGCAGCTGCGCTCGCCCACGAACACCGTCAAGTACTCAGACGACTCGAGCTTCTCGTCGCCCGACGCATTGCCCGAGCCATCGTCAGACGACGATGGAGACTCAGGCCCATTGGAAGCAGAATAAGAATCCGAACCACCAGCAGCAGCAGCGCAATTCTTGCCCTCGGAATTCGTCCCATTGGCATTCGCGTTGGTGCCGCAGCGCTTGAACATGAATCGTTGTTTGCCCGACGGGGATGGCGATGGCGGAGGCTTGAGAGGGTGCGAGACAGTAACCTTGGGCGACGAGCAGGAATTGCTCGAGCTCACGCTGAGATCGTACCACATCTGAGACACCGTCGGGCCGGGCGATGTGCTGTAATTGTTCACCACGGGCGACGAGATCACTGGCGGCGGGCTGCGCATGCTCCACGAGCTGGGCGACGTCGTCCACTGCTGGATGTTGGCCACCACCGAGGTCGAGCCCAGCCGCCTGCTGAACGATCTCGAGAACGACAGCCCTCTCGAGAAGAAGCTCTTGCCTCGAAACTCCATGTCCGATCTGCTGTTGCAGGATTTACTGCCCACCGTGCGCGAAGCCATCTGCCCCGCCTCGACCTCGACCTCGACCTCCCCCTTCCGCTGCACCCTCCGAGCTCCAGCCACTGGGCACCTCTTCGTCGTCGTCGTCGTCGTCGTAGAGATTGTAATGTATCAGCTTCTGCACGCAGAGAAGAATTTTATGCGGTCTCGGTATCTGATCTCGATTCTCCTTTCGCTCGTTCGATCGATCTAAAAGTCACCCGAGCACAAGTCTATCCGGGTCCAGTCGTGGGTCGTCGCTGGGTTGGATTGGTTGGTGGCAAGCTGTTCGCCCGAATCGTTTGACTTGCAGCTAGCTACCTCCAGATGCTGGCTCGCTACTGCTGCTGCTCGTCCAGCGATTGCACGAGAAGAAGAAAAGACTAACGAATCATGAACTACTACTTTACTACTAAAGTGCTCAAGGTGACTGCTACGCCTGTCAATGCGAAATTTGACAGAGCTCGAATGCCCCTGAGCTATGAGAGTAATGTCGACAAATGGCTCCCCGATGAAGTCCGTCCGTCCGTCCCCGATGGTGTCGTCCGAATTCGCACTACTTGCTACGGATTACGTCTCATTCCAGTCAAATTAGCGAGCGAGCGAGAGAACGAGGGACGGGACTAGCAGACTATCGGCTCGCTTCCGCCACCATAACCTGTTAAAAAACTCCGACTACTCTAGAAGAAGAAGAAAAATAAAATTTGTCGTCCACACTGCACGCTAGCGCTAATTTTCGGTCTGCTGCTGCTGCTAGGCCTGCACTGCTAATGCCGAGGTCGCTGGGTGCAAAACAAACGGGAATACTGGGAGTAGGAGTGCCGCCGCTGAAGCAGAGCTCGTGAGGTCTGGGCACGAGATCGGTACGAGCCCCGGAGATGCAGCAGCTGCAGATGACTCGAAATGCTCGGAAGCTTTGCGGGTCCAGACCAACATTCAGAGGAAATTTGGGTGGCCTTCGACTGCTGTAGTGGAGGAGTGAATGAGTGAGCAGACGAGCGAGCGTGTGTTACAGCTCGAGTGCAGCCTCAGACATCATTGTCGATAGGCTATAGAGACAATTTAGCTGCTGCTGCTGCTGCTGCTGATGCTTCTCTGTCGGTCTGCTGCTCCTGCATGATGATCGGCACTGGAAGAAACATGAACGATAATATAAGAGATCGGTCTAATAGTACTAGTACTCCCTTCGACATGTAGATAGATAGACCCGATTAGATTGCGTCTGAGCTCTTGTTGCGAGTTTGAGTGATCATGATCGGATCTGCTGGGGCACCGGGAGGTAGAAGGAAAGAGACTCGGATGGTAAAATCATTGAGCATGATCTGGTTTCCTCTAATCGGCCCCGAGGTCATATAATACATCTGCCTCCCACCAAAAGCACACCACCGCCGCTGCGTCTGGCTGAGCTGAGCTCGGCCAAGCCCCGAGCCCTCGCTAGCTGCTGACCTCCCTCCCCCTCCCCCCCGTCCCCAGTCGGTCGTCTACTGTGAGCCCCGCCCCACACCCGGGCCTGGCCTGGCCCGCCCCTCCCCGGGCCCATCATGCTCTCGAGGACCCCCCCAAATCCGCAGGACGTGCTCAACCTTGTTTCTCCTCCGCCTCTTTGCTTATTCAGCTGCTGCAGTGCCTCAGTGAAGTCGCAAATTGGCCTCCCCATTGTTCGTATTTTGACCCAGTAATGCGCCACTCCGGATCCTCCCTTCCCTTCCCTTATATTTTCTTCCTATCCCTTCCTTTTAATTCCTTTTCCTTGTGGACTGGGGTCTCCATTAATTCAACACCATAATTCTGGTCTTCAGGCTGGACTCGACCTCCAGCTGCAGCCAGTTGCTCAGAGATTCAGCTGCGTGCGGCATTGACATTCTGTTTAGCATTACCGTCTGCAGGTTTCGCTCGGATTCCTACCGTCGCGAGAACCGGGTCTTTGTTGTTGTGTCCGGGACTCGGGCTCCAGAGATTCCATTCTCCTCGCCATCTCTGTTCCCGGGTTTCGCGTGGGACTCGGTCTTTAAAGTTGACTATGGAGCCCCGAGCCCACGTCCCGATTCAGCTATACAGGGAGAAGAAAACATGCTTCCAATAGCTCGGAATAGCTCTGAATATTGACGCTCTGAGAAATTATGGGAGTATTATGAGGGTTGACAATTGGGGAGAAATCAGGAAGGTTTAGCGCGCGCGTGAGCGAGGCGAATTCTGTTGGACTGTATATGTCCCCGGCTGAAGCCCATGTGAGTGGGGAATCGAGAACCTGGAGCTGGATCTAGACCGGGAGTCTGGACAAGGACGGGCCACGCAGCAAGATTGAGTTGGAGAGCTATAGCTGCTGGGACGAGAGGGTCGTGCGTGCCTGAGTCGAGCATCGTGGTTCTGCACTGAGCTGTCAAAAAACATGGCGCACAGGGGGACGTTCGGTCTACGCTGGGGATGGATCAGTGCATCCCCGGAGATGTTGGAGGCGCTCATGATCCCCCGATCGATGCAAAATTCGCTGAAAATGGTGGGCACCCTGTAATATAGCACAAACGACGAGAACACCCCATCAAGCTCTACATTCGTAAAACCCAATGGGTCACATGGGGGTAGGCTCCGATACCATCGCCTAGGTAAATATTCACTTTCATAGCTGATAGATTCACATTGAGATATATGCCTTCAAAAACTTTGCATCCTCTACAGATAAGGCATCAACGCTCTCATCACAGCAAGTGAGTGATATAGACTAAAGAATTAAACTAAAGAGATGTCCTGAGGAAATATTCTGAGTAAGTAGTTTTATAACCTTAAGATACTTAAAAGATATATATATATATATATATATATATCACTATACTTGGGTACATTAGTGTGCTTGGTATTTCTATGATTATATAAACATCTGATTTCAATATTTATAAACTGAATTATTTATATTTTATTATGTTATTAATTATATTTTATTTAATATTGAATAGCCACTGAATATACACAAATATTGTCGAATGAAATATTGATTTGTTTCGATGTTAATCTAATCCAAGACATATTGACGTTCTATTGAGAACTGAACGGTTTATGGGTGTGAGAAGAAGTGATTTGCAGAGGCTAATGAGATAATTGGTGAGGATTACTCAGACTCACTATGGTGTAGACGAGTAGTAGTTCCGTGTGTATTACCGAACAGTGAACATTGGCATTTGATCCATCATGGTGCCAAAGAGGTGTTATTACTCTGGACTTAATAAAAGATCCACAATCATTCACACTATCTGCAGATGCCGATAATATGCCCGACTACTTTTTCCTCGATGTGCATCTGCCTATCCACTTTCATCAACAGGGCTCGCCCAGTATTTCCGATCCACAATATACAGCCCCTGGATATCGGGCGGGGGATGGCCTGTGATTCCGATCGAGCTCGGATCCGAGTCCGGGACTGCAATGTACCAGCCACTGACTCATCGACACGTTTCGTTCTTCCGAGCATCTGCCACAGGATGTTGGCTCCAATTTAATCGAAAGGGATTGATTGGCATGCCTGAGGACGGGGACATGAACTTATCACGCGGCCCCGTGAAAGTCCTGGTGCTCAGGACAGACATGGATAGCCGAGGCTCCGAGGCTCACACTTGTTTCGTGAAGGCTCACACTCCGTTGCGAGCTTGAGAAATTCACGAGTGCCTTGCCCGATCGGCACCGGTCTAGCTAACTGCGCATGTTGTGCTCGGGGTTTGAATGAATGATTGATCCTTCGCTGGTTGTGAGAGGTTTCTGCTCTCTCCGACAGCTTGACTGGACTCCATGGTGAGGATTTAATACATGAGAAGCTCCCGTAGTTATTCTCTGTCTCCATTTTATAATTACAGCCTCGTGGTACGTACGATGGATCTCGAATGCCTTCAAATCTTCTCTAGATTCGCCTGCTTTTAAACTCGGAACTGCATGCCCGTAAGGGAAAACTGACTTTCAAATCCTTCCACTACAAGGGCTCCATCTTTTTTCAACCCGTACTCGTAAATGTGCTTTTCGCTTGGCAAGAAAGATGATCGCCCATGAACCCTGGTTGTCATTTCTGTTTCATCGACAACTCGGTCGCAAAAGATTATCATCATTAACAACATTTGTTTCAGCTCTCTTAGAATCTTATTTTTGGGTGTTGAGATAGAGTCATCGATTGGTGGGAAGACGACGAACCCGTTCCTATTTCTACTCATAAAGCGATGCCTAGATTGATAATTAGGCTTGCGGACTTCATCGGCCTTTGATCAAATTTGCGAGTTGTAAACACTAAGATTTAGACAGGAGCCAAGAGGTATTATTAAAGCAGGCTATAATCACCTGCAGGTGTAGAGGTTTCTGGATCCTCATGTTCTATAACTCAAGTCCTTAAGACTCCTCGCTAGGTCGAGTGACAAGACCACGTACTGAATCCTTTCAGTGCAGAATCTGAAATCTGGAGCCTGCTAAGGCCCAACTCCAGAATGGTCTTTCTGCTACAGGTCGACAATGAGTTGGTAATTTGTCTTTTCCAACCGCAAATTGAATGTCGGCGTTCAGTAAGATGGAATAAAGCAAAACTTGTCATAAATGCAGAGAGTTCGTGTGAATGGTATGACACGATTCAGAAGTTAGTGCCGACATCAGCGATCTGCATTTAAGTCTCGAGCTCCTCTCCTGGTTTCGGTCAGAATGTTTTTGATATGCTTCAAAGACATTGACTGTACATTTTGACTTGCACATTTCTCTTCGCTGTCATTTGCTCATGCAGTTCGCACAGTTCCCTCAAATTTCAGCCGTCTATCTGAGCTTTTGTTTTCTTAACAATGCCAAAACCATTCAAAAAGTCTAATTTGACCTATTCGTCAAGCTTTGGGTATCCTCCACTTTTTAAAGTGACTGCACAAAGCTCTCGGTGTCTGAGAGTCGAGCATCTGGTATATGTCAGGAAAGAGTAAAGATCCTCTCCAGATTCAGGTTTCAGATGTCTGGGGACAAATTTAGACAAAGTGCTCTGCGTTTGGGCTAAATTAGAGACGACCGAACGATCTGCAGTACTGTTAATAGCCATTTCACTTCAGCCATGGCGTTTATGTGAGCTCACGATGTTGTAGAAGCTGCTGCATCAGGTCATGATTTATCATCGGGATGCGGAGCCCAGACAGCCCCCCTTGGATTCGATGTGACGATCGACTGGCTAGCCTGCAGATTTTGACCTCATTTTCTCTTGCAATTCCTACAACCGGGTACTTTGACCTATTTGCCCCAACATTCAAAGAACCTCTGACAGTGGATTCTGCAAAGCTCGGAAGCTGAGCTCACATGCACTAAAAAATAAAATTATGTTTTGGCGTTTAGCTGAGGACTTGGACCTTGTGTGCTGCACGATGAGATAGTTTCTCAGGACTTCAGCACAAGTGCACCTGAGACCAACATACTCGTATTTCTTCTCCCCTTATGTTGCTCATTTCACAAAGTGGCACAGATCCCACGTGATGATATTTTCGATTTTGGTAATGCAGCGACGCTTCACTTTCTGGAACTGTGTACGCATGTTCGTCCGAACGCATGATTTCGTGAAGTCAGCGCTCGTAGCTCCAGGACGAGCATTCAGGGTGTCGACTCCATGCGGTTGGTTCATGGTGATTATCAACCCACGCATGTACCAAAACTCCACAGATGAACAAGACAAATCTCCACTTTCAGTATATGTTCCTAGCTCTCGGCTGACTTTCCAATACCTGTTCAAAACATTTAGCTCATGATCGTCAAGAAGGTACCACCTCATGATCGGGTCAGGTAGTTAGCATAGGTGATGCTGACCTCAATCCATGGGACGTTGCTCTCATCGTTCCTGACGTGCAAATCCTGATCATGAAGAAAAAATTGCAGATAAACTAAAATGTTAACTATACGACAACACAACTCCCTTCCCAAAGCTTGGGCCTTTCCTCACAGTGCAAAATATCAACGGAAAGTTGGTTCAGAGTCGGTTTATCAGTCGATACGCGGACGCACATCTTTGATGTATCGTACTTGAGGCCGAGGAATCCAGGCATAGATCTCGAGATCAGACTGTTGTTGCTCAGTAAATGCCCAGGGCATGTGCAATCTGAGCGGCCAGAACGACGGGTGTCAGGTTCTGAGATGCAACGAGTCCCAAACGTTTGACAATCTGCATCTGCTGAAATATCCTCTCTGGCTCTATGTGGATGACTGGAATCAAGGTCTACGTACACGAGGATCTCAATATTCCCTTGATCACTATTTGAATGCAATTATCTTATCCTTCATTTATAATAAATCTATCAAAGTTCTCTATACGCTAATCATCATAATCGGACTTCACGCTAGAGGCTAGTAGTAAAGTAAGCACTATTCCAGGAGAGGAATACTGTGGTGAATAAATTTTATATTTTCCTAGACTGAATCTTATTCCATTGCATAGATGATCCTGACACAGAGGTTCTCATCTTTCCATGTTCCTGTCGGGTGTGCAGAATACTATAATACAGGAGTGGCAGAATCAAGTGATTTGGGGATTATTTCAGAGATCCTCTAATCTCTTATTGATTATCATTCTGCTTTCCACTTCTGCCGAGGTAAATTGACCCTTCGACCATTTTAATGAAACGTACAGTAGAGGTGATCTTAAGTACTCATACGCTAGTTGGAAATGAGAAAATTTCCAAATTCTCGACTGTGACATTGGGAGATTGAATCAGATGTAATGTGGATGGATATATCAATCACGTTTTTCCCTGCGAAAGGAAATCAGGAAGAAATAAGGAGGCTAATCTTCAACACAAGTTATATTGATCATGTGAAAACTTAGGAACTCAAAAAATTAACTGAATCTGCCGTCATCTTTGCACGATTGAAGCGGTACATCTGATTAAGGGTTTGCTGTGCACAAGTGGTTCACGACTACGGCTCTTTCACTATTCTCAGTAGACTGCAGTGGAATATAAATTTATCTTCATAAGATCCTCAACGCATCCACTTGAGAGAGCTGTGTACAAAAGATGTGATAAGGATCAAACGCAAGGACAGCAGTTTTTCCAAATTTCAGTACTGCGTTGACAGCGCTAGACGTCTTGTGACTTCAACCTCCTGCACGTACGGAGGACTATCCCAGTGTCTGCATTGTGTTACGGTCGACTCTCTCCGCATGGATAAATTGCTGCATTCCCCCAAAAAATGTTCATATTCACCCTCATCGTATTTTCTACTCCTGATATGATGCTCGACTGAATCTGTTGTCCAAACAAGAATGGTCTTCGCCAAAGCAAGAATTGAACTTATCGAAAACTGAACGGCGAGTGCGGCTGATGATGTTTGGAGTAATCTTATGCACTTTATAGTCTACTGAAGACATTAGCGACTGAATACCAGCCTGGAGGTGTCCTGACTATCCTCATTTGATGACACTCAAAAGAATGATTACATGTCGCTGGATAAATCTGTAACAGTGTAGATTTACTAAGCTTTGTGGGATGAAGGCATCAGCATGACTGTCCGTTCACATCTGATCCATCGTTTGGGGTTCTGAAATGGAAAGCTGATTCTGTTGATGGAAACGTGGTCAAATGAATGAATTTGGATGAGATTTCTCGCTCTTCCTTTTGATCTGGAACGTCAGTATGTAAGAAAGAGAAGGATCTGCGTTTGATCTTAGGATCACTAAGAATATGCTTTGGTGGCCAGCTGGCGATGCTTTATTTCAACACTAACATCCAAGTATAGAAGGCAACATCTGAAACTGCTGAGCGCCTGAAGCTCGCACCGTGAGTCAAGGCTGTATTATGGTTGTACATGGTTAGTATCAAGGAATTACCACGCGTTTCTCACGATATTTCATTTTTTCTACATAGAAAGAGTCGAAAAGGTCTTCAAAATTCATGAAGGTGTTCCGCGTTCTTTCTATTTCACCGTAGCTTAAATCAGAGTATACACAAGCCCAAGCGAAAACATGTGGTCAGCATTCTTGGAGCCTTTTTCTTGCAGACTTGAGAGTGAAAATTAATTCTCCCAGAACTCTCTTTACAACTTCTGAAAATGATGATCCGAAAGCTCAACCAGTACTCTGGAGATTAAATACCTTCCAGATTTTGCTACACTTTGATCCGGTTGAAACCATGATACCTCCGTGTCAAAAACGCCGATCAGATGTTAAGTATGGGTTTAGATGCTTGGTTCTCTCACTCCGCAAAGGCAACTATTGAAAACTCTTCAATGTTTATATCAAGTTATACGGATCACAGTGGAACCCTTACGGCAGAACCAATGTTTTTCTTGTGTCTCATTCTGTCCAATTCCTGTCAATTGTGACATCTTGTTGCATCCAGCAATTCATACATCATTAGGGCAAGAAAAGACATTGTCCCAAGGTTTATCTGACTATATGCAGTAAAAAGTCAAACAAAGCTTGCCGCTGGAGATGTTCGGTTAAGAAATAGAGTCACTTTTAAGTATTTCTTGTCCTATCACAAGTTTATTCCGTCTTCTAATTCGATAAAGGTCCTCCATACATTTTTCTCCAACTTTTAGAGTTACCTGATATTTTTTGTCCTTCCTTTCAGTGCTAAAGTTAGAATTTCATTCATGACACTGTCGTTGTAACAATTGTATGTAAAGTCTGACTGTTACGAACTACGCGAATATTATAGCTGCGAGAAAAGGTCAGCATTATCTTAAGCAGACGAAAAGCACGCGAAAGCGTCCTTCAACAAACAAAAGGAAAGTAGTAGCAATTTAGTTTTATTACACTTAATGCCTCCAGAGTATGCAGTCACAAAATCTGTGCTGATCTGTGACCAGGTCCAAAACATGACTGTCGAATAGAGCGAGTCAATTGCTCTCTGCGTGTGAAAAGTCAACTGCGATGGAGAAGTATTTCTGTCTGTTATTGTTCTTTACATTACAGGGACCTGACGACATGAACACAAATTAAGATCAAGTACTAATTTCCGAGTGCATGATACGATCAAACCTTTTGATTTCCAGTTATAAGGAAGATTTAGAATTTATGTGTCGCTTATCTCCTTGGGACCTGGCAGGTTGTACCTTCCGGATCTGCAGCATGATTCCTTTCTCCAGCCGCTTTCGACATAGTTACTGTTCTTGTTGCCTCTTGCTTCTTCTGAGCTCGAGCATAATCAACTGATTTCCCTATGCTTGGACATGGTTTTGAGGCTTTTCACGTACAAGCGAGCGAGAACTCTGGAGTTCAGATATCGAGGGGCCTAAATTTAGCACGGAATTCATGGAAAGAGCAGAAGCTGTAGACACTTCCCTTTCCTGATTTTCTCAGCCTCCAATGAAGGAGATCACATTTCATGACATTGCACGATCTGACTTGCCTCGTGGAGTCCCGAGCTAGAGAGAGGTTCTTGGCACAACGTCCGGCAGTGAAGGAAGTTCCCTGTTTCATGTTCCTCTTTGAACCACGCAGCACGCTATGCAGGATGGCAGCCTATGCTGCACACAGTCTTGTGTCCCGGACACGGATATGACTTTCCTCTCCGAGCATGAAGCATGAAGCATGTAGCACGGAATGTCATGAGCGCACACGTCAGGTTCTCGAGAATTCAGGGCTGGGTGTGAAGCCTGGATTTCAGCAAGCTCGGTACTTTGTACCGATTAAAGATCTGAAGGTTTCAGAGACCACCGACCTGGTGTCAGGACAAGAACGATAAGATTATCAATCTTATTCATAAGCCACGTTCTTCCTCGGATCCTGGTCTTTCTACCGTGAGACTTGGTGCATGTTCTCTTTACTCACTTTTGCGCAATGGCGATGTCGTATTCCATCACTCGTTCTAAATAGCGATGTGTTTTGAATACGTTATCCATCATCACCGTTTGTTGTTCCCGCAAACGCAAGCAGCATTTTCCAGTTCTTCAGATAATGAAATTTACAAGAAGCATTGTTTTCAGTAGATGCTATTAGAAGATATTTTTCTTCGAATCCTTCACATCATGTGAAAACTTTCACGGAGAACAGGGATGTATGACACCAGCCGTGAACATGTAGATGCTAGGAAACTTCAGGTTCGGTATGTTTACCATGAACAATTGGATTTGGGTTGAAATGATATTGTGTAAAACATGCTCCAGCGTTGCTTGCAAGGAGAATTAAGTGCATGAAGACCAGAGCACGTCGTTGAGGTTTGAGAGTTGACAGACCTTCAAATTATGATCCAATTTCGAGAGGAAGTAGCAAACAAGTAACTGAAGTGAAATACAAGAAGGCTGAACGTGTTGTAACTCTGACAATCATTCTATGATCAAAATTTCACGCAAGTTTGCAATAAATGAAAACACGAGACAACACACAAGTGGAGGATGACCAAGACGTTGAAGCTTTCGAAAGAACCGACAGATTAATTGAAGAACATTATTAGCTGATGCAACGATTCAGAATATTATTGTTCGTAGACAACATATAAGTTCCAGGACTCTGGTAATCGACTTGTAAACGTGGTATCAGTACGACGTCACAGGCGATCTAAAGAAATAAGTACTATTTTTACTTACGTGAGAATTCTGTAGGTGCCACGATTTCAAATCAATAGCATGACGTTTGAACTGCGTGTGCGTTAAGAGTAGTGCAATTCAGAGTGCACTAAACAACACAAATACTAGATGCTTGTGTGATGTATGCATCATCTCGGTGAGTCTGTCGATCATTCAGAGGAAATAGTAGGTTTGTGCTCTTAACGAGTTTGCTGGACTACCAATTCGCGTGGAAATGCTGCACTTGCTCTACGATCTTTTCTTAATCAGTGTTGAACAACACAGGTAGAAAGAAAAGAAATTGTGTTTCTAGTGCAGGAAAATTGGCACATGAAATATAATATTTCTTTGAACTTGGAACGTGTCTAAAGATTTCGCGAACAATTATATGCCTGTATTAAAATTTTAAGCACTGTATCGGAGTAAACCATCTCAAGCTGTACACGCGTCTTAAAGATAAACGGCAAGATTGCTTGGAAGAAATCATATCCATAACTATGTGGATTATATCACATTGTACATCAACTTAACCACGTTCACCAGCTACACGATTGTACCAGAGCAAGTTCTTCTAAGAACATGCGAGTTTTCAGTCGTGGCAGGCAGTAGCTTCAATATCAACAGCCGACTTAGAGCTTGACAGCGTGCGCGTCACCACATTCCTCTGAATGTGGTGACGCGCACGATTAATTCGCTTATCCACTTTAACGGGAAAAAGACTTCCATTTGTTAGAGCACGAGTAAAATGAGCTCTCAGGTGCCACCAGTTAAGAGGCATAGAGTATGATTCAGCATCGTTTATTTTTGCTTACTTCAAAGCAAGAGGTTACACAAACACATTAGTATGTATTTTCCAATGACGGGGCAGAAACACATCAAATTCGTAATGAGAGACATTATGAAATGTGGAAAGCAGACTTCTTACGGTTCGCGTTTTCTAAACCTTCAATAAGATGAAGCAGGGCCTGCATATTCTTTGTTGAAGATCCGTTTCCTCCTAAAGCTTCTTCGGCTTTTTGCTTCATTTCCAAAGCTCTCTGTTTCAAGACAGAGCCTTCTCTAGTGTGAAACAGGGTATGGATACTCGTCTCAATCTGCTTTCTGTCCACGTATCCCAGTTGCAACAAGCCTGGACAGATTTCCAAGGCAAGTTGTGCCTCATCCACCAAGAACCTAGGAAACAACAGTAACGTTTGTCATATCACACCAGGTAACTAATTAGCAAGACACGAATAAAACTATGTGGGATTGAAAGCGCTATCGTTCTCGAATAGAAGAGACTACTCTGATCATAAAGATGAATGACACAAGGAAATTGTGTATAGGGTCTCTTCAGATTATATCCGTCTCAGGAGAGACAATGAAGGAATTGTTGAGAAACGCTTTGGCAGATACGGACAGTTACATCTCAGCTTGGACCAGCTATCTTACCAGCGTATATATGAAATACAGAGAGGAATTCCTAAACTGAGCACACCGGAAGGTCACTGAATATGAATCTATGAAACAAAGAGCTATATGGTCCCTCAGAAGCATAGATTCCACTTATTGTGCAAAGATATGTTGTCATCAAAATCTGTAAGCAGCTGATCAACTGATTTCCAGGAGGTTGGTTATCGTACTAAAGAAGACGAATGACCTGAACTGGATGACATTCTAAATAGTGAAACCAAAGATGCACATGATTCGAAACTAGGTAGAGCTTCACGGTGATTCATACTGAATTAGAACAAATCTATACCAGGAGAAAAATAAAGGAACGCCACGTACCTGCAATTCATCAATTGGTCATATAAACAAGGCCATGCTAAAATAGGAACTCCCATGGACACGGTTTCCAGCAGAGAGTTTTGCCCACAGTGTGAAATAAACGCTCCCGTCGATGGATGTGAAAGGACTTCCATCTGAGGTGCATAGCTCTGCACAAACAGACCTCTGCCTCTGGTACGAGCTAGACAGTCTTGAGGTATGACTGAAAAGATATCATCAACTTGAACGTCTGGACCTTTCTTTGGAGGATGTAGGACACATAAGAATGGCTGCTGACTGTTTTCAAGTCCATAGGCAATCTCATGGATCTGTTTCCGAGTATGATTGACATCGCTTCCAAATGCAACAAACACAACTGAAGACGCAGGTTGAGAATCCAGGAAATCTATACTCGGGTGTTTCTTGTCAGCTCCAACTCTAACTGATTCTGCCCCCTTGCTACTAGACAGAGAAAGAAATGTAGGTCCAATATGCCAGATGTGGGGTGCCTGTAATCAGTAGAATCAATGTCAAAAACACGACACATCATTTGCAGCATGGAAAATCTGTCTGATCCAGATTTACGGTCCAGAACATCCTATTGAACTTTGTTTAATATCAGCGATAGGCATCACCTTTCTGCCGTTTCTGACGGCGTAAGCCTGCAAAAGCCTCTCGAGCTCTCTTGTCTGTCTGGGTTCCAGCTCGGAGAATCCGCTCAGAAGTATGACATCAGTTTTTTGCAAAGATGGTCCGTTCCGCCTCCCTGGGGCATTCAAGGGATCGTCCTTGAAGAAAACTGAACCCAACTCACAAAGTCTCATCACAGGAAGTCCTGGTACACTGATCATTTCCTCCTGACATCTCTTATCCTGGATATTGTCAGGAAGATTCAATATGCCCACGGCTTCGAGATGGCTAAGATAAGTGTAAATCGAAAGGTAAGCAGCTGAGAAAGAACAAAAAGTCCATCCAGGAATGCCAAACCTGGCAGCCGTCTCCTGCAAACGGAAACATTAGATTCGCATCACTTGCACCCGGGGTATATGAAGTGATGTCAACGAAGCACGAGCAGATGTCACATTGAGTTTCTAGCAGCAATTGAACCTCAGAAGAAAAGGATATAAGGATCAGACGTTCCAAGTGCACTCACCCTCGGTCCTGGCATCCAAAAGTCAGCTATCACGCAAGTGGGCTTCGAATCACTTTGCAGTTCACTCTTCAGAGTCTTCTCAAATGCATCGTCTGTCTGGTATACAGGGTTCACGAATCGTGCATTTCCTCCGACACCTCCATCGGCTATGATTGTTTCGTCTAGCTTGAGAACTCGCAGTTGAATGTCCAGACCTTCAAGCTTCCAGTTCTCGAAAATATTTTTGTGAGCGGTGAGCAAACGTTGACGATCTTCCTGCGAGATGAAGAGCACTACATTGAGCCCGTGACGAGCTAAGTTCCTGGCCAAATGCGTGAAGCACATGACGTGACTCAAGAACGGCATAGGCACAAGCCACACGATTGGTGCAGGCTTGACTGGAAGAATCTTCTCATTCTCGATCGGCTCCATGAAGTCGATATGCGACTATGCCAGTCTATCAATGCCCCGTCAATCAATTCGTGGGATGAGTATTACAGGTTTTCCAGCGGGATAGCAAGTGCTCCTCTGCTTCTGCCGTTAAACCTCAAGAGGCACATTTCCCTGAAGAGAATCCACGGGAAATCGCTAACTCAGAGAACCATGTTGGTTCGTTTCTACACAATCACTTTATGCACAAATCTTACCAGATTACACAAATCTTAGGTAATGAATGTTACTCTTGCAGAAGAGTTCGTACAGACACTAATATATATCACTGATAGTACCACTTCAAGCCCTTGACCTGAGGGAGCGGATCAAATTTACCAATTTGGGAACAGAAACCAAATCCACCAAAAGGAAATCATCATTGCCATGACCGTCAGCTGAACTTAGCTCAGGCGTACACATTCCGATCAGCTTTGATAGAGACTTATTGTCCTTCGTGCATAGATAGACCTTACATCGCAAACAGGACTAAATTTTCTCGAAAGCCAAGCTACAAAACAGTGAATCCCTTCGGCATCAGCAGAGACGTGATACAAACTCTACGAAGACAACTCGACCGAGAAGCTGATTGAGTGACTAAATATTATGCGAAGTAAACCGAAACCCAAGCCCGATATGGGACTAGAGACAGAGGTCTCTCGCCAAACCGGACCTCAGGAACAAATTTGAGGGATGACAGAGCAAATTTGAGCTCAGTCCAGTCAGAATACAATTACAGTACTGTACGTAGTTCAGCAGAAACTCAGATCTGACAATGTCAGAGGACAGTTGTCCACCGAATCCACCCTTCGTTCACACACAGGCGACCGATTGCCACAAAATTGACATCCAGGTATCTCGTGTCAGACCGCTAGGCATTCTCCAGACTGAGCTAGTGTGTTCCAAAGCCAAGTCTTCAGACCGTCCAACGACGACAACACATCGATCGTATAAAGATGCAACTCCTGTGGCAAAGTCGTCCACGTTAAAATCGGAAATATTGGTATACAAAGTGGAGATGAGCACCAGCCGGTGAGGACCACGTGCCGCGAAGAAGACTTCTGTCGCCATGAGAGCAAATGGGCTTTAAAAGGATAAAATAGTCATCCAGTAAATGAGACGGTAACGAGGCATCTCCTCTTCCGGATCAGATGTCAGTCACAGTTTTCTTCTGCATGAATTTCATCGATTTCGGCACTTCCTTTCTAAGCGGACAGATTCCCCTGTCAGCCACAGAAATCCAAACAGAAACAGAGAAGATATTGGCCTGACCTGACCTGGCTTTGCTTAGCTCCAATTCAGTCAAGTTCAGATCAGTCCTACCAACTGGAGGCATGTGCAACGCGAGTCGTCTGTAAAACAATCGGTTCTCCATCTGGTGATGTGCTCCAGATAGTCTGAATCTAGTTCAGGTGCGCTGCAACTCTGCCTCTCGATGGCGGTCACTGCAGCTGCTCAACCTGTTGCTCAGAAATATTCTGCAGGTACACTGGCATGATCTGGGAGGTGAGACTCGGATTTAATGAGAATCTGTACACTTGGCCTTCGATCGAAGGTATCTGATAAAACTGACGACTAAATCTGGTTGAGACCTGGGAAGTAGATGTGCCAAAATCTGGCTTGCTCTAACAGTCATCGGGATTCCCCCAGAAATCGATGGAATCGTCACTGAAGGAGTCTGGTGACAGAGAAAATACCAACAAACGAGCTTGAGCAGAGGTCGTCAGCGACAGACGTAGTTCATGAAGCTCACCAGCTCTGGTTGGTGATGACGCTTTTTTCCAATTAGATCCATCACTACAGCAAGATTTCCATTCATGGCACCCGTGCCTTCAAAATTGAAGGCTCTGAGTTTCAAACCCATTCATATTCATGTACTATGAATCTTTTTCCACGTCCACAAGTATAACCGTCGTCTCTTTACGTACTCTACATGCAACCAATTTCAAACTCCAAGTTTCTGAATTCTGTTTTCCGATAAATTCGAGTGCAACTGCTGTTTATATCTTAGATCTATATTTATATATAGCAATTCTCATATTTGTGGCATATACACATGTGATCTAAATGTAAATAATCCTTACTTACAAATCAAATATATTACGTAATAACCTGATACTATTGCTCTCAAAATAATCAACTGCATGAAGACTAGGCTTTTGGATTTCAATATAGCGGTACAAGTATACAATATGGTATTGTGTTTTCCTTCACTAATTCAAGCCTGGGTGCTACTCCAGGGAAAAATAATCGGGCTGAGTGAAAATCTTTGGAAACTCAAGTCACCACGGGTGAACGAAACTCAACCTTTATTCGTTGAAGTGAATTTATGATGCACTTAGGCGATATAAAATTAATGATAATTTGTACAACATGATCAAACCTCCTGTCCCTGTTGTAATCGTAGGAAATTGCGCTTCCATAATTCTATACTATCTAAATTTTCAACTTTTTATTGGTGCAATATTCAATCCAATTGCACTGATAGAGTTTGAAATTTGTAATTTTTTGTTTGAAATTTTTGATTTCAACTCAGATTCAAATTTTTCAAAAAATTATGATTTGATAGTTTGGTTTTTAAATATTTATAAATTGAGATCAATAAAATTGTAATCAAAAATTATTTTTCATTATATTTTCATCATGAATTTTTTTAAATTATATTATATTATTACACATAAGTGTATGAGTATTATCATGAGTTTTATCACCGTTTTAATTTTTTGTAATATATTGTAGTATTTCTAAAATGAAAGTAGGGAAGGTTGTATTTGATACACAATCTAGAAGAAATTAAATTCATATGTGTTATATAAAGACACAATATTGTACATTTGGTGTATATCATCACTCTTGATGATCTCATCCAGATTGAAAAACAAATCAATAAATGAAAAAAAATGATATTCTGATCAAAAAATGAATGAAATTGTTGGCTACTAATAGGTACACTCAACCACATGAATGTCATGTATTGGAACCGATGCTTTATGTTTTTCCAAACAAATCAGCATGAAAAAAATTATTGCAATTTACACAAGTTAGTCATGGACATAGGTTGGATATTGAAATAAAATAATTTATTTATTATCAAGCTTAGAATTATCTCCAAAAAAATATCTCATCTTGAAAAACATCCAAAGAGCTACTTTCAAAATGTGTATGATCAATACTATGAAGAAAAACCGTGATTTGTATTAATAGTGGAAGACAAAAAGTTTTGTTAGAAGCTGAACTTGGTCATTGGTAAATATTGAAAGAAACTCATTCTACCTTGTCAATAGAAGGTTAATTTGAAGATGAAATAAATATATTTATTATTATTATTCATCTATGAAATGATTATGTTTTATTGCAAAATTGCAATAAAACATCATCAACAAAGCATAAATAGTGTGTCTATTAATTTGAAGAAATGTCTTGAAACTTTTTTGTTAGAAATCTTAGAGGGAAATATGAGTTAGTCATGTAGTCTTGAATTCTGTCGTGGTTCATCTCTAATGATCTCACAGACCTTGCAATTGATAACTATCATTGTAAAGCGCCGACATCAAGTACAACATTCAGTTGTATGCAATAAAATCTGATGAAAATTAAACAATCACATATAAAACATAGCAGTGAGAAGAGAACAAATGCGAGCAAGAGCAAACACAAGTGAAAACAATAAAAACCGAAACTAGGGAAGGGTAAGAAAAATTCAACCCATAGAAACTCAAAAGCTCAAAGTTGGAGTGACGAACGTTCAAGATTAAAATTTTACTCTCACCTTTACATGGTCATGAATCAATATAATCTAGTAAATCAGGAGGAGATAAAAAGAAATTTTGTGTAACATCAGCTATGGTACATTTTCCTACACTTAGAAGTGTACATCACTTCTTGCTGTCAAGCACAGCTCAGGTGTGTTTCTCACGTGGAGAACGCTCAGTTTCAAGCAATTTTTTGCCCTACATACAACACTGTTGACCATTTTTTGACCTTGCTTGTTTTATGGAAAAAGTCTAAGGGGTAGTGGAAAAGCTTTGATGTGCTTTCATCGATTTTAAGTAAGCTTTTGACATTGTAACTCGTGAGCTCTTATGGAAAAAGATGCAAGCCACTGGAGTACCACCAAATCTTTCAGCAGTTGTGGTCACAATATACCATTCTGTTCAGGCAAAGATCAAAATTTTTCAAACTTAAAAGGTTTCGAATACCAATGGAGTGATTCAAGGTTTTAATCTCTCTTCTATTCTATTTAGAGTTTTCATTGATGATATGGAAGAGTGGTTGGAGGCATGTGATAGTGAGGGTGTGAAGCTTGAAAACTTTGTTATCAAAACTCTTTTGTATGCAGATGATATCATATTACTACTACGTTATGCAATTAGTTTACAAAAACATATATACAATTTCGCTAGCTTTTGTACCCCGAATCAGATGGAAATACATATGGAAAATTTTAAAGTCATGACAGTGAACACTAGATCCAAATTTTCATTCTTTTACAAATAACTACAATTAGAAGTGACAAAGAGTTATAAATATCTAGGCATTGATTTTTCTAATAATTATAGTTGGGCACTTTGCGAGCAAAATAGAGTAGAAGGCGGTTAAACCTCTATATTCATTGTTAAATTGGTGTAGAATGTTTCATTTAGTGTCTTGGAGTTTTAGTAAATTTTTATTTACAAGTTTAGTGTTGCTAGTAGTATTATATGGAAATCAAATGTGAGGCTCTGGGTTGTAAGAAGACAGGTTGAGAGCGTGTGGAGAGTTTGCAGAAGATATTCTTCACACTCAATTCTACAAGAAGAATTGGGTGTGAGAAACCAAACTCCATATGTTATTCTTCTTGCTAAAACATGTTGTTTACTTCTTGCTAAAACATGTTGTTTACTTCTAGATGCGGAATTTCTATATTTGACTATCACTTACATCAGAAGGGTGAGATTTTTTTATGTTTCTCAACTTACTCTTCAAGCTTGGTGTGCCACACGTGCCAAAGAAAGGTTAGCGGATGTGATAACTTGGTTTTTGAGGTGGAATGTGACGAAATGCGATTGGGATCTACAACCTATGGCACTCCATGAAAGTTTAAGAGATGAGTTTCTGAACATTATTTGGAGCAAGCGCGGCACCAAGATGTAGTTTTATCAACTCCATGTGATTCCTATGCTGGTTTACTGTGAACAAGAATAACTCTTTGTAATAATCTCTACGTCTTTATGTCATATTATTGTTAGGCATAGAACTTGATCTCATAGGCTTGGAATCGAGGAATAATCATAGTCGTTGGTTTAATATTGATAGGAATGAACAATATTTGTAGTTTATGTCACTGTGAGTGCATTGAGGATGAAGAGCATGTATTTATACTTATACTAGGTACGAAAACATTAAATTCATAATATAGATGTGAAGAATTTCTATTCTTTATTATAGTGAGTTCCTTTTGATTTAGGTTGATATATTAGAGACATTATTAATTACCGTTCTAGTGCTCTTAGCATTAAATAGTATTGATATTTGGGTGTCATCTCACTTGAGCTTTATTACCCTTTGGATACCCCTGCATGGTCTATTACCATTTGTAGACATATAATTGGTGGGAAGAAAAGAAATAAAGAACAGAAGAATTAAAAAATGCACATGTCCCACTTCGGCTTCCAAGAGCTGGAAAGATGACGGGTCTACCTTCGACTTCAGCTCCTGAAATGATATTCATTCTCTACAGGGACATCCAGAGGTGCCCTGGGCCGATACCATGAAAGTAGTCTTCAATACATGTACGACCGAGGGAGTTGTGATCATCTTCGGATCATATCTTCACCACACTTACTCTGCAGGATGGGAATCATGATCATTCCAACAGGATGGCACTGAACAGCGTATCAATCTATGTTAATGTGATGAGTGTGAATCAAGATATTGCCGTTTATCAGGGTGAACGATTTCCTAAGCTGCTCAAAATCACGTACTTGACCATACTGGCGGAGCGAGATGGTAGTTGTCCGCACCCTCTGCGGATTGTTTTACTAAAATATTATCGACTAAAGAGCACTTCTATATCACACAAACTCTGCTGGATAGCTATTATAAACAAAAAATAAAAAATGATTTCCAGTAGAACCAGTATATACACCACACTTTTTATATCAAATACAAATACAAATATCAACAATTGATATTTGTATTGCATGGTTCGAACTCTCATTGCTAGGTCTGGCTTCTTCCCTCCTTCCTTGACGGACACTACAGCACCTGAACAGACTCCTCCACAGTTGGAGCCATCATATCTGGAAATGTCGTTACAGTATACCATCTTCCAAATCTAAAAAATTTAGATTACTAATTGTGCAAGAGTGTACTGCATGTTGGCTCGTACTCAAGCTTAATACAAGGTTTGTGAAGTGAAATCTATTCTGATTTGAAATGCAGGCAAAATGACAACATTGAGCGTAGTATTCCAGTCTCGGTAGGCAAAGACAAATGGCCATCAGGAAAGCTGTTCCTTTGCGTCCGCGATGAGCTGACGTATCATGGTCGAAACTTCAGACTAGACAGCGTCGAAAGCTGTTTGAGACAAGTAACTTCCCAACTTTTCCTTCGCTCCTGTCTCCTTCGTTGGATTTGTGAAGCAAGACGACATAACTTCTGTTGTGTCATACCATCTGTACACAATGTTCGAGAGTTTTAATTTACTCCAGCTTTTGATTTCGTCTCATTGAAGGTTCTTCGTTCTCCCTTGTGAACTACGTGAAAGGGAGCTTGAAACTCTCTTGCAGGACCTTGACCTTTCACTTCAGTCCACCTTTTTCACACCTCCTCTACAACGCAGAGTTTTATCTTAACCCAGAAAAAAAGGAAAGATGCACAATAGGCTAACGTCAGACCAAATATACATAATGTATATATGGTCTCATATCAATTTATATTTAGCGGGAAGGTTAGTTATCACTCACTTAGTGCTAACTAGCGCTCACCCTAATATACGAGATTCTTTGATTGGTCAAACACCCTACCGTGATTTTTGCTCCTTCGAGAAAACTATAACATTTCATCAACCAATCAGAAAAGAAACTAAAATGAATTAGCCGCTCCTATATATATATATTTATTTATTTATTTACTACCATGTTCATGGGCTGAGCGGTCAAGAAACGTACGTGAGCCATGGCAGAGACATGCTAGTACGAAGAGACAAACGCCGTAGTATAGTAAGAGAAGTAAGATCTAACAGAGAGAGGACTTCTGACCACTCGAGATAGAACACTATACTTGGGACAAGGGGATTTCCGAACAATTTAGCTGGGATTTACGCAACACCAATCGAGAAAGATTTGAGTAAATTGTACGATCAAAATGTAGAAATAATGGTCAGAAAAAAGTGTATATAATCCAGATTTGTGAAGCTTCTATTGACTGCGGCAAAGTAGAGGATATTCTTATTCTGTTTCGGGACGTGAAACGAGGTGATTGTTGCCATACGTGTCCGTTAAATTTCAAGTGCACGTGAGACATGGACTTGACAGTCAATTGACAGTTTGCAGCGCTGGAGTGGAGTAGGCCTTGCCAGAAAATTCATCACAGTATCCACTCAATCCAATCTTCATTTCCGACTCACTGTATGGAAGCAACGTGGCCCACCGTGCGTTATCTATGCAGTGAGGTTAAGATTGCCAAACATTCACCTTTCAGTTGCAATATTTGGGGCCAATCTTGTAGGAACGGTTTCTATCAAGTCTGCTATTTTCAAATTTACCTCATGAATTCTGGTGTTGAGCTTTAGAAAATACTTGTTCCAAATCTGAAGATACGCAGTCTCAGATTCTCCTTGCTACTCATTGCGAGTGGTCGGAAATGTGTGTCAAGTGCTGTGAAAATAAAAGTGTCAGTAGGTTCATACATGCATAACAAGTGGTCGGTTACTTTGTCTTTACACAAACTTGTCAGGGCGTAAATCCTAAGTCCACATAATCAAGCTAGAAGGATAGTAGCGCTCAGCAATAGTAACACAGGACTTAGTCTAGAGTCTCGAGTGAATTGTCGAAGAAACCTCCGCAGTCATCAACGCTAAAGCAGATGGGTGCTTGTATGGCGGCTCACTTGCAGAGAAGCTGATTCTTGTGCTTTCTTGAGACTCATGTTCACAATATCTTACGGGCTGACACTCATCTCCTTTAGCTAATGAGTGCTATTGAGACTTCGCTATCGATGCTCTCAGAGTTTTAGCGTGGAAAGTATCTATAAATACAGCGAATGTTATGAACTGCAGTCCTTCTGATGCAGAAGATGAAGGACCCACACTGACACAAGACAGTCGGTGAGAATTGAAGTGGGGTTTCAAATCTGATACTGTTGGGCGATTGGGGGGAAACCCGATCGAGCAATCCACGAAAATCGATGCCTCGAGGTGCACGAAAGCTCAATGCCCAACTACCCCTGTTGCTACAGGGCCTAGGCTCCAGAACTGAAGAGATATAGTACGGGCCTCTCCTGTCATTGTCGGAACTGGACTCGAGTTGATTTAGTGCCAAGTGCGATGTTCAGATAGAAACGGGACCCGATCATGATTAAGACTTGTCTGAGTTCAAGAGGTGAGCAATGAATGAAACAAGAGCACAGGTTTTCAACTCTACGAAAGCGACATGCGGCTTGCAGAATCAGAGCTAAGCCCAGATTTCATGAAAACCAAGAGCGTCTCGAATTTTCTCTATCCTACTTTTCTTAGAGTCTTATCCATGAGCCCTGAGAGTACTCTTGGCAAACTGATTATAAAAAAGGAATAGTTGTTTCTGACATAAAGGCACTGCTTTATTCGTTCTGTACATCTCGGTACAAGAAATACATGTCAATCAGTCAGCTGTATACAGTGAATACTGGTATTGGCTTTAGCCTATGCCGCACTTCTATAGACACCAATGAGCTCCTTCTTGCAGTCGGAACAAAATCTCGGCATATTGGTGTGAAGGGCACAGATGTCACGGGGGGCGAAGAAAGTGGAAAGACATTTTAACTCCAGAAAATCCCTTTTTTGAGTAAGTTGAGGTAAGCAAGTTCAAGCAAGATTTGCACCGACACGGATCTACTGATTGAGGCTAAGGCTTCAAAGAAAAGTCATTTATACTTTAGGAATTCCGACAATTTGTTTAGTTGATACAGATTGTGACCCAGATATGACAGACATACCAATTCCTGCCAACGATGATGCTAGAGCTTCAATTAGATGGATTTTAAATAAATTAACATTAGCTATTTGTGAAGGGTTCCTGCAGCACATCCTTAAATGTGGACCAATAGCTGATTTGCAGCTAGATTACATGCCAATCCTCCGACTTTGCTTCTGTCACTGCATCATCAGGTTGTTGCAATTGTTCGTCTGACGAAAACGTCCTCAACCACCATCACTCGATTCGATTCCAGCCATTGCCTCGAAGTATTATTCAGATAGGCCTGGACAATCGAGTTCATCATACTTAGAAGAGACGCATAAGCCTTCTCTGAAATAAGAAGGGGATTATGAGAGACGAATAAAATCTGAGAACTTTGAAAGAACCAGAAATCATTGAGCTTGTGAAATTGAAACAGAACTTTCTTCGTTTTGACATTGAAATTAAGATGAATTGTTCCAGTTTAAGCTCAGTAAGTTCATTCATTCCGTAATCGCTGAAATTGGAACTGACAAGGCTGGGCCGGCCAGCGCAATTTCAACTCCACGTACCTTTGATGAGAGCAACAAGAGCCTGCATATTCTTATACGTTGAACCTTTAATCCCCACACTTTCTATGGCAAGTTGTCTCATCACTTGAGCATTCTGTCTCACGGTTGTACCCTCCTCGCTGTGAAATAGGGCTCTCACTTTCCGCTCCACCTCCCGTCTGTCTACAGATCCGTCTGCCCCTTTGCAAATCTCCAGTGCAACCTCGACTTCATCTACAAGAGATCTACAAGGATTTGGAAGCCACTGGTAACGGTTACGATGGCGGAATCCACCTTCTGGCTGCAAACACCAAAGAAATGTATTCAACATAGAGACTATACTGCATACTAGGATATGGAGTTACCTGCAATTGATCATTTGATCACAAATAAGAGGCCAGGCCAGAAGAGGAATGCCCATGGAAATGCTCTCCAGGATTGAATTTTGGCCACAATGTGTAATGAAGCCTCCAGTGGAAGGATGAGCAAGAATTTCCAGCTGAGGAGCCCAATCTTGCACAAATAGCCCACGACCCTTGGTTCGGTTGATCAATTCTGGAGGTATGACCTGAAATAGATCACCTGATGGATATTGTTCAGTTTTCCTTGGATAATGCAAGACGCACAAGAAAGGCTGCTGGCTGGTTTCGAGTCCGTATGCAATCTCCAGCACTTGTTCCGGAGTATGGTTCCAATCATTTCCGAACGCAACATAAACAACCGACGATGGAGGTTGCTTGTCCAGAAATCTCAGACAGGGTTGCACATCTCCCTCCTTAAATCCATTCACATTCGGCCTGACGCTCTTAGCAACGAAGGAAAATGTTGGTCCAATTGTCCAGATCTGCGGCATCTGCTTTCAAACATTTAAATTTAGAGAACAATCAGTCATTAAACCTCTGAATGAATCAACCTCTTTGTTCAAGATTCTGAGCTACTATAGGAATCTCTCAAATGAGCTCAAATTTTCAAACAACCATCGAAACACAAAGGATGACACTAAAATACTCCACGAAGAATACAACAATTCAATGTAGGCCAATCTCTCTATGTAATGACCGACCAAGTTTTTTAAGAATGCGATGGTTGATTGCATAATGAACGAAATTCTTATTGTTGCTGAAATTCCAGAAATTCCTGAACTTAGACTTAATGCTTCACAATTTTAAGAATCTAGAAGCCAGGAAGATCAGCGACAAATGCACGGCTGAAAGGACAAGACAGGACCTGGGTGTTGTTATTTCTGGCCAGATACTGCAGGAGTTTCTTGAGTTCGCGGACAGCTCTGTGCTCCAGCTCCTCAAATGTGCTTAAAAGAAGAACTTCAGCTTTCTGCATGGACGGTCCATTTCGACGCGCTTGTTCGAACAGAACATAATCCTTGAAAAATGTTGGATCTATGTCACATATGCGGACAAGTGGTAAACCTGGAAGGCTTATCATTTCCTGGCTCTCTTCGTCCAGTTGAGAAGTCGGTAGATTCAGAATACCCTTCGATGCAAGATCCGTAAGGTAAATGCAAGTTGACGTGTAAGCTGTCGAGAAGGGAATGAAAACCCAAGATGGAAGTTTCAATTCACTCGCTGCCTCCTGCAAGAGTCTAGAAACAAATCATTCAGGTCCTGAAACAGTGGCATAAACATCAATTTTCAAACTTCGATTTATAATCTTCAACCGAGGCAGTACACAGCAAGAGTTCCCCTTATCAACACTTAGAGATAAATGTCCACGCACCCTGACTCCCGGTAACCAAGGATCTGAAATCACACATGAAGGTCGGGAGTGGCCGAGCTGAGCTTCGTTGGTCAGAATGATTTTCAATGCCTGTTCCTGATCGCGTATCAAGGTCACCAATCGTTCAGGTCCATTTTCACCATCCGCCAGCTCCGGCGGCTGCTGTATGTAGAATAATCTCAGACGGAGGTCCAGACCGTCAAGCTTCCATGATTCACACATTTTGGGCTCAGCTGCATGTAGACGATCGGAGTCATCTTTGGTGCAGAAGAGTGTAACCGCAATCCCATGACTTGCTAGCAGCTTGGCCAACTGTAAGTAGCAGCGGACGTGACTTATATATGATATAGGCACCATCCACACACTGGCCACTGCCATAAGAGCACACTGCTTGGGAGCAACCAATTCGTCCATGTACGCAAGTGTCCGGTGCCAACAGCAGTCAATGTTCATATTTATAAATAGATCATGGTTTCAATCTGAATATGTAGAACTCTGCACTCTGTGACAAGAGAGTCATCGTTACAATAGTCACATGATGTTAAACACCAAGGAGTGGACACGCACTGGGGAGAGCGTCCTTAAAGTACAAGTATCAAATCTGAGTGTGGGAGTCTGGGATCCGATGCTAAATCTGATGGAGCAGATCAGATTACCTAAACAGGAGATCCAGGCGACCCAGAGTTGTCGTCCAGTTGAAAAAAAAAAAAAATTTCCTGTTGACTCTCTTAATCACAAGACATAACTCTTCATCAAAAGTAAATGAAAGACGGGATAGAGTTAATTTCCGACGCAAGAGTAGATGATGTTGAACCATAGGTACATTTTGGTGGGTTAAAGGAGTGTTTTTAGTTTTGTTAGACAGCGTCGTTTAGAGCTTGGGTAGCAGTTTTAGCCCATATATCCATGAAATTATGCCTCGAGCACTTGGACGTGTTTGCATGGAACCTGCCATTATTAATCTTAGTTTTGGACACTCTTCTACTGGGAAGAGGTATTACCGGTGGGGAATTTGTTGGTGAAGTGTCTAGAAGTCCTCCCCTCATATTTTCCGATGACGTCACTATTTCTAGGGATCAGATTTTGAAAATGGACAAGCAGTCACATTAAATACTAATAAGAAACCTTGTTCACTAAAAGTTCATCAACGAATTTTAAATGTCCAGTCATGAGTAGATCGTCAGAGGTGTATCCATATTGATGTTCCTCCAGTACATTAACCTTTTCCGTAGTACGTCCGAAGCAAAAAAAAATTCAACATCAGTCAATTCCCCAAACACTGTTCTTTGCGCATATTTTGTGTCAGAGACAGGAGTTTTCAAAGCTCGTTGTGATAAATATTTATCCCATTTCTTTAACCAGTGTGCAAAACGTACTGGAAAGAAAATAATACAAAAAGAAAAGTTACAAATAAATTTATCATTTGTGTGTCTTCTAGACATTAGCACATTAAATAAGATTGCTTGGATTGTAAACCATCATACGTCTCAATTAAAAGTAGGCACATGATTTGACCAAAGGTCAAGAAAGCTTACTCAATAATATACTCTCGTTTCTAACATTCAATTCTTTACTTGTGACTCATTATTAATATCTCTACTTGATTTTGAGAAGAGAGCAAAAGTAGATCTCATTACATAAGACTCAAAAAACAAAAGTTTATCCCAATAAGCTGAACGATGGAATGAGCAGCCAACGGGTAAATCAAATTTAGTACATATGTGAGCCAATATTACAATTTTCCCTGAATGAAATTTCTATTTCTCTGAAATTTATTTATTTATTTAAATTTATTTATTTATTGTGCAGTGAAAACTAGCATCGAGTGCTATGTATTATCCTCTTGACGAAAGCTGATATGTCTTTCAGAACAGAAAAAGAGATAGACTTACTGATTCAGAAGAGTGAAGATTCTGACACTGTTGGATTGTTCATGTCGATACTGTGTCAAGACATTATTGTGTCTATCCTTCAATCTACGCATGGATATAGATAGCTGCGTGCATACCTGAAGGCCGGCCCCAAGAGTACCATATACTCAAGAAACAAAGCAAGCTTGACCAAAGAGGTTGGTGATTTATATCTTTATTTACAGAGAAAGGTAGAAATTTATGACTACAAGCCATAGTTGAATACTGGAGTGTATGACTAATGAATTGAAACTAGAAACTCATGTAATGTGTCTGCTAGATCTGTGCAAGTCGAACATTTTTTGACTTCAAACTTTGCTCCTTTACACTATTTCGTTCACGAGCTCTTACTTTCTACATTTTAATCCCAAGTGGTTTAACTGAAAGTTCCAAGACATAAGAAATGAGGAATTTATGTTGAACTTTGAGTTCTTCTCAAGCATTTGAACTGAAAAGTAGATTCATAATATTATCCTGAGTTTGTCAGCTAGCTGTTTCTGAACATGAAATGAAATCAGGTCATTTGATTCTGCTCTGAGAGAATCTCTGAGCAAGGTTCTGATTGTGTGTTCTCCTTCGGCGTGTGTAAACGGATTCATGAGATGATGTGTGGATTCGTAAGCTGATCTGCAACGATGAACGAGCAGTGTTTGTGGAGGCAGGCCTTATGACATAATTGTAGATGGAAGGGGTGGACTTCAACGACTTGAATACTCCACAACAGTTTTTTCAGAGATTTAATTGTGCCAGGATTCCATGTCAAGACGCCGTTCAACAAGGAGTGGCCCTGTCTCGTCGTCCAAGTTAGTCTAAGGCACGAGATTGAAATAGGTTGATCCGTTTGGATCGCATCCAAGTAAACTCGCTGGCGACCAATCTTCGTAACTTTAAATCAAATCTCATGTTCTTTAGTTTACGTTAATGCACATTATTTGTACATTAACGTAAAACAACGAACATGAGATTTGATTAATTGTTAATACGACTTCGTATTGAATTTCTTAAAACGAATGACCTGGATTTTCTAAATGTTCACCAGTATATAATTGTGAACATTTAGAAATTCAACTACGGGCAGGACGTTTGTTAAGAAAACTCAACTTATGCCAAACTAGCTCCATACTGTTCTTTCATAACATAAGTGTTTTGAATGAAAGTTTCTACAGCCTCATTGTCTAATTTCGAGATTTACATTATATTCGCTGCTTTCACACATCTTTCAAGCTATTTCGTTTTTATCAACAGTTCATTGTTTACTTCTGTGCTTTCAACAGTGTTTACCAGTTCAACAGAGAGTTTACTCTACAAAGATTTCTTGTTTTGAGATCGTAGCATACATAGATTTTTTGTTTTGAGATCGGAGCTTACAAAGACTTCTTGTTTTCAGATCGGAGCATCTATCAGAGATCAGATCTATCATGTCTTCATACTTATTCGGCTTCCTAAGGTTTGGTCAGAAGCTTAGAGTATGGAAGTTGTCAACAAATATCGATTACTCATGATGTGGCATTTTTTTTATTTTTTCTCAGAAGAAACTTACAAGTGCACTTAATTTTTACTGATCAGAAGACTCCCAGTCTAAATAGACAGATCTACACGGAGCACTGCAGGGAAATGTTCAAATTCGAGTACTTCTCATACTCCTCTAAAGATCTACACAAAGCAGTCCAGCCATATATTCAACATCCAAAAATGGGGAGGCTTTCATCCAAGTCCGCAGGGTTTGGACCTCAAAAAATGTTCCGATCTCGTCTGCGCAAATCACCACAATCTTGACTACTTCTCCTCAAGATGAAGGAGAAGTGTTCACCTCAAAGTCAAAGCCTGGGGGAGAAAAATCTGTAGAGGAAGCAAGCCTAAGTTTGAGTGGTAAGAACGAAGATGACATAGCAAGTGATCACAAAGCGAGTGTAGATATTGGAAGGACTGAAACGACATCAGCTGACAAATGGAGGCGATCAGAGAGAGAATGGGAACGTGAGCTGGAGAGCGAGGAGGAAAGGGAGTTGGAGCGTGAGAGAAAGCCATCACGACGGAAAGGGAAAGAGAGATGAGGTGGAAGATTGCTTCGACGATAGGGGACGAATTTTTAAGGGCTCTCCTTGAGGTAGGTGATCTATGTTCCTTTTCATTTCGTGTAGTCAGTTTCTTGTTATCCCGTTGATTTTCTACTCAGCCCTGACCATAGAAGACTCAACGGGCCTTACTTGAGGCAGTTATTCCTCTGTACGTACTTAGTATAGTTTTTGTTACTCCTATGCTTCCTCATTCCAGAGCAGCATTGATGACACCGATGCTTGACAATCGTTAATGTCCAGGTATGTGGAGTGATCAAAAGTTGGAAATTAAGGCCTCTATTTCCTCCTCCTCCACTACCACCCGCTGGAAGCCTAAGCAAGGCAGCGTATACGTTTGATTCATCAAGATTTAAGGATTCGAATCTGGATGACACAGAAAGCGAGTGTAGATACTGAAAGGACAGACGACATCTGCTGACAAAAGGAGACGTTCAGAGAGAGACAGGGAACAAGACAAGGAAAGAAATAAAAGAACAAGAGGAAGAAAGTGACGATGAATGAAGAAAAGTTGATATATAGTCAGTCTACTTGACGAGAAGCGGAAAAGAAAGCTGCGCGAACGTGAAGAGGATACGGCAGATAGAGAGAGGGAGGAGCAGGAGATGCTTGGTGAGCGACAGAAGTTAGAGGTGATAGTCCTAGAGAAGGAACCTGTGGACGGAGATAGTGATTACCAGATGGCTGTTGATGAAGAAATGGACGAAAGCCCTTCTCCACAAGTATTTCCATCAAAAGATACAGTTAGTGTTGCTTCAGCAATTGATGAAGAAGACGATCAACCAAGAGGCAAGTAACTTGTTGAACTGCAATTGCATGCTTGCTGTACATGTAGTAGTGTGCACTGTCTTCGATTCTGCAAAAATCAGAGGTAGTCAATGACATCGCCTCAAAGTGGGTACTTATTGACTGATATCTCCTTATTGAGTTTTGATTGCAAATATTTCTTGTCAGCATACTGATGGAACAGTCTTTGAAAATTGCAGCTGAAGCGTTGAACAGCAACGGCATCCATGAAATGGCCCAAAATGCTGAGGGGTCAAGCGCCGCTGTCACAAGCACCGAAGCTGATCTAAAAGCTAGTCCTGCTCCTCGAAAGTTGGTATTATGGGTTCTGGAAAGCGGACCACAGTAACATCTGTATTTCACCAGGAAGATGAGGAGGAGAAGACAGAAGATCGCAGGCTGGGGCCCCTGGTACCTATAGATTATTTTGCTGAAGAGATGGAAGCGGTTGCGGTGTCTACCCCCGCGACAGTTAGTTCCCCTGCAGTGGCTGCCAATTTGGCAGCTGCAGCGGAGTTTGCAAAAAGTTTGTCAAACCTGAGCAGCATCAACACTTCTACGAGAGAGAACAAGAAAGAGGATGGTGACCGAGACAGGCAGGAGGAAGAGAGACAGACCGGCCGAGAGAGAAACACCTGGAAAGAGAAGAACAGGGATAGATAGGGCTCCGATCGGGTTCGGGTAAACCCGAAAACCCGAGTTCATGTTCGGGTCGGGTTCGGGTAGAGGGCTGTACCCGACCCGAAAACCCGAAAATTAATAAAGCAACGACAGATAAGAATTTCGCAAGGCCCAAGCAACACTCAAGAAGAGGAAAACTTGACCACTTATAAAATCACTTTCTTTAAACTTAATCGACTCGACTGATGCAAAGTCGACAGCATTGAAAACCCTGCACGAATAAACTGGTTTTGCTTGCGCCATTACTTAATTCAATATTGGGGCACTTACAACAAGAGGCTAGATCACTACCGAGGAGGATTTCAAGTCCACAAAAGATGATTTACAGTCTGGTGAATCAGTGGATGATGTATATTACACAGAGTATGTATATTACACGGAGTATGTGTATTACACATACGACTAACCTCGTCTTTACTCGATGAGAAAGTGCCCTTTGTATGTGAATTCAAGGGGTTGTGGTGCACATCTAACTTTTGGAAGATATGTTCCTTTACCTCTTTGGCCCTTAATAAACACAAATAAGATACGAATGTAACTGAGTAGCAAATACGTGAAACAAGCATACCAGGTGGTGCAAGGAAACACTTAGTCGGACCTTTTAAACCTTTTGATGACATTGTACCAAGTGTAAAGATCCAACGAAAAGTTTGCAAGTAAATATCTCTGACCTTCGTCAATACCACTCGATCTCTGTGCGCGGGGAATCAAGTCACACATAGTGCTCCCCAGCTGCAATCGGCTGCAAGTAGGCTTCTAATTAAGTATTCAAATATCTGCTCGCATAGAAGGTACATGGTACTCAAGTGCTGTGCACGGAAACACCAAAGCGCTGGTTTCTGCTAAATATCCTAGTTTTAGCTGGGAAACCAAGCTGGAAGTTGGGCCATGAGTTCACTCAGCTAACAATCTCCTTCAAAACTTCCTCTACTACGTCTCTCGTGGACATCTGAAAATGTTACAACAAGCTGCTCACTCTCTATTATCATACCTTATTGCCATCCCCTGTGCTCCTCTCCCTCTCCTACCTTCCCAAGGTGGAACAATTCAGGTAGATGTTGTGTCTCGAAGACTTAGTGCAGATCCTGTAATCCTCAATAAGCGACGAAAGGAGAAGGAAAACAAAACCGGCATAAAATTGAACAACATTAAAAGTTAAAATGTGGAATCATATCAGCCAGATAAGCTGAAAATAAGTTGAGTCACATCGTAACAGATATCCCTCAATACTTTACTCATATGCACATTCTTTCATTACATACATACACTTCCTTTGATGTCTGAGCCCCCCTCAGAGATTGAGATGATACAACGACAGATTTTCAGAATCTTATAGCAGCATGAGAAGAGTGAAGCAGTCTTAACTCTCTGCGATCGAGTAGTATCACTTGTCATATGCACATTATGAACCACTTGGAGATCAATCTTGAATAGTACAAAGGCATCACCAAACTGGCAACAAATCAATAGCTTTGAATCACAACTACCAGACTGTGGATATTATATGGAAGACCTCAAGTAGTATCCAGAACCTCTACAGTTCGCCTGGCCATGACTACTCGTCTTCTCCGTCCTAAAAATTTTGTCATCCACAAGGCATCCCCACCTACGGTACGAAAACCTGCTCTGGAATAAAGATTTCTCGCCCCAATATCATCTTCGTATGCATGGAGTACCAGGTACTTGAAACCCCAGTCTGAAGCTCGTGCAATACATGCCTCCAGGAGCAATGTCGCCACACTCCGCCTCCTGTCCAATAGAAATGAACAATATTGAAAATGTTTGTCTGATACACTCCACTCCCATTCAATCATCAAAACATTTGACACATACTCTTCTATTTCACCTTCTAATCACAAACTCAGAATGGCTTGGAAGGATGACAACATGAAAGACTTATCCAAGAAGATCTTTCTCTTGAACTTACTACGGGAGGAAGAGTAGGTAGAGAAATCAAAAGAAACCAACCCCTACACACCTTCTAAAACAATAGACAAACTTTACTCAGGGAATAAGATGCAGTCAACTAGAAAATCCAAAACATAATCAAACATTGCTTCATCACAGATGGCAACTTCCTTCACAGAACAGTTAAGTCAAACATACATTTACTAATTAACGAGGCAACAGAAACTTGTAACTGATCGATAACTTCTATATATTTGTTGTCGTGATAGTCCTCACAAGTTCGAAGATATTTCAAAAGAAGTATGTAGCAAGTTTTGAAGGCTGAAATGTAAAACCAAAGATTTATGCTAGACGTGCCACCAATGACGATTACTCAAATAAAAGAGACAATTACACGCACAGATCACTCTTATTTCAACGTCTTCTGCAATTACAGCTTGGGTACTAAGAACAATGCAAGCACATCTGACCGCTCAATGAGACTTGTGTACGGAGGCGTAATTACAACTATTGCGTGAATATAACTCATGTGGGTGTTTCTAGAAATGAATGTTGGGTTTTTCATCCAGATCTCCATCCATCGGGTAATGTTCATATCATACTAAGAGTCTACACGTTGAAGACTACTTGTTAGATAAGATGAGCAATTGAGAATGAGAGATCAATCACAGTTGAGGAAGTATTGAAGTTTAATTGATGAATGATGTAACATGGTATGAGAGCAGGTTCCATTCCGATTCAAGGACGCTTGAATCCAGTAAGCCAAGAGGACACTTCTGGCTCTGAACCATCTCTGTGACACCTGCGAAAGCAATTACAAGAGATCCCGAATCCCCACCAGGCTCCGAAATTCCACTCCGAATTTCAGTAAATTCGAATGTCTGAACCTGTTTAATACCTCATAATGCTGATCTGAATCACTGTGGAGCCCGAATTTCATAAATTCTTTAAAATTCCGAATTCTTTAAATTTTCCTGCAATTCAAACAAAAAATTTGACGAAAATTCACGAAAAATTTCGTTTCGCGAAAATTTCTGAAAGTGGGGTCAGTATCCTGCACCACACCGTGAAGAAGGTGTAAACATGCAAACTTCACGAGTAAGATGACTACTCCAGGACCTTCCATCCGATTCTCATTAAGGATGCGATGGGAAACACTTTCTTGCTCTGTTAGATCATCCAATCTTTCAATCCTTACTCAACTGTGACTGATTTCTCACTCTCAATTGCTCATCTGTGACGTGTCTCGTCAGATGCATTTTAAGTGCTAGATTATCCATCAATTAAGCTTCAATCCTTTCTCAGCTGAACTGATTTCTCACTCTCAAATGCTCATTTGTGACGTGTCTCATCCAGTGCATTCTAACTGATGTTTTAGATATGGAAGAACTTTAATTAACTTAGTAGGCGCCGTCCTCTTCGTGTAAAATCGAAAGGTCTTTCTCTACTTCATACTTGTGCTCTTCAATCCCACAAGTATTGATTATCTTAGGAGGGTGATACTACTTACTTTGTGCACTCTACCGCTGGGCAACAATCTTCCAACGCAAATTGTGCACATTATGGAATGTGAATGGAAGTTCTGCAAGTTGGAAGTAATTCGTAAAGGTAGTAAGAGGTTTGAGCGGGACAGAGTGCGTACTCTGGTTGTAATCTACTATTTTGATCATATCAGCGAGGAAAATTTCTTTCGATTGGTGTAAAGGAACTGTTTACACGAGGCACACTCGAAATCGCGTGTGCATCATCTACCACATGTGCTTACCACTACAATCTAAAACTAAGCAAGACAGAGCGTGGACGTTGGTTGTTAAGAACTGATTGGAGGATGTCGGCAGTCTTCGTTCGCCTGGTGTTAAGCAACCAATTTGACCCTGTCACGTCCTCTAACTCAATTTTTAAAAACAGGCAAATGAAGACTGCGGCAGATATTCTCAAAATCAGTTCTTAATAACAACCAGCGAAAGCACTCTACCCTCTCATCTCCTCAAACGGGTTGTTAGATACCAGAAAAACATGATACGAGAAAAACGAGATTAAGGAGAAACTTAAAACGGAGTTCGATATGGTGGACTTAGAAAAGATCCATCAGTGTCTTGGAATGCAAGTAGACAGAAATCGTGAAGAAGGGTGAATTCGTATCTCCCAACCACGATATTTGGTTAAAAAACTTGCGAGGTTCAACATGGCTGACTGTAAGCCTATTGATAACCAATGGAACCCGGTTTGAAGTTAAGCGTGCTTGATTCTCCCAATTCAGTGGGAGAAAGTCAAGAGATGAAAGATATACCATATCAAGCTGCTGTTGGGAGATTGATGTGGGCAATGGGCTGTACTAGACCTGATATATCTTATGCTGCTAGTTCAGTAGCTCACTTCATGTCAATCCCGGATTAATACACTGGAAGAAAGTAAAGAGGATTTTTCAGATATCTGAAAGGAACTCTCGACTTTGGCCTTGTGTTTACAAGGGTTGATAAACCATCCGGTTTAACTGGATATTTTGACGCGGACTGGGGAGGTTGCTTTGACAGGAGACGATCTACTTCTGGATATTGCTTCCAATTCAATGGTGGAACCATCAGTTGGAGATCAAAGAAGCAAAAGTCAGTAGTACTTTCTCCTACAGAAGCAGAATTTATGGCTTTGTCCAAGGCTGGAACTGAAGCTATGTGGTTAAGAGAATTATTGAACGATCTAGCCTTCCAGCTGGAGTCGACAACCATATTCTGCGACAATCAAAGTGCTATTGCACAAATAGAGAACCAGAAAAATCACGAGAGATCTAAACATATCGATATCAGATATCATTTTGTCAGGGACCTAGCCGCGAATAACTTGGTCAAGTTAGTTTATCTCCCAACCGAGGACATGATAGCTGATATCATGACAAAACCATTAGCTAGAGAAAGGCATTGGTGTCATAATCAGAATCTAAGTTTATTAGATAAAAACGAGGAAGAGAGAAGTAAGTAGGTAGCAAGTGGGAGGGTTAGAATACACTTACTCCCTATTACTTCCATGTGTTCGGACTTGTACAAATAGTACTCTCCTGTTAACTCCACGGGATGCGACCCTTCATAGGGGTGTGTCTGGAGTTAACCATCCTAATTAATTGGAGAGTACTAATCACTAAATCTCAGTCCTAACAATTAGGACACTAATTGTACAAGTCTGATTACATGGAAGTAACAGGGAGTACCTGTATTCTAACACCTGGTGTTAAGTAACCAATTTGACCCCGTCACGTCGTCTAACTCAATTCTTAAAAACAGGCAAATGAAGACTGCAGCGTATATTCTCAAATCAGCTCTTAATAACAACCAGCGAAATCACTATACCCTCTCATCTCCTCAAACGGGTTGTTAGCACCAACGTGTGGTTTGTAGTGGTAAGAGCATGTTGAGGTGATGCTTACGTGATTTCAAGTGTGCATCACCTGGACAAGTCCTTATTAAGAGCATTGGGCATAGACCCACAAAAGTTACAGTAATAAAAAGCGGAGACTTTACGACAGAAACAAATCGAAAGAAAGGTTGAATTGGAGAGCCGTATGATGTGCGACTATCTCTTAAGGTTCGACCAAGCCCTCAAAAAACTATACAGGGTAGACATTGTAAAGAAGGTGGAGGAACTCAGTAAGTTTCTGGACAACTTAGACTCTGGTCGGGTAGACATTGTGGAGAAGGTGGAGGAACTCAATAAGTTCCTGGACAACTTAGACTCTGGTCGAGGACTCTGGTCGAGGAATAACGCGTTCACCACCTCAAACCGATTCTTACAATTACAAACCATATGAGTCAAGGGTATTATTAACCGGTTGGAGAAGATGGGCACGAAACTTTGTGTTCGATGGATCACAATTATGGATCACAGTGACAAACCTTACTAGATAGGAAGTAGATTCCACTTTTTAATCATAGAAGGTAGAAGTATACCGCCTTCCGCGTGATCTCTTCATGGTCTCAAGTCAAAAAACTGCACTTTACCCGGCTCAGCATTTCCCTGAGGAGATGCAACAATTCCTCGAACTACTGGAAAATGGGGAGGTAAATAGAGTGTGACAGTGTTATTGTTTATACGTGACAGTGTTCCAGTCTTATCGCACTTCATCTGATATGCTGGTTCATATGTATCCAACCTACAACTAGCGTATTCTTGTTATGCGGAAAATTGGTCCTCACTATGGCTAAAATATCAAGATTTAATGCAAAAAATGGAAATTTCCATGGGATGTGTTTCCGGCACAACTCCTAGGCCCCAATTGTCACTACGATGGATCAAGAGTTTGACCACATAATTTATACCTTTCCTTTCCATCAAAATCTACGAATACAGTAATCAGCAAATGCTGGAATAAAAATCCCTAAAACAACTTGCACGGAGACAGATGGAGTCAAGCGTCCAGAGAACTTGGAAGCAAATCACCATCGGTCAAAGTATCTACATCCGGCCATGATGTAGATACTTCGACCACCTAAGTAGTCAACTGCCGGCGACAGCTTAGATGTGCCACCAAGATCTGTGTAGGGGAAAAAAATTACAGAAGGGAATATTATTTTGCGCGAGAGACAAGTGCCGACAAACTGTGTAAAGCCATCGATGACAGCTTTCAAAAAAAACAACATACTTTAGGGACCAAATTTTGATCTTGATGTGGAAGATTTGATTCACGGTTTTTATTGTTTATAAGAAACTCCGAACCGGTTAAGATTTTGGAGAAGCTCCGACTGGACTCTGAAGCAGTGATCATTTTTTCCTTTTGTTTCTTTCTTTCCTCCCATCGGCTCTTCTTCTACTACTCATTCTGTTCACACTAGCATAACTCATACCAGCAGAACTCAATAAAGAGAGGTATGGTCCTCAAGTATTTTCATGCTCATACCATTAGCTATTGTTTATGTGGACAAAACTACATACCTGCCCAGTCACTTGAACCTGGTAAAGGCCTGTTTGCGGAAGCAAATTCGTTGCAAAATTCTGGAACCATTACTGCTGCAAGTAAATTTTTTAAGATAATGCCTTCCAGAAATTTGCGACGAGGTTGCTTTCGCCTGCGCTAGGAGTTTTGAGGCCACGGAGGTAAAGCATGATTACTATCTCCGATGCATAATGCCTCTGATCACTGAGTCACTGAGTGGCACTCAGTGACTTTTGAGACTTCAGACTGGAAAGGATGCTCGATACCATAAGATGACGAGTATTACAATGCGCTGATCTTATTCTACTCCATCCAAAAGCCCATGTTCATAATTAGACTAGAAGTAAGATAAGTCATACATCCAACAATATAAAAGCATAGAATATTAGCATCAGGAATGGTCATCGGTGTGGCTCACCTATATGCAGAATCAACTGCCATTCCACTGATGTACAGGTATTCGTATGCTCCTGGAAGGAGGGACACGATGTTACTATCCATCAAAGCTGTCACATCAACAGCCCCAACAATTCTTGTCTCATCTCCGTCCTCGAGAAAATCTTCGAGGTATCCGGGTTGTGATGGGTCCTTTTCTGCGAGGAGGCAAGAGTACCTGTTCACCATTATCTATGAATGAGTCTTCATCGTAACTTCGCAAAATTGGTTGCATCCTAACAATAAATCGCTCACTCCGTACTGAAGAAGTTATGACTCAATCCAAGGAGAAAAGCGGTGATCAATCAGTTTAGATTTCTGTGAAAATAAACCGAAAATGATGTTCAATCGTTCTGCTCACACGAAATTAACAAGTAAGGTTCGTATTCTTGTGTTCAGGTGAAGTTGGACACGCTTTTGTTCCAGACTATTGTGGATGTCCGCCTCTTACCTATCTGGAGGAGAATGTCTAGCCTTGTACTGGAGACTGCTCAGTACTTCTGCCTGCAAGATACGACGAGGAAAAAATTGAGTACAGGACGCAAACATGCTGTGCACAAGAACAGGAGAGGAACTGAGAGCGAACTTCACGGACAAAGCGGAAGGAAAAGGGGTGAAGATTTGGTAAACAAAAAGCTGGGTTTCGACATCGACAGTTTGTTGAGAAGATGCAAGGACTTGAACGATCAGACAAGTAGTATGTGCATGAAAGCCGTAATGAAATTATTGAACAAAAATATATAGGAAGTAAGGGAGCAAGTAGTCCAGAGCCTTACAGGGTTTCATTGCCATCAACATAATAAGATTTTAAAGTAAACAAGGGACTGAAAGAGAAAGACAGTGTCAAAATAAACATGAACCGCACGCAAAAGCAAACGATCGAAACGATAGCCTACAATTATCCAAAGTTGGAATGACGAGTTTCCTTGAGTGCATGGTGCTGAGGTAAACAATGTACTGGCTGTATTGCCACTATGCTGAACATCTTATTGTTGCCTGCAGTACCTGCCCTAGTGTTCGCATGAATATCTTGGCCGTACTGCAGAGGAACCTACTGGGGTTTAATTCATCCTGCTGTAAGGAAGAAGAAATTGTGATTTTTGAAAATAATTGACTGCTTGCTATAAGAAAGCTGTCGTCAGCCATCTGCGCAACAAATTTTCTATCGTTTTGATTTCCCACCAGAGTTTTGCCTTCTATGTAAGGTATTGAGAAGTTATGTCTATTTACGGCTTACGTTTCTAAACATGCAGGCGTGATGTGAGAGATGAAAGGCACAACGTTACTGATGTACTTGTAGTATGTAGACTTGTGAAGGGTTCTAGTGTGACAGCCGATTGTAGTTGCTGTCATATAATGCTGATTCAATGCCCACATGAACGACAGGCGATAAATCGCCTTGATCTCACATTTGCATTTCTCTTCGAGCATCTACCAGATTTTTCGATACTCCAGCCACGCTTAGCAGCAAGAGCTAAAAATTTCTTGGAACTCACTGAAGGGAATATTTCTCTGATTGCAACTTGTTATCCTTCGACAAATCGTAATTTCCTCCCTCTTTTCTTGTTTCTACTTGTAGCTTGAAAAGTTCTCAACCGTCCCTCTGGCTACATACACGTAAGCGAGCTTCGATTTCTCACAATCAATCGCCATGTGTAGACCACAAGAAATGGTTGTCTATGACACTCCTGACTTATATCTGTTGTTTCCTTCATCTGTCCTAGTTGAGATTCAACTGATGTTAGTTAGGTTGCCCGTGTCAATCAACCAGAAAAGATCAATATATAAAGAAACAGTTACAACGTACAACTTCACAAAACAAGTGACACTATTGCACAATCAACGCGTTACACATTATCGGATTGAAGCCATCCACCTGTACCTAGCAAAAGGTTGACGTTTATAGTGCAGCATATCTCAGATCTCAAGTACACCTCGGTCTTCTCAACTCGAACATTATGCCACGCAAATGTGGCCTCTCTCTACTGCGTCTTTACGTTACCTGATTTTGAGTCACAGATGCTGAACATTTTATGTCGGGTGGTTAGATTAGGGGATCGTTCTTTTAGTCATTACGTGGCTTTCAGTGGTGGTTCTCGCTTTGACGGGTAGTTTATAACAAGCTTCACAAGCCAGACTGATGATTAACTGAGCCATAAATATTGGGTAAAATTGACATTCATGTGGTCAAGAAGCATCAGTCTTCCCTTCTGAGAGATTTAACATTTACGATCGACAAAGTCAAAGAGAACTTGCGTACAAGATAACCTCAAATGCTTTCATGCCCCTATGGCCGTTCAATCTCTAAAAGGTCCAGCAAACATACTAGATCATGCATACACATGAAGTAGAGATGGTGGTGATTCTATCGCTACCCTCACTAAATGTTCACCTTCTCCATGACAAATGCCTGCAAGATAAGGGGACGACAAGAGCAGCATGGTGCTCTTCCCACCATCGAGAAAACTATTAGATGTACTAAGTTACATCTAACAGTTGGCACATTCAAGGTCTCCTTCATGTCTTCTGTATCAGAGACATGGCTCAACAGCTTGGGCACAGTCGACTCAAAATCATCTCTTCTCTTCGTCGCGGCCTAAAGCTCCATATACTGAGGCCCATGGATTAGTGGTACAGAAAATGGTACAGAACATTAATATACTGACTCGATAATTAGTACGCAGTAGTTGCCATACAAACAGACATGACACCTATCTCCTTCGTCCTTATGTTTGGTGAGTCAGAAGAGATGATTTCGATGAACTGCAGAGAGGCAAAGTGATGACATAATTTGAACGGTGAATTCGTGCAAGAGAGCACAAGAAGACGAAAAGCGAGGAGATCCATTTCTTCGTCCATTAGTCTTTTCACTGCAAGCCATAAGAGATATCACAAATCATATGTCTTCACCCATTGTTCAGTACGAGGCATGTGGCTTGGAGTTTGGCTGGTGCATGCAAACATGGGAGCAGAAACACATTGCGGTCGTGCACATGGAAACGCACAAACGTGCACATTCCATAAAACTCGGAAGAGATGAGTGTTCTTTAAGGGTCCCGCCAATATGACTGGCGGTACCTTTATGAACAAGGTGAGTTAGTAGCAAAGTAGGAGGAGGAAGAAATGATTTAATGTCCTACAGGTAAACATGAAGAGCGAGTGATTGGCGGAAACAAGACTCTAACCAGTACATCAGAATTGTATCTAGACTTGAGACATGCTAAGGCAGCTACTGCGCGGACAGCTACTCTTCTCCTTGAGTTCTTATAACTGACCAACAATTCCTCATATCTTCGAAGATACACAAGGAGAACTCACATGGAAAAGTTTATAGAACAGGTCATCAAATGCAGCAGCAGTGATGTGAAAAGCATCCGTTTGAATGTCGGCCACCCTCATTAACTCCTCCAGATTGTTCAAAGCTGCAGCGCGCACCCGCCATCCATACCCAACTGCCAAGTAATCTCTTCGTCTGTCTCCGGAGGCCCACATCTGCTCATCATTGATCGTCACTTCCTCTGCCAGCATAACCTTCTCCGGGATCCCATGTCCCTCTGCTTGCGACCTTAAACTTTGGATGATGTTAAAAAGGCCTACCGCATCGGAAGCGGTCTGAAAACCTCTACTTCCTCGGAACACCTTGTTGTAAACAAAGTGGTTAAATTCTACCCGAGAAACCAGGGAGGCAGACGTTACAAAACACTTGCGCAATTTGTAAGGGCACCGATGATTCATCGATACATGGCGCATGCCAGATGATGATGCTCGACTAACTCTCAAATACACAGGTCTACTTTTCTTCATCGACCAAGACAAACAAAATGGAGTGGAAAGTTTCATTATTCTGTATAGTACATTTTTTACTCTTCGTCCGTGAAATTCAAACCTGGACACTGCCAAGGGCAAGAAGCTAGTGGTGGAGCCCGGACTACACTCTAAAGATCGCGAGATGAGAAGCATGTGCCTGAAATGTCCTTGGCTAACTAACACATGTCCCCTGTACGTGCGGTAGCATTTTCCGTTCCGTGAGGGAATGGAGGAAATGCAAGAGGTTTTGGAAGTTCCATCACCAGAATACATCGATGAACTAAACACATTGCTGGTAGGAGCCAGAGAACATTTGGCAGAAAAAGCCGAGCTCAGTGAGTTTGAAGAGCGGGGAGAAGGAGATATTCTACAATATGGAGACTGAGAGAATCCGCTACCGGCCACAGATGCTGACAGACTACTGGTGGCGCCAGAAATTTTCGAAATTCTTTGATTTGGAAACGCCTGAAACTGAAGTCCTTGGCTATGAATGGCCATTGCTCCAATGGACCCGCTTCCTGTCGAGTCAGGAGATGGAAAAGATATCTCTACACCCAGAGAGAAAGAATGATGATATTCTAGCGAACAGGTACCTGTCTCCTCGATCGCTCTGACTCGCGGTCGAGGAGAGAGGATGAATCGAGATTGCGACTCGACAGGAGTCACCAGAAAGCTCTCGCTCGAGAACCGAAATGCACATTTGAATTTAGCTTCGGAAAAGATTGAGAAGGTCCCACGCGGAAGAATTGGCGTCCGTCAGAGGCCTCCCCGCCAGCGACATGGCTTCTCGAAGCAAGAAAGCCCCGAGCGAGTGCGGTGCGGACGCGGTCGAGAGAGGAGGACGGGAAGATCCATGAGAACCAGCTGCTGCAGCATTGGCAAAGCTCGCAGGCACGAGTCAACGAGCGCGAATGGGTGTCGTCGACGAGGAAACGCGAGATGCAAGAACGACCAGATCGAGCCGAGCCAGAGTTCTGTGGGCCCGCGGCCTCTTGTCTCCTCTCTGCTCGGATGTCATACTTGGGCCGCTGTGAGCCATTCTTGGGCCCCGTTCGCTTTTCCACCGCGAGCGAGCGGAGGTCGCTTTTTCCTCCGCATGAAGTCCTTAGATTCCTCAGAGGAGCTTCAACCAGATATGGCTCTTGCCCTTTTCATACTCCTAATGAACATGACAAGAGACAGAACAATTCCACAGGCTTCATGCATCCAGAATTATAATATACTTCCAAAAAAAACGTGCTTTCCCTCCGACCACTTCGATTAACTTTAACGATATGATGCATTCTGTTGCAATTGTTGATAGATCCGATGCTGATTCTAATTGTTCTTTTCAATGGTAATTGGCTTTGATACCCGAGTTGTTGACTTGTTCAACAGTTTTGGATTCACTATATTAATAATATTTATAGTCATTGCGGTGTATAATTATTTGACAAAGTATGCATCTATGGTTGGGTCAATATGATACTGCAGAAGGGAGTTTTGTAGTTGATTAAATTTTGGAAGATTATTTTTAGTCAATTAAGAAGTGTGATTACGCATTCAAAGTTTGTGCCAACACATCTTAACTTGGATAGATAGTAATTATTCATCTGTATCCTGATCATGTTTTACATTACTTATGGTTTACAAGATGTTACATTTTATCAAAACACATAAACCCCAAGAATATATATTCAGGAGGAACATTGTAAGTATAGCTTTATAGAAAGATACAATTTCTTGATTTTAAGTGAATCTTTTCGCCTAAAGTATATATCTTACTACCTTGGGAGTTTCTGTGCATATGTGATGAAATTCTCTCTAACATATGTTGCGGGAAAAACGAATGTACCAGAACAGATAAGGGGATATGCATACAATCATCTTATTCCATTTAAGCTTGGTTCAGAAGTCGTTCTGGAAATTGGCTTGTTCTATTCATTTGACAAAGTTGATTTTTTATTTGGCGTGTACCAAATATATTCTCATCTCCTATGTTTGTCATTCTCTATGTCACTGTACGAAACTTTAAGGTCCCACGTGAACGAGAATGTCAGGCGTGTACAACTTAAATGAGATGATCTCGCTAGGAAAATATGTTTTTTATGCACAATCAACAATGTACTCTCTATATTTCACGAAGTGATGGAGTATAAGCTACCAAGTTTTTTCCTGATTACTTAAATATTATAATCTACTAGCATCTACTAATGCAAACCCGATCTTCTTGTGTCGTACTATTCGAGGGATAAGAATGAATGCAGAGGACAAACATTTAGGATCGACTGTTCCCCGACAAATATGAGACGCATCTTGATAATTTTTTACCCCAATAAGGTGGGTTTTATAAATGATAAGGAAGAGCGAAGAATGAGTTGGTAGGTTCTACGCACATTACGAGATTATGTTTTGCCAAAATGTTGGAATGATATTAAATCTTTCTTTCTTAAAATCCAGAGCTATCTGAACTGAACATTGAGTATAATTGCATTGTTGAACATTGAGGAAAATTCAAATGCTTATACTAAATGAGTAATGAGATTACATGAGTGAAGCATAAAATAGCTAAGTAATCATACAGCAGTTTACAAGCATTGAGATTATATATTTTATCTAATGTTGATAATGACCGAAAGAGTTTCTTTACTACGCTGCCTAAATCACCTAAACTAAACATCGCCAAGTCATCTATTTATGCATGATTGATTATTGATATCAGAATTGCTTGGTTGGTTATTGAAAATAGTGGAATGTATTTTACGGATTTTAAACGTGCAAGTGATTACGTCAAGGCCAATAAACCTAGCTAGTGCCCAAAGCACTAGCTAGGGGATTTATTGGTTCTCCTAGTTTGGAGATTGTTAGTTTGTATTGTGTTTTTTAAACTTTGAGTTCCACGCTCTTGAATTATTTATCATTACCAATAAACGTGCGGGCTTGGTTTGAGGATGTGCTCTTATGCGTCAAATGAAAAGCACATCAATGATCTACAATGTTTTTATTGCATTGTTTTTGGCCGCGAAGAGAAGATGAGCGCAAAGCGCAAATGTTTGATCTATATACATAGATGATTGTGATACTTTCCACTACAATAGTATTAAAAATCACGTTGGTGTTCAACATCCTACAGAATGGACGGTGTAAAACCGCCTAGATTAGGCTAATTATCAAAATGTCTTCTCCAACGATATCTTGATCTTGTTCAACAACTCTATTAAGACACAATTCTCGACTTCATTTCTTTGCGCTAATCGTAAAATTGTGTTGGACATTGAGATTGATATTGTAAGCGTGATCCTTGGCAACATGATGTTTGATCCAACTAATGTTGTCAACAACAATATGAATAATGTTGTGAAGATATACGCATTTGACAATGAGGTTGAACGATATGCTGTAATTTTCACACGAGTTCAAAAATCAACATTGACAAAAGAGCGACCATAATCATTGTTTCATTGCATGGAGCAACAAGATGATGAAAAGTACAACGTCAATTTGTCAACGAAGAAGATAATTACGATATCGCTATTGATGAAGAAGTGAACGAAAGCACTTCTCCACAAGTATTTTAATCAAAACATACGGTTATTGTTCCTTTGGCAAGTGATATAGAAGACAATCAACCAAGAGACAAATAATGTGTTGAACTGCAAGTGCATGCTTACTGTACATGTAGTAGTGTGCATTGTACTTGGTGCTTCCAAAATTCAAAGATAGTTGATGATATTGATTCAAAAGTGGATAGTTTTTAGTAAATTAATATTTACTTCATAGTTCTTAATATAGTTCTTATTGACTAATATTCTTGAGGCACGATGCATGCTTCGGAAAATGCTCCATTTTCATTTTTTATATGGGTCATGCCCGTTTGTATAAACTTATAAATCATGCATCTAACTCTAGAATATACATATAATCTAGAGTTATAGATAGTGGAATAAATGAAAAAATAAAATTGTTTAAAATTGATGTGGTTGGCCCCACTAAAACATTGTAGACAAGGTCTACAATGTTTTAGAGTCTTACAAGTTTTCACAACAAAATCCATCAAATAAAGTTTTGTAATCTTGTTAAAAAAAATGACAAATTTTTGTATGCAATTTTAATTCTTAAGCTCACAATCAAATTTGTTCTTGCACTAACATATACTTGCGTTTAACAAAGATTATTTGTTTCAAGGTGTGTAATGTGGTTCTAAGGGGTTAGTCGAGATTGAGCTTCTTAAGTATGTAGCAATTTTAGAAAACTTTTGAGTGTAATTATGATATGTCAAGAAGTTTGTGATTCGATATCGGGTGTTCATAACAGAGGATGTTCCGTAAGAAGTTTGACACCCTTCTCAACTAATTTATGGAATTAAGCGCACGTAAAGAGCACATTGATATTGTGTTGATTAGAAGACCATTATTGTTGGACAACGATGTGGAGAAAGATCTATTGCATATAGGCAATTATAATAATTATATTATTATAATTATTATATCTCAAAAGCTTGAACACAAATCCGGATGAAATGATAAGATTTTCATGTGGTTTACTCAATTGTTAGCTAAGATGTTGACCATGCGAGTGAGTGCTCGTTAGATGTACATGATTTTTATGTTTTACACTAAGTTTTTCTATGTGCATTGCTCATCCATGAAATACACTCTATGTATTGTATGAAGTCTCATTTGGCTCCTGAAAGTATTTTGATGTACATTCTTGAAGCATTTTAGTCCAAGCGTGAATAAACAAATGAATCTTTACAGATACATGTCTGTACATCAAGTATACATGTTCACATCTGTTCTAAATATTTTAATAGACACACCATGTGCTGGAAGGTATGACAAGTTTTGTAAAATAATGTGATCTCATCTTTCAATATTTGCTTACATGTTAATTATATTTAAAGCTTCTTAGGAATATGCAGCTATTTAGACCTTTTGATATTAAATATCACTTTTAAAACTGGATTCATTATCTACATTAAGTTGTTTATATTGTCTCCTTATAAACTTGGATGGAAAACAAATTAATCAAGTGAATCAAGACAAGAAGTTGAGTACTCTTCATCTAATATGTATCTTAGACGTGACCTATTGACCAGCCTTCATTCATCTTGTTGTTGCCAGTGCATGAAGTCACAAAGAATTCATACGACTGTATTCAACATTTGAAATGTGTGAACTAAACTCAACCTTGATATTTTTCACGGAAAGATTTTTGAAGCCGAAACTATCTTCCAAATTAAAATCCAAGGGATGCCTTATTTATTCAACCCTTCATTTTTGAAGGTAAAAAATGCTTAGAAACTTGTAACATTCCTTGTGAAAAACCAATGTTTGCTGATATCAAATATTGGATTTATGTCCGACTGTGGTTTGATAAACTAAGTAGAATATGCATTTTAATAATTGTAATGTGACTATTCTTAATACTATGATATATACAATAATAAATTTTCTTTAACTCTACAAATCTTTAGTTGTCACCATATTACTTTAATTAAAATATCTTCAAATTACGTGTAGTACCTTTTGACTAAGTATCTTCCATAGTATGGTTTGAAGAGTATAACCAATTGTACTAAGATCAAAGTATGCAAATGGCAACAAAGTAATTTATTTATAGACTAATTTTTTCTTACATGACTTTCCTAGGTAACTAATGCATGTGTAAAATTTCTTATGATTGATTTTGATATCATTTGTTTAAGTCTTGACTTTTGAGTTTTGAATCTTTTGAACAAATTTTTTTAGTGAAGCGTTCTTACAGTAGGTCTTTATAGAAACTTCAGTATCATTGAGACTAGTTGTGGAATTCTTTTGGTGCAAATTTAAGATAGCAAAAATTAGCACCGTTCAACAAGTTACAGAAGTAACTCTTGTAACCCATCATTGATTGTGGACTCATTGTCAAAGTGAAAGCTCAGACCGCAACAACAACAATATCATTATTGTCATAGCTAAACTCTAAACTATTTGTTTGATAATACATATAATCCATGGATTTATAAAAGTAGATGATGTGATAAATCCAAGATGTTATTGAGTCTATCGTTTCTTGAAAAGCTAAGTGAAAATTGCTATCGTGCAATGTGTGGACATTGTAAGAAGGTGCTCAATAGCAAGCCATACAAGTTGTAACATAATGTCTTGCATTGATCTATTTTGGATTTTGAAAGTAGAATTGAGTATATGCGTGTCGATTACATATAATTATATTCTTTTTGTCATTACTCTAAAGTCAAAAATTACTATTTTCCAGTCCGTAGTACGATGTGTGGCATGTGGCGGATCATTTTAGTTGATAGTCAACATATTCAATTGCATGTACGAGGTTTTGCACAATACTACCTTGCAGATTTGCTTTACAACAGTATCATCAACTTCATACGAATTATGTGTGATATAAAACTACGAGGCATGGTTCATCATCTACAACATGCATGAAGATTTTATATTGCTATGAACTTGATAATGCATCAAAGCATCTCATATTTTGTTTTGCACTTTTAAATCGTTTTGTTGGCCTTGCATAGCATTATTAATTTACATGCAACTTCGCTTCAAATGTTTAATTTCCACACATGCGATGTTAATTTGGATGATTGTATATATTCAGAATATTTTTGCCCAGATTGAAAAGTTCATCTATTGGTCTTACTTTTTATGAAGCACACAACATGATTTATTCTGTTGCTTGAGTTGTCACTCAACTCAATAATGCTATGCACAACGAGGGTTCTCTTGTTCAAGTTTGAAGTGGGGCTCATCAAATATATCTCTTCATGAAACACATCATGCACGATATTGTGAAAAAAGTTTTTTTCTGTCATGATCAAATTTATGACCCATTTAGTACGACTATAGTATCCAATCATAGATATGCAGACAATGTTACATTGAATAATCAATTGTTAGTTATCTATAGAAAAGATCATTGAGTGATTCAAAATTTATCACCCTTAGTTGCTTGCACATTTCAAGTCAAAAATCTAACTTCAACTCCATCTCGCATGTGATGGATGTCTATGGTTTCTATGCATCATTTCAGTTTTTGTCATAATCTACGATAAAATTATCAAAGTGTACTTCCTTTGCAATGCAAACAACAATGCATTGGTTAATCCATCTTCTTTTTCATCTGTGCTACCCCATAAATGTGTCAAACTAATTTTTTTTTAGTTTACTCTCAAGGTTTTCCAATACAACAACCAACTAGAACACCGTTATTTGATAAAGTAGAATGATGTTATTGTTGACAAACATAAAATACTACTTCATGCTTACATGTTCGAGCTTGTAGTCAAGTTGAACATAGATTTGTTATTAGGTGATCAGACTTCAAGAATGGATAAAATTTAATCTAATGCAGATGTTCAAACCTTATGTAATTATGAATCGTCTTGACCATACTATATTCTCGTATCAGCATTGCCAAGTTGGATTTTTACGTTTTGTGATGAGAAAAGTACGTCTTATCTCATGTAAAAGGCCATTAGATTTAAAATTGAAGTACATTGTTTGGATAATTATTACTATTTTGTACTAAGCATGTGGTAATTTCAAAGCTAACAATGAAAATCAAGTATTATTGTTTACTTAGATTAATCACAATTTATCAATTGAATATGAAGTTTACAACATAAAAAATATTAATTCATAGAAAAAATGTGAAATTGTAATTTTCAAAGATCTATGTTTATAATTTTTTTGTATATATGATACAAATATGAAAATAATAAATTTAAAACAAAAATATAAAACATACAACTATAAAATTCAATAAATATTTAATTCTTCATATAAAATTACGTCAGCATAATCTATTAATCAAATTAAAAAATGAATTTTATGAATATATCATAAACTATTTAGCAACATTGCTTTTTAATTGCCATGACATTTTTTATTCAAAATTTCATCCCAATTTTAATATAGTTAATGATTTTATAGTTTCAAATCAAGTTTTATTTGGGTAAAGAATCAACTTATTAAACCTTTATCATGATTTTGATTTCTTAAGTTTTATAAAATTTTGATCATATCAATCATGATGAGTGTTGTTAGAATACATACATTTATCATCAAAATATATCAATATAATATGACACTAATTTATTACAAGCATTTGAATTCTCCCATCTGTCACAAACATTTCAATCTCAATTGTTCATCGACAATCAATCAAAATTTTCAACATCAGATAAAATCAAAATTCATTAAATTTGTGAACATAAATTCATATCTTATTTTTTTCTCACTTCAATAACTTTATATTGTAAAATTGTAAGAGTGTCGCATTCTTTGATGAAAATCCAATCATGAATACACATACAATAATCCAAAGACAACTCAAAATCGTTTCGTTTTTAATTTATGAATCTCAACATAAAATATTGTTACAAAATATTGTTAAAATATTGTTAAAATATTGTAAAATATACGCGTCCAAATAGAACTTAGTGTCTTCGGGTGGAGGGGATCATATATTACGAGCCATTACGCTAAGCCTAACAGGCTCAGGTGTTGAAAAATTTATATGCATGATCAATAATTTAATCTTTACCTAGAGTAGTCATAAATTAAAAATAATTAGATGTGACATGACATAAATGGTTGTTCACAAAGTTTTTTTAAAATATTATTATATTGTAAAACATAAATTAAAAGAATATCATGAAAAATAATAAACTATTTATAGATGTATGATGATGAATTGATGTCCCTTGCCAAATGAATTAGATTAATAATAAACAAAATCTATTAAATGCTTATGTTGTTTGTGCATGTCAAAATATGCAAAAGAGTTAAAAAAACAAAGTGAATATGAGTAATGTATACATAATTTTAAAATTTTAATTAAAAAATATTGTATTTTAATGATTTAGTGTGCAAATTTTCTATATCTGATTTTACATATATGCAAAAATTAGATCTAGAAGTATTATTTACACATATAGTTAAAGATGCATAATAGGTATCTAATAAATTATGATGTGTTTTCTAAATTAAGATTTTAATGCAATAACTAATACAAATTTGAAAATTTTTGTATTTTTACATATATAATATATTGTATCCAACAAATTTTTTGCAAATCTCATATACAATAAAATCTAAACTATATCTTTATCAAACTCAAAGTTCAAATGATTTTTTTTCCATATTTTATTAAGTTGAGTATCTTATAAAACTATTTTAATAATTGACTACAATGTGTATATCTAGCAATAGTGAAGTCGTGTTCCGCTGTGTAAGTAGACATGATTAAGACTGAGATGATACAAAGATTACATTCACGTTACCAAACAACCACACCAATATTCAACATCACTAAAATGTATTTGAAAAAGCTATTGTACAACAAATGGACAAAGATTAATAACAACAACAAAATCCCAAAAAATGAGCTATTCTCCGAAACCAGACCGAAATTGCTCCGCCTGCAGTACCGGTCAAAGTTATAGTACTAAGTTCAACCAGGGATCCGGAAACGGTTGCACGGATATGACCTTGCCTCAGTATCAAACCAAATCCGGGTTACAGAGACTCAATGGACGTATATACGACCTCGGTCCATCTTCGAAGCCCCGAAATGAAGACGCTTTATACAATTAGGAACAAAACATCAAAACATCGACAACCTCCCTTCTAGTGTAATGCGACGAAAGGACTCTAATGGTAAATAAAATTTCGATCCAGGAGAGGAAGCAAAAAAAATCCAAGTAGGAATGAAGAGCCAATCTAGAGCGATGTCAAATAATCAAAGAAATTCTTATGGAAATGAAAGTCTCAGCAGACGAGGGAAATGAAGAACAGAAGTCAAGGGAAGATCCATGAGGAGGAAGATTCACAGCTCAACTCGGTCGACGCCCTAAAAGGAATATGGGTGTTGATAACGAACATAAAGGCAGAACAAGGGTCGTTGTCGGGAGAGAGCATGGTTGGTTAGTGGTGCGCATACGTCGTACAGTAGGCGAAGCGAAGCGTGCGTCTATATGATGGTCGCGCATCCCTTGTGTCTTGTAATGGCTTTCCCTCCAGAAAGTGCTGCTGCTGCAACTGTGGGTTATCGAAGCCTTTCGTCAGCTTCGTTGGAGATGGACGGAAAGAAAGAAAGGTGATGATGATGATGGCAGAGGAGGAGTAGCTGCTGAGATGAGGCGAGGGGCGGGGCGGGGCGGGGCAGGGCAGGGCGGGGCTGGGCGTGGTTAGGCGGGCGAGTGGGCGGCTTCGTTTCTCGAGGGAAGCACGAAGCCGGACTTGAGGCGGGCAGGCCGACGGGGCTCGCAATGAGCATGCTGCCATGGTGAGAACGTAGCGATTGCCAGCGAAGGTGGAGAAGGTGCTGCTGCGATCTGTGGGTGTCGACTCGCACCCGCCGAGGATTGTCGCTGGGATTTGTAATTTTTTCCCATGATGCGATCAGACCTCGGTTTCGACAGGAGCGTGTAGAAGCGGATCGACCTCGTTAGGAGGCGTTCAGTAACCTTGGCTCGTGCGTCGAGCACTTTTTGGGAATCATCGTCTCGCTCCTTATGGTGGTGCACAATCCCTGGACCGTGGGTTTTCGAGGAAGAAAGATAGGTGGAAAGAAGCAGCCCGGCGATCAGAAGGTTGTTGGGTTCATCGGTGAGACGAGGGGGTTTGATGCGTTGGTTTAGAGTAGTTCTGCACTCACTGGCGCAGGAGTGTAGAATCGAGAAGGAACCGGAGTAGCTTGAGGAGAGCGAAGATGAATCCACCTTTCGTGAGCATGCCTCCTGGACAGTCTGTACCTCCACCTCCTCCCGGGGGTCAACCGCTTCCTGTGACATCTCATCCTTCCACATCAGTGCCAGGTCCGGGACCAGGAAATCCTTCTCTTCTGCAACCAGCTGTGGCACCTCCGATACCAGCAGCCGGCCCTGCTCCTTTGGGTTCAGCGCCAGGCGCAGCGAGCGGAGTTCCATCGAGCGCTCCTGGAGTGAGGGTGCCCCCAGGACCTCAACCTCCTCCGGCTCCACCTACTTCGTTTCCTGCAATTCGACCTTACAACCCGGCGCCAATGATGCCCAATTACATGACCCATCCGGTGCCTCAACAACAACAGCAACAACAAATGTTGCCTCCCGGAGGTGAGGTTAAAAGTTTCGCTTCAATTGGATCATTCTTGGTAGACATGTTTTTTGCAAGAATAGTGGGCGTCTGGGACAGTGCAAGGGGAATTGAGATGTGCGAGTTTCTCTGGTACCCAGGCAGTTACAAACACGCAACAGGCTGGGAGAAAGAGAGACTCCAATATGAGAGTGGGGGGAAAAGTTAAGTAAAGGAGGCTGGGGGTTTGGGTTGGTTAAACATGGCTGCATGTGTGCAAGCGGGTGACGGGCTGTTTTCTCCTACGACAGTGCATTCGAGTTGTCATGGTGATCATGGAAAGGGCGCCACGGGTAAAGAGCCTGCATCGTCCTATGTGGTATGCTTAAATTTCCCCACAAAGCAAGTCAGCAGCTCGTCTGTTGTACACAAGTCTTTCCTGCAACTCTTCCTTTTCCAAGTCGACTTTACTGACTATAGTTACTGTAGTCTCGACACTTCACGGCATCCTCGAACGCTTCGGTTATCATTCAGTGGATTAGGGTTTCCTGTCGTGTCACAGGATCCTGTTACTTTCCTACGGTGTAATTGCGTCTTGTCCTCGCAGTTTTCTTGAAACATTCTTGCTGGCTGTGACCACTGCCAAGCCCTTAACTTCCCGGGACCGCGGGTTTTACCATCTTGTGACGAACGACTTAGGGTTTTGCGATATTCTCTGCTGCCTGTCGACGAATTACAGTAGAAACCCGGTCCATGAAGGAGTCGTTCGGTTCACATTACAGCTCTCGGTAGACGTGTTATCATGCCTTTGGGGGTGCAATTACTCTCATCGTCTCGAAGGTATCACATCAACCCTGAGAGATGTGAGTATGTATCTCGAATTGCCTCCCCATCCTTGTATGCAATGCCCAAGAAGGACAATGATCGGGAAGGTAAGTTGTCTTTGCTACAGATTTATCACTGCTCTTGTGGGTTCCACTGGGTTGTCTATCAGGGTGGACACTGCGATATTTTGCCGGTGATCCCACCTTCAAAAGTTCGATATCTTTCTATCATGATGTGGTTGTGATAGGGACGACCACCTAAAGTAAGTGTTTCTGCCACAAGTAAATGTCTCCGAACGTAATTTAAAGTTAGGAGATACCGCGTATCCATCGACTGACACCTAGTGTTTTAGTTCTTGGCTCTTCTCCTGCAGGAATGCCTAATCGTTTCCCTGCTCCACCTTACAACTCAATGGCGCGACCTCCAGCATTCGTTCCTCGACCTCCACTGGGGCCACCTCCCCCTGTGACAATGAGCACCATGACATTGCCCAGGCCACCTGGAAATGGATTACGTCCTGTTGCTCCTGTCCTCAAGCCCCCTCTCGGGATGACTCTTGCGGAGCTAGCAGCGAAGGGTATAGGACAGCTTGCTGCTCCTCCTGAGAAGCCTCACACGACGGTTTATGTGGGGAAGATTGCTTCGACTATAGAGGACGAGTTTTTAAGAGCTCTCCTTGAGGTAGGTGATCTATGTACCTTTTCGTTTCCTGTAGTCAGTTTCTTGTTTTCCCGTTGATTTTCTACTCAGACCTGACTATAGAAGACTCAACGGGCCTTACTTGAGGCAGTTAATCTCTGTACGTACTTAGTACAGTTTTTGTTACTCCTATGCTTCCTCGTTCCAGGGCAGCATTGATGACTCCGATGCTTGACAATCGTTGATGTCCAGTTATGTGGAGTGATCAAAAGTTGGAAACGCGCCCAAGACCCAACTACAGGGTCGCCTAAGGGGTTTGGGTTTTGTGAGTTCGAGTCTGCTGAAGGAGTACTGCGTGCGTTGCGACTCCTAAACAAATTTTCTCTAGACGGACAGGAGTTGGTGGTACGTGCTTCCTACCTCCTTCGTGTGGAAGTAAACACTATCTTCGAAGCTATTTTCGTCTATGTTTAAAGACGTAGTTAGGCGATTTTTATGTCTCTGAAGTGCCCGATTTGCTATCATGTGACACTGTCGTGGGGAGCCTATGCCTTTTGCCTTCCTTGCCGGCGTGTCTGGAACCTACCTTTGTGAAACATGTCCCACTACATTCGGAGTACTACTTTTTCAATCCATCACATGTTTTCTCTTGGAAGCCTGGAACTTGCTTTATCATTGACTCTTGTGGATGTCCGACGGATGGGTGTTCTAGCTCAACGTTAATCAAGCTACCCGAGACTATCTGGAGCGATATGTTTCCAAGAAAAAGGAAAGTGAGAAGCTGATTCGGGAAGAAGCAGAAGCGATTGTTAAGGACGAAGAGTTGGCACCTGGAGTGGAGAGTATTGAAACTTCCAAGCCCTCTCTCATCCTCTTTCCAAAAGATGAAGGTACGGACAAGGAGGAAAACGCCGAAGAAGACGGAAAGAAGTTTGGACTTGTGAATGACTTTGACAGACAAGCCGATGAATTGGCTTCACAAAAGCTTGCAAGCATGCTGGAGGAGAGGTACACTCGTCCTGCTCTTTCTTCAAATCTCGCATACCCACCGTTCGTAGGCACATTTTCTCTTTAAGACGTGCGAATAACCAGTTCTTGTTCGTTCGGTCTATTGGACAGGGCCCGGCTAAGGCCTCTACCTCCTCCTCCACCACTACCACCCGCTGGAAGCCTAAGCAAGGCAGCCTCTCCGTTTGATTCATCAAGATTTAAGGATGGAGATTCAAATCTGGATGGGACCAAAAGTGGTATGTAATCTTCTAATGTTGTTTAAAATTTGTAATTTTTTTTTATCTCAAGCTACTTCTAGAAAAGTACTATTGCTGTGAAGGGTTGCCAGCCTGACATGGGGTTATCATTTTTAGGTGCCAATTAATGAATAATTTCCTCAAATGGTTGCAGAGGACTTGAGTAGTAAGAACGAAGATGATGCAGCAAGTGATCACAAAGCGAGTGTAGATATTGAAAGGACTGAGACGACATCAGCTGACAAAGGGAGGCGATCAGAGAGAGACAGGGAACGAGATAGAGAACGTGAGCTGGAGCGCGAGAAGGAAAGGGAGTTGGAAAGATACGAAAGAGAGCGTGAGAGAGAGCGATCACGGCGGGAAAGGGAAAGAGAGATGAGAGTCCGTGAGGCTGAACGTATCTATGAAGAACGCGAACGAGAATGGGAGGGTAGGGAGAGGGAGAAGGAAAGACAAAGACTACATGACAGAGAACGAGAGAAAGACAGAGAACGAGACAGAAGGAAAGAAATAAAAGAACAAGAGGAAGAAAGTGATGATGATGAATGGAAGAAAAGTCGATATAGAGTTAGCCTACTCGACGAGAAGCGGAAAAGAAGGCTGCGCGAACGTGAAGAGGATACGGCAGATAGAGAAAGGGAGGAGCAGGAGATGCTCGCTAAGCGACAGAAGTTAGAGATGATAGTCCTAGAGAAGGAGCCTGTGGACGGAGAAGGTGATTACGAGATGGCGGTTGATGAAGAAGTGAACGAAAGCCCTTCTCCTCAAGTATTTCCATCAAAAGATACAGTTAGTGTTGCTTCAGCAAGTGACGCAGAAGACGATCAACCAAGAGGCAAGTAACGTGTTGAACTGCAATTGCACTTGCTGTACATGTAGTAGTGTGCGCCGTCTTCGCTTCTGCAGAAATCAGAGGTAGTTGATGACATCGCCTCAAAAGTGGGTAGTTCTTATTGACTGATATCTCCTTATTGAGTTTTGATTGCAAATATTACTTATCAGCTTACTGATGGAACAGTCTTTGAAAATTGCAGCTGAAGCGTTGAACAGCAACGGAATACATGAATTGGCCCAAAATGCTGAGGGGTCAAGCGCCGCTGTCACAAGTACCGAAGCTGATCTAAAAGCTAGTCCTGCTCCTCGAAAGTTGGGCTTTGGTATCATGGGTTCTGGAAAGCGGACCACAGTAACATCTGTATTTCACCAGGAAGATGAAGAGGAGAAGACAGAAGATCGGAGGCTGAGGCCCCTGGTACCTATAGATTATTCTGCTGAAGAGATGGAAGCGGTTGCGGTGTCGACCCCCGCGACAGTTAGTTCCCCTGCAGTGGCTTCCAATTTGGCAGCTGCAGCGGAGTTTGCAAAAAGTTTGTCAAACCTGAGCAGCATCAACACTTCTACGAAGGAGAACAAGAAAGAGGATGGTGACCGGGACCGTAGCAGGAGGAAGAGAGACAGACCGGCCGAGAGAGAAACACCTAGAAAAGAGAAGAACAGGGATAGAGACAGGGACAGAGAACGAGATCGTGAGCGAGAGGATAGAGAAAGAGATCGGGACTGGGAACGGGAGAAGAAAGACTTGGATAAGGAGCGTGAAAAAGAACGTGTTGAAAAGACTAAAGTACCGGAAGTGAAAAAGATTTTGAACGCCAAACAGCTTATTGACACTATACCAAAAACGAAAGAGGAGTTATTTGCCTATCCTGTAGATTGGTTGATATATGATCGGGTAAGTTGTATTGACTCAGCATACTGTTTTCTTAGAGAAGGATCTTCTTGTTTGTTTTTTGTGGACCATACATCCAGCCCTCCGTGACAGTTTTTCATTTTGTGTTGATTCCACAGCATGACCTGCACGAGAGGATGCGACCGTGGATTTCTAAGAAGATAACGGAGTTTCTTGGAGAAGAGGAAACAACGCTTGTGGACTTCATCGTGAGCAACACTTGTAAACATGTGACAGCGGCTAGCATGTTGGAGCTGCTGGAGTCTATCTTGGATGACGAGGCAGAGATGTTCGTCCTCAAAATGTGGCGCATGTTGATATTTGAGATACGCCGTGTTGAGACCGGTCTGGCAACTTCCAAGTCGAAGTCATAACCACACGAACAATAAAACGTCTTTTTTTCCGTGCGTCATTCTTTAGATCAAGGGTTCCGAAACTAAAGTGAGCTTTCTATCTTGTGTTCTGTCCATTGGGAGCCCGTATATGTAGTCTGGCAACCCTTAAGGAGCTGTGGACTATTTTGACCGAACGGGTCTGCAGAGGTGAGTTTAGGATTATCACCGAATGTACTGGTAAAGAGCCGGTTTCAATCTCCCATCCCTAAAATTTAGGGGTTTGTCTGAATAATTATCTGATTGTCTGTAAAATAGCGATGTCCGGTTTTGCTTAAGATCTCACTCTTGGGTGGTTATTTCGTTTAAATTTTGTCATATACTGCTCATGCTCATATACGAAATGTCTGAACCTTTGGTGATGTCTTTGACCTCCCGATATTTTTACTGAGTAGGATTAGTCCGCAACGCACTCGGTTGATGGAACTCGCGTGGCATAGTCAGCAGGACGTAAGCCTTGATTCAGATCTTGAAGCTGCTGCTTCAAGGTCATCTGTTTCCAACAGATTGTACAGGTTGATGAGCTAGTGAATTGTTCGTTGGACCACGGGAAGCTCCGAAATCTTCGTAAAACCAGGGGACACGTTTTGAACTCTCCTCATGTACATTTTGCTAATGAAATACTAGTTCCCCGGTTTCCTAGTATGTTAACAGCATAACACAAGCCAGCGCTCGTGATTTATATTTAAGGCGTCGGCAGTTGAATATAGTGATTTAGGTGTATTTTCCTCCCTTCTTTGTGTGAGTGTTGTTGACTGTTTGACTGTATATGACTACGGTATCTACAGGAGTGAAACTAGACTTGGAGATATCAAAGAGTTGTTGTCAACTGTCCGATATTACTATGGCGGTAGCCTTTGTCCCGTAGCAAGAAGAATATTTCTGAATAATACTTGTGAAATTTAGGTTTGTGTACCAACTCGAGTATCAGCGAATTATGATTTCCGCAGTAGTCATCACATGAGAAAGTAATCTTCTTGCTTCAACCTCAAAATGAGACGAGGTACTATTGATAAGTAAATAGCTTACTACTTGATTGAAAACATGCAGATATAAAGAGTTTCTTACGTGGGACTTCGAGCTTTTCTGTACAAAAGCATCGAGTAACAGTAGTAATCAAACGATGTTTCTGTACTTACAGTTTTGGAATTTTTATGTGATAAGAGAAATAAAGCTATATATATCTACCTCATTAATAATCAAACATCAGTTTTATCCAAGATTAGAATGTTACCGGCTTTTTATGAAAGATTTGTAGGTGTAAACCAAGCATCTAAAAACTTGATGCTTTATATTCAAATTTAACCCATCACACCATGTTTCTCGACCGATATATAGAAGTATTACACATCTTAGTACGTAGGTCAGTAAGTATTTGAGTTGACGAAGAATCCAAGACTTAACAATAACTAAATCTTTTAAGAATATGTAAGTTTCTTTAATTATGACAACATAAAATCACATAAAGAAGATATAGATTCAAATCTTGTCTTAATATTATATCAAGATTTAATCTAAAGGGAAGTATATTTTCATTTGCTCATGTATTTTGACCAATAAATCCTTTAACATCTCATTTTCACAGAACCTGCAACACAAACAATATCATCTTTATAAATTAATGATAATTAAAATATTATATGAAATGTTCACATAAAAATATTATAATTTGTTTATCTCAATAATAAAGTATTGTGAATTATATAAATCATCATACTTCTTTTGTTTATGTAAGTTTGAATTATATTATTGTTTTGAAATAACGATGAGTGTTTATAATTAAATGATGTATATATTTGTTTTAGAAATGTATGAAAATATGATAAATCTTTACTTTTTTGAACCATGATGAATTTACATAAAACCATATAAGATAAATCTAATGAAAAATAGACTAGAATTCATAGAGCAAAGACTTAATATCATATCGATTCATTTGATAATTTTCTCATTGAATTTTAGAATCTTGGACAGTAGATTGATTTTGAGAAAAAGAAAACTCTTCGTCTAATGAATCCATTGACTTCATTCTATCAATCTGTGCGGGTTTAGAGAGAGAGTCTGGCTCAAGAAAGCTCAACTCTTTTGCATTGAATATGGCCAGAATTTATCTTGCGGATGAAACAATAGAACATCTGTACGAGATCGAAATAGATGAAATGTAGATTAATGGTAAGAAAATCATATCAATCATATCTAAACAGCGAAGAGCAAGTTTAGACAGGAGATATATAGATGCATAACAAATCCTATCAATCGTTGTCACATGTCTTGCTTCGTTGTGATAAGAAAATATCTATTTACAATGAAGTTGTAATTACTCTATTGATTGATTACGTACCTTTAAAGATGATGATATAATATATTTCATGCTTTTCTTTTAATGCTTCTCAATGTGATTCAAGGTCGGTCAAGTTTACATAATGACAAAGATGGTGAGAGTTTTGAAATCTAGTAATAAATTATCAAATCGAAAGACAATGGTGTGTTGGAAATGTGGCTCAAGAGTTTGATCTCAATAAGGATGATTAGTTGGAGTACGTATTATGATGACAGAGTCATGCCATATGCGAATCATCAAAGATTATTATGTGTTTGAAATGTGGCTCAAGAGTTTAATCTCGAGAGTATGTCCAACTGTTTGATGAATTATATCGATAGATTCATACCATATGCAATTCATCAAAGGTTATTATGTGTTTGAAATGTGGCTCAAGAGTTTAATCTCGAGAAATATAACTAGCTCGATGATAGATTATGATAACAAAGTCATGCCATATGCAATTGATCAAAGGTTGTTAATGATATATGGTTCTAGATAGTGCTTATTCTTATCACATTCGTCATATTAGAAAGCTCTTTTAACTTTTTTAATATCAAACATTCCAATTCTTAAAGTATATGATCAACCTATAGGATTGATAATATTGGATCTGTTAAGATTCAAATGATGATGAAGTCCAACGTACATCGATTCAAGATAGATTTACATATAATACAAGAAATAAATTGATCTTTCTTAAAATGTTAGAGTCAAAATGCTTGGACTCAAGTTCTAAGAAGGAAGTGCTTGAGATTCCGTGATAAATTTATGTTTAAAGATCATAAGCACAATTTACATCTGTTGGAACTCATTATCATCTATGGTAAAATCAACTAGATCAAATTTCGTTTGAAATGTCTCATGTGTGTCATTCTAGGCTAAATTACATGAATAACATAAACATGTTACTCCTATGTGGTTGGAAATTGTTGACTGTCATAGGTAAAATTAACTTAAAATTTTGCAAATATTGTATTTTGAACAAATATCACACACAAGCTTTTATGTACATAATAATATGTGGAGATTCTCTCCAAAAGCCTCACATTCTAAAAAGATTTACAATGTATCATATTCTGATGAAATTTAATATTTGTGTGAATTTATGTTCTCACCCACAAACTCTGAGGTGTTCACAACTTTCAAAAGTTGGAAATTTCAAGTTGAGATCTAGACTTTACAAAAGATGACATGTTTACATATGGATAATGATAGAAAATACATAATTTAGTAATTTTGAAGTTACTGCAAATAGCAGAAGATTACTTGTCATCTCATCACAATTTATATTTCACAACAGATTGTTGTTTTTGAGTTATTGAAAAGAACAGTGTTGGAGAAAGTGCGTAGTACGTTGTGACAATTTGGTTTATCATACAAATTTTGGACTGAATCTATAAATATTGCATTATATTTAATTACTCTTTCTACTTCTAGTGTTGTCAATTTTTTGACACCGTTTGAATTGAGTCATAAATGGATGATTGATTATAGTTGATTTATTTTAATTTTTTGTAAAACTTATACTCTCAAAACTACAAAGAATAGGAGTAAATTGGATAGTACATCTAAGAAGTGTCATATTACTTGAAAGATTAGAAGCTATGAGATATAATAGTTTTATAAATTATTATAGGAATAGATGTTTCTATCAACAAGCTCATATCGTTGAAAGAAAGAAGTTTATAAATCTGTAATCTATAAATATTGCATTATATTTAATTACTCTTTCTACTTCTAGTGTTGTCAATTTTTTGACACCGTTTGAATTGAGTCATAAATGGATGATTGATTATAGTTGATTTATTTTAATTTTTTGTAAAACTTATACTCTCAAAACTACAAAGAATAGGAGTAAATTGGATAGTATTATAGGAATAGATGTTTCTATCAACAAGCTCATATCCTTGAAAGAAAGAAATTTCTCAAACTTTCCATTCTTACAAGAAAAAATCTCTTCTCACGAAATTGTTGTGAAGTAAATTGATCATTACATGATTAATGATGTGATATAAGTACAAGCTCCGATACATATGAAATTTTGTTTTTTATAGAACAGAAATTAAAATAATAAATTATTGTCTATAGACTTTAAAATGTTGCATCAAACGATAAAGATCAATTAAAATAGTTTATTAGTAGATCATCAAATTAGATTAGTTTTGCTCCTACAAGGTATAGATTAAATACTCATTCATACATTTAAGTATTTTATTATTTTGTCATGTATTTTTGTATATACTAAATATAGATGTGTGCCAAGGTTACGTTTCACATAGGGTTAGGTTCGACGACGACTCGAAGAACGTCAGTTCTTTGAGTCGAGCCTGTAGCGTTGGATGAGTGAGTGTACTCAAGTGTCAACTTGGATTCTCATGATGAGTGGATTGGGATCGACTTATGTATGTGACGCTTTTGTTGCAAGTGGGATAATCAAGACTATCGCGTTTTCCAATGGGGAAAAATGCGTTTATTTCACTCGAAGAGCTTGTTTTTGTGGCATTTTGCAATCTCCGATTGTCATAGTTTTAGGTTTCGGTGATTTTCAGGTTGCATTTGCTTCGAGTCGGTTTTGATTATATAATTTCAGGTTTTGATTCTTTCATGTTTGGATTTGTGCCAATTTTCCAGTCGGAAAGAGCTTGACAAGGACGTGTAACGTGCGGGTGTATGAGAGCTTGGGGGAAGTACGGAACTTTGAATTTTGAAATTCTGTCAAAATTTGACGTCAATGTTTGAGTTCAGGGTTTTCGTCGAATGCTCAATTTGATTTCGTCGATATACCTGGAGATTCGAAGCCTATGCGGGCTGTACAGAGGAGATCTTGGAAAAAACAGAACTCTGGACGTAGGCGGTACTTACTGTAGACACATGTGATTGAATTTTCATTCGTAGCTTTTGGAAAGGCTCATGAGATTCGAGTGAGTCAGAGTCATCATCGTCGTGGGCGTGATGGTGATGAGAAAAATTGAGACGGACTGATTGGACTAGCAGCGACTGGCCGGGATTTAAAAATTCTGCAAAGTAGATCCTCTTGGTCCACTCTTGGAAAAGACAGACGTTCTCACTTATGGAGTTTTGTTATTGGAATTGATAACGGGTCGGCGATCAATCAACGCTGCTCAACAGAGCCTTGTTATGTGAGCGAGACCATTATTGGATGCGGAAAATGTCCAGGACCCATTCAAGCTTGTGGAGCTTGTGGACTTGAGACTTGCAGGTGCTTTTGATTCAGAAGAATTGCACCTAGTTGTACTTGCTGCCACTTTGTGTCTAAGAGAATCATCTATGTGGCGTCTGTGTATGAGCCAAGTTTTCAGTTTGTTGGTCGATGAAGAGCTTGAAGCGGACTTGCCTGACGCCGTGGACTTTCTAGCTCAAAAATCTAGCGAATGTGGGGGAGATTCAAGTTGGTTTGATGATAATTATAGTAGTGATAACTACTCAAGTGACATGCACCGCCATCGAGCCTTGGTACTAGAATTTTAATCGGTATTTTCAAGGGATATCGCAGGTTTAAAAAATGTACGCGAATGATGTATCATAGTTCAAGCCACTGATTGTACACTTCCAACTCGTTAGGTTTTCCCACAAGCAAAAGTCATTTGTATTCAACACAAATTTCTGTCAATCCAAACTTTGAACGTCGTAGAGTTGTGGTACATTTGAGTGTGTACGCTCTTGTGTCCTATGTGTGTGTATGTGAGTAGCATGTCAGTGATGTAGAGTGTATGGCGAGATATATTCGCACAACAATTGATAAAGAGAATGGAGATGACATTGTGTTGATTTTAGAAAGATAAAAATATTTTTTAAAAAAATAATAATCAAAATTCAGTAAATACACTTGACTGAAATGTTGCTATGTAACGGAAGATGCATTTGCTTATGTATTATAAGACCTGGAAACTAATGGACCTTCCTAGGAATCAAGTTTTGATTGATTGTAAATGGATATGCAAGCTGAAGAACAATTCAACAAGTGACCAGAGAAAAATCTATATAATCAAATTGGTGGCTAGAAAATTCACACAAGAGAAAGGTGTGGACTATAATAAAATATTTTCACATGTTATAAAATATATTACAATTCGCTTGATATGTGCATTTTGCAATATTTACTTAGTTTTTGTATCACATGTATGTAAATACATCATTTCTCTATACATATCTAGGGTAGTAATATTACATGATAAACTAGTTGAGTTTGAGTAGAATGATCAACAGAAGTTGATTTGTAAATTTCTGAAATCATTATATGGATTGAAGCCAACTTATAGATAAATGAAATGCTAGATTTGATGAGTTCATGAAAACTCAAAGTTTTTCATGAAATATGTATGACATTTGTGTATACTTGAAGAAGTCAAATAATAATATCCTCAATCTTATTATTTTAGTTCTTTACTTGTATCACATGCTCATATTGGCAAGAAGCAATCCCACATTTTTAGATACAAAGACCAATTGAAGTCTTCAGTTAAGATGAAAATTTTAAATAAATCCAAGAGAATATTAAAAAGTAAAATTCATAGCAATTTGATGAAGAAGAGATTGTGATTGAACCAAGACACAAGTACATTCAACTTGTACTAGAAAAGTTTAACATGCCGGACTCTGAAGCGATATGGACTACTCTCCTCTGACAACACACTTCAAACTTTCCACAACTCAATGTACAATATATGTCATTGGGATATCATAAGATGTCAATCAATGCCATAGGATCTAGTCAATTCACGCTTGTTTAATTTCTTTAACCAATCATGCAATACTAGTAGTAGAAATTTAGTCATTAACATTTTCATTAGTCGTGGTAAATATCATCCAATTTCATTAGTCATGGTAAATATCATCCACTACCTTCACTTCTATGTCTATATTATTCAAGATTTAGATTCTATTTCCAACATCATACTCTCATTCTCAAATATAGCTAGTAGAGCTTAAAATTTGACGTTTTCACCTGTGATCTTCGAAGAGTAATCTAAAGATTCATTCAATGAGAGAACTTGCTAAGTTTTGGGCATATACGTCATCAACCTTAAATAGATATAGTCACGCTCGTGTCTTCCATTCAGTGAATCATTGTCATTCTGTCACATTCAGGAACACAGATAGATTGTCTTGCATTCTTCTCGTATGTTTTTAGGACTAGCCAAAAAAATGTCTTGGCTATGTTCGTAATGATAATGAGAATGATACTTCCGGGTAATGGGCTATCCTCACCTGTTCGCAATGTATCTTTAATAATGCGACCTATCACGCGAATATTCATCACCCTAACAGTCGCCAAGATGAGTTATTCTATGATTAAGTTCCGCCCATTACATCAGGTATTGACACGGTGAAATGTAGCAGGCTGCGTATACGTATAGTAAAAACTTCGTTCCAAAAAGTGAAGAGAAATTACATGAGTGTTAGAAGAAAGAGACAACTGAAGATAACCACCACTTTTTCCGTGGAATCTTTATGTCTTCTCCAAATTTGGATGCGGACAGAGTTCAACCTAGATGGCATCACAAAAGGCACACACAACCGACATTGACTACATGAAATAGGCAACCTATCTATCTTCTCATCATTATTACCGTTCACCTAGATTCTCTTCTCTCCCAATGATTACTTTGGATCTTTGTTCTCTCTTACAGGTTAATCATTAGACTCAGTAATAGTCAAATGCGCAGGAAGAATGACTCAAGTGGACCGAATGTGTAGACTACTACGAAAGTGAGGATCTGCACGGATTTGTAAGGGTCTGCAACTTCCATGTTTTGAACTGAAGTTAATCTCTACGATCACATTCGCAATACTTATGTGACAACTTTGAAAAACAAGGAGACATGATTCTTCTTATGGCTTGCCAAAGCAACCAAGAATAAGACGTTGATATCCAAAACAGCTGTATGGCTATTCTCTTCTCAACGTTAGAATTACATCTGATGACAATTTTGAAAAACAGAGAAACATGATTCTTCTTATGGTTTGCCAAAGCAAACAAGAATAAGACGTTGATATCCAAAACAGCTGTATGGCTATTCTCTTCTCAACGTTAGAATTACATCTGATGACAATTTTGAAAAACAGAGAGACATGATTCTTCTTATGGTTTGCCAAAGCAACCAAGAATAAGACGTTGATATCCAAAACAGCTGTATAGCTATTTCTTCTCAACGTTAGAATTACATCTGATGACTTTGTCTTTAGACTAAGAACTAAGACGATCAGACCACAAGTACCAATGATGATGATTGAAGTAAAACCAGCATCACTGTCAGTGTCGTTTGTAAATGTTAAGTGTAACTCACTGGTAAGTTTATTCTCCTTGTGAATAAACTTACTAGGAGAATAAACTTCCAGACCCATAGAAAGGTAAGCACCTGCTCCCTGTTTGGGTGTAATGGCAGAAAACACTATGTCAAGTAGAAGTGCTTAGCCGATTTCACTATCCCAAAATTTCGGATAGGTAGGTGGGAACACGTAGCCCTTAGGACTAAAACCAAATAATGTAGAATGAAGACGGCAAGGAAATCAACGCGGGAAGTGTCAATAAAACTACACTTATCGTTTCTGAAGTGCCGTTGAGTTCTCTAAGGCTCATTATATATCATATGATCAATGTAGCTGCCTAGTGACAATTATGAACCAGCTCATGGTGCATAATGTCACTTCCGCAGGCGTATTGCACGTAACTACCTAAGTATATCGCACGACATTTTCTTATACAATTCGGATCACGCCTATTTTTATTGGGTCAGCGACAGAAGACCCTTTTTTGCATGCTCAGGCCTAATATTTTCTTCCCTCCACGGGATGCAGCAAAGTCTTTGCAATTGTCAAGGTTAGTCTATTTCGATCTAGTTGTATTTACATATTCACAGAGTCATCTACGTCGATCTGCAGTACATGTGAACAACCACAACATCATCTGCTGTTGGGCCGGGCAACTAACTACTTACTCCAGTCTGTATAGTACTATAATCTCTCCCTAGGACTCCAGAAAAGCAGCCGCAACAGATGATACCATTGTGTTCACTCCACATTCTCCATGTCCGCGGCAGATCTTGTAGTATCCATTTTCACCCCAAGAAGCTCCCCATGAGTTCTTGATGATCCAATAAGGCTTGTATTTCAGGCGTAGAGGTGCTAGACCATGATCACCATATCCTACAAGGAGGACCCCGTGATCTAGTCTCTTCTTACTGCAAATGATGGGGCAGGAGACTCCTCCAATGTAGGTCTGCATGAATGCCGCGTTGATTCCGACTGCAAGTAAAAGCATCACAATCAGTATTACTATACCCAAACTAATCATGGTTGGTTGGCATTCAAATGAGAAACACTGAAAAATAAGAACACACTCTACTCACTGTATAGGCTTGCAAAGCTATACCACCTATACAACCTGTCTACAAGGAGGGAGATAACAATGTGTTTAAATGGTCAATGCTGCCTGTCCTGTGTGGAGTATGAATGAAATAATTCTCACCAGCTAAAGGACCATGCTTGACCAGGTTGGCAGCAATTTGGGCCTCATCCACTGGAATATTGGTGAAGTTCGAAACTTTGACCACGATCTTGTTGGAATCAAATTTGCACTTGCCATCAGTTCCTGTGTAAGGATAATCCGACTCCTTTTCCAGTCCACCAGCTTTGATGACATATTCATAAGCGTTCGTCATCAAACCTCCGTTGCACCCTGAGTCGCAGGCATCTTGCATCTGAGGGTCACACTGCAAAATCCCCAGCATTGAACGTATTTAAAACATCTACGGGTTCACATCGGGTTAATTCTGCACTACTTGATTTCCTAACAAAGGCTGCAAACAAAAACAAGGTCAAGAGGTCAAGGTGTTAAGGTCAAGAGATGCACAAGCCTCGGAAAGGATTCTCTCTCATGAAGTCGTGGAAGAAGTTTCCGAACATCTACGACATCCCAACTTTCACAGAAAAGGTACTTGGAGAATCTCTTGCGGCCATGTAAGACTTGGAATGCATACCTGATGGTCGCAATCGACGAGCTGTTGTTCACTCAGACTGATAAGTTTACCAGTCTGGAGAAAATGTGCTCCCTCAATTGCCCCAGTAGTGCTGAACGCCCAGCAAGAACCGCATGCACCCTGCATCAGAGAAGAATGTAGAAAGTATATTCATCGTTCACTGGCTCTACACGTTATGGAAAAAATAGTCACCTCAGCCCTTCAAAGCCAGCGATAGTGCACCTAGGAGGACCTATAATGTCCACACACAGACGTCCGACCTACAACGATTTGAAGATCCTAGAACTGCTGGGCCTCTGGAAGGAGGGTAAACAGATCGAGAACACATTGAAATTTACAAAACAAACTCAAAATCTGAACAAAAACACTTCAAAAGACGAGTGAAACTAGCGTGGCGAAGTGCCTGAACAGTGCTCTGCTTGCTGCACCAGATTCGACTAGGTAAAGACAACATGAATAATTGACGCCTGACTATCCACAACCCTCCGTGTCAAAGGGAAAATACCCACCTGATTCTTGACTTCGGTGACGGCACCAGCATCGCGCCAGTCGAAATTGGCAGGGAGGTCTTCAGTGGGAAGGCTAGGAATCTCCTTGCCCGATCTGGTCACAAAGTCGGGTTGGTTCAACAAACCCAGGTAGCGGCCGGCGAACTCTTCCTCAGAAAGATCCATGAACGGAGTAATACCATGCTGGGCCTCGGGATCCAGAGCCTGGTTCTCAACAACTCGGAGCAAGTTATCCTTGAAAATGGCCAACCGCTTGGCGAACTCCACACTCCCGTACACTTTATTATACTTCCTCACGAAATTCTTGAAATGCAACTCGGCATCCAGCATCAAGCTGGCGGCATCGAGGAAATTCGCACTCCCCAATTCATCATCTCCATCGCCGCCGCCGCCCGCCTGCCTGTCGATCACTTGCGAAATGAGCGGGTCGTCGGAATTAAAATCTGTTCCTGCTGCTGCTGGCAATGCCATCGCGACCATGCTCAAACCGACGAGCAGCACCGTTACCCATGTCCGCGTATTTTCCATCTCTGCCAGTCGCGCCTCGCTCCTCCTCGTTCCGATCGATCCGACAGCGACCTCCTCCCTCTCCCCTCGATCTCGATTCGCTTCTTGTTTCTTCGCTCGGATCGTCGTCGTTGCTATGTAGCAAACCGAGTGCACTCTCCCCCGGGCCGCACCGGCCTATTGTCGCCCCGCTGCTCCCGACCCCTTGCTGCGCCCTGGGCCCCACCGCCGCCCGCGCACTGGACCACGTGGCGCGAAGATTCTCGGCTGCGAGCGCCTCCCGGGATGACGAGAATCGGACCGCGAGTCGCCGCCGTGATTATCGCCCTTCGAGGGCGGTGACCTGCGGATTGTTCCCGGATATCGCCCATCTCGTGTCCAGGAGCTCTGTACTGTACAGTGCGATGCCTTTGAGTACACGTCTTAGGAGCTCTCACTGCTCCTGTCCTGTCACTTCTGTCAAGTGACACCTACGGGACCCTCCCGCTATAAGAACACTTCTCCTCCGTAACCACCATCAGGCAAACCTTTCGGAGTACTCCAATAAAAGTAATCTCGTCATTTCTAATCTGGTAAAATAATTATGAATGATATACGTATGATTGATTATTGATATTTATAACGGCGCAATAATGCTACAACATATTCAATATGAATTATTAAAGGTTACTATATTGGGGCATAATTCGTTTGACATAAACGGTCGACATAATTTTCTATGTATGCATTTATACATATTTCCTATTTTCATTTTATTGCCCAATGTTATCCATTTGGTCTGATCTATATTACTTTTGGTTACTTTTTGGTCTGATCCTTTTAGAGGCAAGATGGCCCTAAACCTGGTAATCTCCGACCAGATGAGGAGGATCGATTCAATCAGCCCTAAGAATTCATGCTAATCATTTCACATATTAATAGGAGCTGTTTGTTTGGCTCGAGTGTTTGGAGAGTACGCTTCTGTGGCAGTGGTGGAATCATGTGATGCTCGTCTTTGTTTGTGTCATGTTTTTCATCCTTCGAAACACCAAATTGTATTATGTTGTTACAAGTTGGTTAGAAGTACTTTTGAAGAGTCAGTTCTTACGTGACTTTTGTGCTGTTGAACATCATGTCTTGAATTTTCTACGATTTTTTGGGGTCTTTTTTAGTTTTCTTTCACATGCATACACTCTTCCACATGATGTTTGCGATGCCTTTCGCGGAACTACAGTGACAAAATAGATAGTTGAACTTTCGCAGTGAACAGATAATGGAGGCCTAGTGGCAATATATACAGTTGATTTTTAGCAGTGAAAAGATAATGGAGGCATAGTGGCAATATACACAGTTGAATTTTAACAGTGGAGAGATAATGCGCATGGTATCAAAATGATGACGTCATCTGGATCTTCGTAACATAGGTTTCTTCCATCCTTATACTATGTACAGTTTTTGTCCGGTCTCTTAAACTAATAATCCACATTACGATGTCAGATCATGTCAAAATTTTGAAATATTCTTCAATCCTCTTGATAATTAAGTTAGAAGAGAGACGGAAATCAAGGATGAATCCCTTGGATTCCAAGTAAACACTAAGTTTATTTATCATCTATAAAAAGCTGAAATTTTTAATAATTATATTGTAAAATTATTTTACTCAATATTATTGCAGTGAACATTTCAATTTATTGAAGTAATATGTCTTTTACATAGTGTGATACAATAAAAATGTCATAAACTATCAAAATAAAAACCTATACACAAATAATATAAATCAAAGATCTAAATCTTTCTAAAAAATAAGTCATATCTATGATGTCAAGAAAATTAACACGAATAATTAAAGAAAGTCATATGAATGTTATAAGTGGAAAATAATGAAGAATATCAAGAAAATCCAAAAAACTAAATATATATGATTTAAAATCTTTGTAGATAAAAAATGGCTTAAATTTATATTAAAACATGAATGTAAAAAGTATATATTTATAAGTAAAATTTGATAAAATATATGAATATCTAAATATTTAAAAATTAATTTTATTACAATATATCATATTTAGAAAAAAAATTGTTCTAGATTCATTTTGATCATTATAAAAGATTTTTAAACACTATATTATCATACATATTTTACACAATAAATTCATTAAAAGCATGAATCACATTAGAAAATTGAGTGAAGATTCAAAATTATACACATGTATTTATATGATCAAATTTTCATTTAGATAAGAATAAATATCATATTATAAGAAATTAATATATATATTATCATCATTTACATTCATCATAAAATATTACTAAATGAATAGATTTGTTATCATTAGAAAGATATCTAGTTGACGAGACGTTGATTATTTCTTATTTGCATTATATTTAGATCATCATTAATATGTTCACAACTCTGAAAAAACTTCAGATACAACACATACATTAACTACACAACCAAGATTATATACAATAACTTGTTAATTAAATGCATACTTTTTCTACTAAAAAATCACAGATAAATTTTATCAATTTCAACATGTCATGAATTCTCCTTTGATGCAAGTTTTGAAGTTACTTGCGTTTTGCTTTCAAAGTGATAATTCATATATAAAGTATGTTTTCAAATTCAGGAAAATGATTAAAATAGTATCAAAAAATCTTCTCTTTAACTTCATCACACATGACGTCAGTTAGCTTTAGAATTTAATTCCCGTTTGTTCAACATCTGACTCATTGTTCCTTTTCTTACATCATACACACGCGCTAAAGATCTTTTACTATGAGTCCTCGTGTTCCTCAACTTCTCGATGATATCGCATTGTTGGAACTCATTGAGGCGTTTATCAATTAGTTTCTTGGACATTGTAGTTTCAACAATGGTAGACGTCTGATGTAAACACTCGCATCCTTGCGAACTTGCTACCCGGCTTCAATCATTTGCATCAACTTTTGTTCACAACAGAGTTGATGCAAATGATAAAAACGATTGTGAAAGATAATAAAATTGATTTGGTGAAATAGTTGTTCGTTGCCATCAATGCAACACACATGCATGCAGACAACGACTTTTGAGCTCTAAATTAATCTACCAACATTTGCATCACCAATGCAACAAACATGCATGCTAGCAAGAATTTACAAGCGGCAAATGAACTTGCCAGCCTTTTAACATCTATATTGTCTTATTAATTAGATCCAAACAATAATATTTGATACGTCCAAATCAAAATTATGTCCGATAACAATGCAACATATGATAGTTTGTAAGTACACATATATTTGTACTCATCTTTAGAAATTACAAATATATATGTATAAATAGAATTAAAATAGAAGTTATTCAAGATTGAGTAGAATAGATGATAGTAGAATATCTATAAAATTATGTCAGCTATCTGCATGCTTCTCAAAATACGGCACATACGGAACTTGAAAGCTAAAGTTCCGTATTTTGTTTTCATAAAGTTCCGTATTTACAACATAAATGTCCTCGTTCATTTCGGAGTCGGTATTAACTAACCAAAACTACGCTTGACCGTTTCGGACATTACTTGTTTTTACGCACAGTTACTTTTGCACACCGCACCGTAAATCACCAGAAGTCAGTTTTTAGACTTCTGATGATTTACGATGAATAAAAGTTATCAAAGATTGAGGTCGTATTTCGGGTTTTCATTCCTAATCTGTAGTGTCTACTAGCATCAAGAACCTTTTGCCTCTTCACTTCTTTTCACCCACTCTTCGGAAAATCTGTTTTCAACCCATATGTTTGTGCAGGTCCAACATCATGACATTGCCAAAGTAATCGACGAAAAGAGAGGAATCGGGCATGTAGTAAGTGGAGTTCGATCATTCCGCAAGAACAAGACGGGGGCGAAAGTAATAGGCAGAGCGAGAGTTTGAACCTTTGTTACTTTCTTTAAAACAGTTTTGGAGCACATAGAGAGTGGAATCCGATAATTACGCAAGAACAAGATAGTGCGAACGTAATTGGCCGAGAGAGTGTGAAACGGGGCACACAAAGAGTGGAGTCCAATCATTCTGCAAGAACAAGACTCATTTGTACCTTGCTTAGTACAATTTTGGACTTTTCTTGCCTAAACTTTGATGGATTCTATTGAACCTGCTTTTAAACGACCCCGCAAAACTCCATTTCAGCCAAAATATATTTTATAGTATGGTCTGTGTATATCAAGTCGTGATGCTAGATCTTCTGAAGTAGTGGCGGTTATATGTAGATTCTATGTATGTTTTGGACGCGCAGAATCTGCTAAAAAATCCTCTACATCTTGAACATTTGAGAGGTCTCCTTTCAGAACAGACAACTACATGCAGCATCTTTGCATCAATCATTTAGGTGAGGTGAAGAGAGTATCAGAAACTTTCGACAGAAGATAAGTATAATTGTTTTGCTGTTTCTATTAAACAAGCCGAAACTATTTGTCATTTCATGTAAAATCAATCTGCCATGAGTTCTTTTATAATCAAAGGTTCAATTATTGACGTGATTATAGGAGACATGCTCTAGAATGAAAATGATTTGTATGATCAATCTTGAGCAAATGCAAATATTTGCTCCTTATATTAAAATCACATGCGCCATTTCAAAAATATTGCTCAGATACTTTACTTCGCTTGGATCTATTCTGTGGCCTTTGATGCCTCCTGTAACTTACAGAAAGTTTCTTGGATTGATGTTCGAATTCGATTTTATCAAAATTCTTCTATTGAAAATCTTCACTTTATCACACTTCCTTTTTCTGATAGACATATAGGATTTGGCTATGTTTGAGATGTTTGATGCAGTTTGTCCCATATGAAAAGACACGCTAATATGGTGTTCAACTGATGGTGCTACAAATATGACAAGACATTTATCTGGAGTTGTGACACGTATTCATAAGATGATTAGATCATATTCCATTCCTGTATGGTGTTTGTTGCATCAGATAGATATTCGTCGTGCACACTCCCTTTTTGAACGACATGAAAAAAAAACTCTGCTTTTGATAGAGAAGATTTATAAAAATGCTGGTTGTGGATTTCATAAGACTATGACCTCATTGATTTTTGTTTTACGACATCAGAAAATTTTGTTAGATGAAATGCAAGCTATTTGTCCATATTTATCTGCTACTCGTTTAGCCTCTATGTCATGTGCATCTTGTTTTTTTTTCAAAAAAAGATCTGAAATCATGGCTTATTTTGAATAGAATGATGCTTCTCAAAGGGTTCGCGAAATGACTTCATTATCTTGGTGTATTTTGATTGCATGTGTAGAGTGAGTTGGGATTGAATTAAACTTTTGACATCGTTACCTTGGACGGATGGCAAGTTAGTCATGACAATCTGATTGGATTAATCTAAGATCAAGGTCTGTTCACTACCCAATCATTGGCAGAGCTCGACACAAAGTCAAAAATTGAAGTGTTGCACGCAGTTGGCAACTTGTTTTTGGAAGCAGTTTGTAATCTGAGCAAGGTAGAAGCTACACGTGATGAGTTGAACCAGACGGCTTCTAGTATTTTGCCACCTTGCTTACCTTAGAAACTTGTAGCTCTAAAAGACGAGAGAAGTTGTTCAATTAGTTCAAAAATATCAAGATCTTCTCAAACTTTCTTGGGAACAAGAGGACATAGATAAAATAGTGGAAAAACACAAGGAACTTTTGGTTGTTGTAAACAGAGAACATCATCTTGAATAGGGTGACTGAGCAGTCTGATTTTAGCGAAGCTTTGAGTACTCCAAATGTTAAGAATATGTTTCCTCCACTTATGGAGTTTGTAGGAGTATTAACTTGTCCATTTCCTAATACTGCAATGGTGGAAAGTGACTTCTCAGTTTTGAAATGGAAAAAATACATTCATAGATAAAAAAGAATTCTTATTTCTCTTCAAGGTATATTCCGCTGTCATGAAATTCGAAGTTTATTGAAGAAAACATAACAGATTTTTGTCAAGTTCTGTATGTTATGTATTTTGTTTCAAAAATATTCCTTATTTTGTTGAGATACAGACTATGAAGAATCCGCCCTATATAGAGAGATCTGGCAATCATTGTGCTCATTAGGTATACCTCTCATATCACCAATAAACTAGAACAATATTGGATGGTGAGTGAAAATACTTTAACTTGGTGTATGTGTTTAAAATATATAATAAAGAAGAATAAAACCATTCAAGATATCATATCTTCAAAGTTTATATTTCATCTTCAAGTTAATTTATACCTAAATCCTAATATTATAATGTTTTGTTCTCAAAAATACCAGTTTGTTTTAAGTTCTCTTGTTTAGTTGATGAAATTATCTATTTTTCTTTAAGTAAACGCCTACTGGTTCAATATGCAAAATGCTACTATTAACCAAATCAATTTGCATAATTAACTGGAAAATTATTAAACTTACTACATCTTTATGAGAATATACATTTGATAACATAAGTGTGCAACTTTTACACCATGAATAATATGAGCTATGATAATTGGAGAAAAAAATTTTCATGTTTTACCATTATTTAATAAAAAAAACCTCTTTCAACAAAATACTCACTTGTACTAAAGTTATCCATGAAGATATTTCACTGATGTTTAAGATGTATTTTGATCTTTAAATCATCATTTTATCTCAACTATACTCTTATATATGTAATGTAAATTTTTTATAACACATCAACAATATTATTTTTACTATTGATTGTAAATAAATAAACAAAAATTTTTATTTTGACATTCTAAATTTTATGTCTTATTAAATATTTTTTTAAAATTAGCCTAAAAATATGCATCATTATGATATTAATTTATTTTATGAAATCAATTCATTATTACTATTTTGGTTTATTAAATTATGATTAAAAAAAATAAAATAAAATAAAATAAAATAAATTATATTATAAAATACATATACATTATCATACACAACACAGGTACATCATGTTATGATATACATGATAACATACAAATAAAATTCATGATATATTTAAAAAATATTCTTTCATTTATTGGAAAAATACAAAAAATTAAATAATTACATCAATAATGTAATTGATCTAATTTTTACTCATTATTTAAATTTATTTGTTGTTAGCTTATGTTTCATCAAATTATCACTTATATATTGAATATTATGATATGATATTACTTCAATATATTCATTAAATTTTTCCTACATTTTAAAGAACATGTACAAAGATAATTTAGTAAATATATCACAATAACCTTATGTAAATTTCAATTTGAGTTTTAAGAAATAAAAAATTATGTTTCAATATCTGCATAACCTAATCATAACATTATAAATAAAGTTCAATTTTATGTGTTACTTCAAATATTGTTCGCAATCATTGCTAAAATTGAAATAATAATTCATTTTTCAACTAGTATTAGTGAGGTGAAAATTAATGCAGTAACGTTATTGCATACTTCACTGAATTTTTTGTATGTAAATAAATTATTAAAAAATCAATTAACAAATTTTTTATCATTTTAAAAAACATATAATATTAATTTTAAAAAAAAAATTGGAACAAATCTTCATTGTTACTGAAATTGAAATTATCCATGTGCACTAATAATGTTAAAGAAGATTGAAAAGATATACATAATTAAACATATGTAAAACCAAAGCAAATATTTTTTGCTCATAACAGTACCTATAATACCATAATCTGAGTATTAGTTTTAAGATAAAGATACAAGATTTCAAGGACAGTAATGCAAAATTATATCCACTCCCAAACATTTGACCGAAAACAATGCAGTAGAGACTAGAATTCAATAAATACATTTTCCTATTCCGCCAGGCACTAACTATTCTTTACAATAATTAGGATATTGTGATCAATTTTGATAGTTTTAGACTTTGAACAATACTTACAAGGGCCCGTCTTGAAATCAGTTTTCAAGACGGGACCTGTCTGACAATGCTCCGTGCGCTTCTAACCGCCGGCTCGATCAGGCTCGATTCAGATTTTGTAGAGAAACCAAGTACCAACGCATGTTCACACTCAACCTTAAAACCTACAGTCTTTGTAACCTTCATCTCGATTGAGGAAACACTATTACTAGATTCGGTACTGAATATTCTTAATGCACAACGGGCTAGAAATGTTCTCAGGGTTTAAACCTTGAGAACATTTCTGAGAACCCTAAACCTTTCCTTTTACCCCAAGTAAGAGGACGAGCTTTGATTGAAGTTACTCGACACCATATGGTTACTTGAAGTTCGGAACTGTATCCTTAGTCTAACCTAGGATTCCGTCATAGTATGGATCATTAAAATCAGGACCTGCGTATAAAGCTTGATTCAATATTCCATCTTACCGCCATAAACTCTACGCATCTACGTCCATAACCAAGACTTCGCGCAATCGCTCGCTACTAGATGCAATCTGCACTAGTTCTGCCACGCTATCGAAATTGAGAATTCTGTATGCGAGTAATCACGATGGCCGCTCCTCGTCGACAAGAGACATTATTCTACACATCTGGCTGGCAATCGTCAATTGTAGACAACTGAACTTGATTTACTTAGTGCTCCCTATCCGAACGAAAGCTTCCCGTTCAGTGACCCTAAAACGCCTACTCCAACTCATTATCAAATGGGGGGGAATTACTAGCTGACTTTGACAGTGTGCAAGGAGGTAAATTCCACTTTCTGGGATGTGGGGAAACAAATTTCTGGCCTTGCTTTCATATGTCGAGTATAAAGCGCTCAGCCAGAAAGCTGCAGACACACTCTGAAAATCAGTTTAACCATACAACCGTTGCAGATAGCAAATCGCAGCTTACACAACATGTAGATACTGACGCGGAGTGACAAACGAAGTGGGAACCAGAGAAACCCGAGACCCACAGAAACTCTTTTAGAGAGTATATACACCTCGAAGTTGCATGACGAAAAAGAAAACCTTCTTGGTCCATGTGGTTTGCCGACATCTGTAAGAACACTTAGCCATGTTTGTGCTTGAAACTGCTTGGCATCAACAATTTAGTAGACATAAAGTCAAACGATTCAAAAGACAGCCTCTCTCCAGCTGGAGAGCCGGCCAACCTTTCGTAACCACACTGTAATACCCGCTTCAGTGAATCAATCAAAGTGATCTCTCACTCCAGAGCAAATTTCCTGTATCCAAGATGTGAGGGAATCATGCACCATGCAAGTCTCCACCATGGTACTCCTGAAAATCAAGTCTAACTGGACAGAAGTCACAACACCATACCACCTCGTGTCCAGAGACAAGAAAATGGAAGAGGTAACTCACAAGTTGTCACAAACCAATAAAAATCCCTCACGATTGCTGAACATGAAGCTTAGGAACAGTGAGCCAGAAATTTCTACACCTCAAAAAGTCCGTGAGCTTCAAGATCGCACGGACCTCGGTCCTCACCAAGGTTACTTCTACAAGACACTAACAATTGATGTTTTGAAAATGTTTCTGCTTCTCGAAAAATTGAATAAAAAACGCGCATTTGGGGTTTTATACATGTTCAGCATTCACATGTAGCGCTCTGAACTTGCTCAGGGTTCTAAACAATGAAAGATAAACAGAGTACGAATTATGACTACGTCAGTATATGAGAAAATCAGCGCGGGCCGTCTGCTGAGCTCTAACCCATGATCTCTTTCATCTTATTGTGTGAATATTTGCTTCCCAGATACGATGACAAGCTCCCCACGTGGAAAACAAGCTCAGAATTGAGAAAATTCAAAAATTATCCATCCTCGATAGTCCCGGAAGTCCATTGTTCACACGTTGACGTCAACCTTTGTGTCATACTTCCCTCTTTGCAAAGGCGGGTACGTTGCTTTGAGAGTGATAATGTATGTAACAAGAGTAAAATCATATTGGTGCACCTACAAATCTTGTCAGCTGGATTAGTATCTTTGTGGACACTGCCTACTGGCCATGTTACTTTATTCCTCACATCATCAAACTTACATTACTGGCGCTGGTGACACAACTGCTGCAAATTGAATCGATTTTCTGCTTTGACTGGAAAAATTTCTTTCATTTTGCTCAACCCGAAATTTCTACGCGAGATCAAGAGAAACATCCTTGCGTCCCTGCCTTCCAGACCCGCCGGGAACAATGAATTGCCGACGTTCCCAAATATAAGAAGTGTACATACGAGCAGTTTCATACCAAAATTTATGTCGATCTATTCAATTCTTCAAGTAACCGGGCATCCCTTTTCTCCATCGCTTTATCCCACATGTCAGATCCTGGGTGCTTGGGCTGTTTCAAACAACGATCAGAAATCTTTCATTGTAAACCATAATCATACTCTTCAGCAGTCATGTACAGCAGACGGGCGTAATGTAGCGAAGACGTGCATCACGTACATTCATAGCGTAATTTTACAGAAGAGATTCAATCCGCAGATATTGTCATCGTACGTGCCCATCTTCACAATTCAGATGCGAGTCCGCAACACTAACAAGACGTAGCTCTTACTACTGGGGGAAAAACTTAATCATGGAAACGAGAAGTACACAGTAAATCAAACCCTAACCAAAATCACGTCTTTAAACCAAAATCCCGAGCCCAATGCAAAAAAAGAAGGAGAACACCAAAAAGATACAAAAACCATCCGATCCATTCAGACTGATGACCGAGGCCCCGATCGAAGCAGTGCAGCCATCAAATTCAGTCCAGAAAAAAGAAACCCCCTTCCCACGCGACCACAAAGCGCTCTCTTACCCTGCCAGTTTGCAGCTTGGTGAGGAGATCTTGAGAGTTGCCCGCAACGCACAACATGACTCCGATGATGGCCAACGGAGCCAATCCCTCCCACCACGACATCTTGCCTTGCTTCTTCGCGTCCTCGAGTCCAGTCCGAAATCCTCCGACCGAGCAGAGGAGCCACAGATGCACAAACAGAGCACAGCGCGTTCCTCTCCCTCTCTCCTCCTCTTCCTCTCTTGCGACGGGACTTGTCCTGGCGACACTTTCTCTCGTGCAGCTGATGTCCACTCCTATGGCCAGTGACCGGGCCGGACGGGACCGGCCGCGACCGGACTGGCTTCGCTTTGACCTGCTTCCAGACTTTCCCGGTGCCGCGGCGAGGGTTGAGATCCAACTGCACTGCGTGCACTACTGTACTTCCGTCAGATTTGGGCGACCCCTATGTAGTTGGTCGAAGCTGCCGGAGTTGTATATATTGAGATGAATCCACTGACTGTGGTTGACGATACAGTTACATCTTCGCCTGATTCACAACATCGTGATAACTCTCTATTATATATATATATATATATATATATATATATAGTTACATTTGGGATAGCGGGGTCAAGAGGATAGAAAAGAGATGGGTAGTAGAGATACTAGTTATTCATATGTTCATTATTTGTACAAACGATGTAAAGATTGAATACTGAATAGGGCGTTTAACTTGAGGTTATATGATGCATAATCTCATCATTATGGAAGATTGTGTAGAGAAATATTGATGAAATCATTATCTTTAGAATAATTCACTCTTATAGTTTGAAGTATGATGCAACACCTCTCTTTTCTCACATCTGTGCAATTCATTGCTTTGGAAAATAATAGAACTCAGAAAAGTGATTTGTATTTTTGTTTTTAGGTATATGAGGATTCATGTTCAACCGTGTGATTTGAAGTTTCATGGCATTGTGATTCTGCATGTGGAAGTACAAACGGGATGAAGTTCTATATGTCATTACATTCTTTTTATGCCAATTTTGCTTGATTCATGTACTTATCTAGATCGTTGTGCGGTAAGACCTGTTTGATTATCCATCATTCCTCATCTCTCAAGTATACATATTCATGTGAGATATATGTCTGAATAGAATTGATTCACTCAAGAAGCCCAAGTTAGGAAGATAGCCATTTCAGTATGCAACATTTCAGTTAACATTCACCCTTTGTCAATATCTTTGTTGATCATAATAGATGCATAGATCAAAAAAAGAAAATAAATCTCACTCAAATCTTGTTTTAATTTTACATTTTTACAACTAAATGCACAATCTTGTAAAAGTCTCATATTGTGCATGAAGTTACAAGGTTTGATTTGTTGATTATTTTTAATTGAGTCAATTTGCATATAATTTGAAATAAAATTTAACTTGATTTGTTCTAAAATATATATAGTCTAGAATTATTCAAGTTGGATAACAATAAAGTAAATATATATCAAACATAACTAAAACAATACTTTTAGATTCTAAAATTTAAAATAATCATATCAAAATGTAACTTTCAATATTATATGATGTTAGTTTGATTTCAGAAATTTGCTTCATGCAACTACAAAAATTACATTTGAAAATAACATATTGCATAAAAATGACATTTGTTGAAGATTTCCACTTAATACCTAAAACTTTTTGTTCCATTATTTTGTGTGATATTTTTCCTGTTTACATAGCCACATTTAATAGGATGATTATATATACAAATTGATGAAATTTTCAAATAATGAATTGTAAGTATGTGGTCAAAGATGCAAGTACTTCATATCTGTATATGAAGTATGACTTATCAACAACTATATTTACATCAAATATTAAAATTTTTGATAATAAATTTTCGATGTATTTTAAATTATTTTTCGTTTTTTACTTCAGTTTTGCACGTTTGTTTTTTGATTAGATAATTACTGCATATTTCTTTGAATATTTCTTATTTTATTTTTTATAAAATAATTATTCATAGTAAAGACATTTTGATACTTCATTTGCAATATAAATAATGTATCATTTTTAGTTCATCAATTTATTTAAAAAATAACTTTAACTTTGTAATTAAAATCTTGGCGTGATTTAATTTAATTTATATTTTATTGGACAGTAATATATTGAAAATTTTTAATTATCAAAAATTTTGGAAAAATTAAATCAATATTTTAAAATTTAAACATTGCGGTAACTTAATTTTCATATTTTATATTTTTCATATCACTCAAGAATTTTTTGGCTTGATTAGTAAATACAAAAATTCAATTCTTCAATAAATTAGAACTTTATGACTTATCTTGATTTATTTCAACTTTAACTTGCTTTCATATATCTAGATATTTGAATGTAAAAAAACAAATTTATTTTTAAAAAATGACTTTATATTGCTTTAATTATGTGCAAAATGTAGAGTTATATGTCCATTCTAGTAAATGCATTTGAAAGCAATACAATGAATTTTCATGTACTGTAAAACTAAGATTTAGACACAATTTCACTTGCAAATGAAACATAAACTCTAAATATAAGATAATTTCAACGGTCATACTCTCATTTCTATGTATATTTTAAACACATATAAGATAAGAGATTCTACTCACCATCTAATCAACTTTTAATGAATTGATAATATGGTAGATTTAACCAATACTTATGCAAATTGTTAACGCGTTGTTCTCAACTAACACATGAATTGTTGATGTAACATTGTAGATATTATATTATCATCCACTATATTTAATCTTGAGTAATTTTTAATTCATTCTTAATCTACTAAAGATGATTGTTTGTAACTAAGAAACACTTAACAATTATGATAATTTGTTTGATAATTCATTATACAATGTCAAATCTTTACTAGACTACATTAATACACACTATGTACAATACCCAAAGTAAAATAAAATCTACAATTGAATATGTCTATTCAATTGAGTGTGGATGCATTAGTTGATGTTGATTATAGATAAGTGAAAATTTACATTTGATTATTAATTAGAAATATAATTTGCAGAAATACTCAACACAATTAATAATACAAGTTGAATATACAATGATAATAGAAACATCAAGAATTTGATTTGATATATTTATCATTAATATGAGATTGAAACATGACACTAACAATTTTTATTATGATTATTAAAATTTAATAGAAAAAAATAGATTGAATCATATTTGATGTTAAATTCAATTCAATTCATACGTCATAACAAATTATATTTTCCAATGAACATTATGTTACTATACATTAGGAGCATAAGTAAAAAATTATAAAAAAATTTATTATCTCTATATATTATTTTGGCTATGATTTAGTTTTAATGAACTCTAGTCTAAAAAGATATTTATGTTAAGTTTCTTTTGATAACTTCTCACAAATTACTTATCTAAATTAGACATTTATTGTCCCTGTCACATTGTTACTGTCAATTCATATTTATTTATCTAATGTAACTTAATCTTAAATAAGGTTATAATTTTGATATTTATTATAATGTCAAACTTGCAAAAGCTATCATCGAACACTTTGTCGAGCTTGGCTTGCGGATTTCTCCATGTCGGGCTTGTTATTTGCGAAGCTCTTCCTTGCGGAGATCCTCTTGTCGAATTTCCTCCTTGCGGAGCTCTTCCTGGCGCGCTTCTTCTTTGCGCAGCTGCTCCTGTAGAAGCTCTTCCTCCCTCTGTCGTTGAAATTGGAGCTGGATTTGCTGCAGTCGTTCCTGCTCTTTCTGGAACTGGTGCTGTCTCTGAAGCTCCTCCTCCCATTCCTTCTTCTCCAGACGTTCATTGGCCTGTATTTGCTCCAATGTGCGCGTTTCAATATCTGCGACCATCTTGCTCACTCTCACTATAGTTACAGAATTGAAAGAAGAATTTCAATTCTGTAACTGGATTGAAAGAAGACGAATGACCTACCTCGTGAGACTGTGAGAAATCCTCAAATTGCTTGCCAGCTCTTGGACTCGGGCTTTAGCTCGAACTTGAACTGGAGCTCGAACTAGAACCAGAATCACTCCTATTTCATCTAACATGGACTCTGAAAGGAGGTGACACTATTTTACTAATATTGAGCTTTTCGCTAGAACTTCTGCCGGGGCTATCTCCTCGTAAACAGCCTCGAGCCTGCTGCTCTCTCACTGACAAGTTTTCGTTACCGGAGATTCGCGAGTCTAAAGCTAAGGCCCTTCCCTCGTCTCTCGGGGGAGAGTTGCTGTCCTTGAGATCAGACATTCTATCGAAGCTTGCGTCTGCGTAGTGCCTGGTTCTAGGCTCTGAATTGGAATCGGCCTCTGATTCCATCGCTTCGGATTATTATCTATAAAGTTTTTTTGTTGTTTATGTGGACGTAGCCTGGCCATGGCAAACTGCGTATATTGTGTCGGTGTTTATATGTATGCTCTTATCGGCATTTAGGTGTGAATCTGCGTTACCTTTGTAGACTTGATGTTTTTCATTTTTGCAATAGACTTTTCCTTGGAGCTGAACAAAAGGTCAGAATCTTCACATGATTCTTCCTTATTTATCGTACAGAAATGAATGAGATCTCGCATAAGGCCAAAGTGTTTCCGCAGTTGAGCTGCTCCATATATAATGGATCAGTTAGCTCGTCCAAATTGGTTTTAAGTTTAAAACAATACTCGTAGGTGCCGTCTACCCTCTCCACAAATAGGAAGTTTGGAATAGGATCTTCAGTCTTCATACTTCCTACTTCCCATCCGCAACAAATGAAACAGATAGCAGAATTTGTTACCAGCACCCGATGCAATTTGTTATGCCTCTCCAGCCACCGACTTACAATTTTTGGAAACAATCCAACCAAACTGAGGACCTAGCAAATTGGTAAATTCTCAAATCTTATTTCATTTATAGTGAAAAGAGGCTGCTCAATCTGACAACCTCACTTGACACGATTGCGTAGTCGCTTCTTGAAGGATTTTGACGATGAAGCCTTGTCTTGCGCGAAGCCTGAAATCGTCTCACATACAGCCTCAATGTCTTACAAGACTTGAGGTCGAAAGTTCAAAATTCTTCCCGCCAAAACGAACGCCAAGTCAGAATATCAAATTGACGCTCGTCTCCGCAGCAAAGCCAAGTGTAAGTGTTGAAAGCTCTTACACCAACTGTACCAAACTTTTACGAGAAAAATCATGAATCCGCGATAAGCACTCACAACAGCAGACACACTGGAATGTCCACACTGAAACATGTGGTCAACCACATTGACCGCACTTAAATATTTAACAACATTTTACATGAGTATGATATGATTAGCTTGATCGTGTATAGTATTCTGCTCAATTATCTCTAGATATTTACTTTATGAGAACAATATGAACCTAAAGTGTTTATTGGGATACTTTAAGTTTCGTTCTACCCAATGGTATCACTCCGAAGTTACCCATCACTTATGTTCTAGTATGAATAGACGGTGCAGGTAATGGAATTGTGACAGCGAGACTGTCTCGTTGTACTCATTAAATCGTTCAAATCTACACTCAGCGCAATCAGATCCGGAAAATCATTCTTCCTCTGAGAATTTCCCATTGCTCCAAAATTTCTAAATTACGTAACACTTGAATTCACTAGTACTCCGCTTCATTCCCTGGGAATTTACTCCATAGATTTCACACGAACTTTGTTGATCACGTGGTACTTGCTTGATCCGCCATCCTCCTTGGGCCACAAAAATTATACTGGTAACCGTTGAGTCTAATTTCCGACAACTCAAAACCTCTATGCACTTGTGACAATGTTTGTCAAAGTTCACATTGTTCTGATATTTGCTCATTTATGATGTGAGCTTTAATGTATAAAAACACCTTTCAGAAGTTTACGTGCCATCAGTGGAATACCGGGTAACATTAAACTTGATGGATCATATCAAGCAATTTAGTTTACAATGGGATCCATCAAGTAAATAACTCCAATAATCTCGAACTACACACTCTGTGTAATACATGTTAATATCCTGTCTTTCTCATACATGTTAAAAACACAACTCAATGGACAAATTCAGAGAGATTTGCTTCATGAGACCCCATCAGAACGTAACTTGCTTGATGGGACCCATCAAGTTTCAATTTACCCGATGAGAATCCACCGACGGCACACCGTTGGTGAGTTCTAATACGGGTATGTTCTTGTACGAATATGTTCTAATTGATGTTTCTGCTATAGCTTCGACGAGTGCCATTGGACTTTTAACAAAATTGGATATGCTATAGCTTGCAAAATTTCCGGACCCAACCTAATTTATCAAAGCTTATGAACATTAATTTGCACTCATATTTCAAAAACAATTTGCACAAGCACATTGAATAGTAGAAATCCTTTTTGGATTTGGAAATAGTGATATGAGATAGTGCAATGCCACTTGCAGTACACCTTCCACCTGCAATAATCATCAGTTCTTTTGTCAAACCATCAAATTTACGTTCCAGTAGATCTACATTATAGCACCAGACGACCACAATCAAGAATATTTTTTTCTGTGCGCGTGAATTGCTGCAGAAAGTTTCATTCTTGAAACAAGGTGCGTTCTCAAAGATTCGATTTGACGCTGACGTGCACCGTTCAGTGGGATACTATCGGATAAATTGAAACTTGATGGACTCCATCAAGCAATTTACGTTTTGATGGGATATCATCAAGCAAATATCTTGACAAATTCATGATAAAATCAGAGCGTAACACATTTTCTACTTGCAAACATATTTTTTTTGCTGATATAATCTTTGATTCTGTGTAATATTGTCAATTTAGACATTATAATCAGAAGAGTCTTCAAACCTAATCACAATAATCAATCACTCAATAGATCTCGCTACACAATGAGATTCATAACTTTCATATCTTTCCATGAAATAGAAAAGTCAATTATATTCACTTGATTTTTAGATTTTAATCCATGAATCGATCACATTTGAATAGAAGACAACTTTCGTATTGGTTGAATACTAAATGACCTACCTAAGGGCAATCACATAGTCATTGGTGGCAAAAAAGATTGGTAAACTATGTCAAACTTACAAAGAATTAACTAAACACGTTTGCAACATTTCATCAAGACGCTTACAATATCTTGCCACCACAAAATGTAGATTGGCACTCTTTTAGCCAATTCCACATCTTTTACAACATCTACCATCTATTTACCAGTCATGAAGTCTTTGTCTTGCCGATGTTGCAGATGTGACTAGGGTATTATGTCGAGAGATACTAGTTATCCTTCACTTAACGTTAATTATCCCTCATTCTTAGAAGAGAGATATTTGATTGTTCGATGCCATGCAAGGACAGACCAAAAGGCCCTATAGTCTTCGCAGCAAAGTGAAATGGAGAAAAGTAGTGCTAAAAGTGGGAAGATTAGACTAGTATGAGGGATAATTAGCGTTAAGTGAGTGATAATATGTCTCCGTCAATACGGTACTAAATGCATGTTGTGTACAAAACAGAATACTACAATACGTACCCATGACCATGGGTACCTAATACCCATCCATACCCATGGGTAACTAGGTGGGTAATGGGTTTAGGCTAGGATGGATAGATGGGTACAAGAAATGGGTGTATAATGGATGAGTATGATTGAGACTCAGCTCTTGGATTAAGTGTAATTGGGAGTTCTCGATTAAGTGTAACCAAATACCACTGATGCACTCATGGATAATGGGTATGGAAAAGTTTTCATGGGTGAGTAATGTTGACACATTCATGGATATGGGTAAAGTTTTGAAGCTCAATGCATGTCTCCGGTACAAAATCCCCCAAATTTCTTTCTTCTCATATGCATTGCATGAGATTGACCATGCAACTCATGCATGAGATATGATCCACATTATACTTATGAATTTTAAGAGTAATCATTTTGCAATGCTGTCTAAAATATAATTCGAAGGTTTAGAAAGTCCTTTCATTAATAAGCAAACAAACTCCAGCTTTTCCTCATATTAGTCTGCTTCAGAGTAAAAAGCATACAATTTCAGTAATTTTTTGGCGATATGCAATAAATTGGCAGGTATTAATGACCAACTCATTTTGCAATGAACGCACATAAACCCTGACCGTATTCTTTTTAACCAAATAATATTTTACTATGTGGACCGCTTTCCAGAACTTGAGTATCTCAGTTATTGAACACGAAAATAGAGAAGCTCCTGTCCATGGAAGCCAAAATAGTATAACGATAAAACTGTCAACATATTAAAAAGTTTGAGGAGGGTGACAATAAGAGGGTAGAATATCTATCAACCAAAAAAATACTCTAGCTCTCCACTAAAAAATTGCATCTCGCACCATATTATTCTACAGGACGAACGTCGAGAACCATATCAATGAGAGTGGTATTCCAGCAAGTATGAGATTTGTCCACCGGTACATAGAAATGTCACCACAAGAGATTCCACGTGAAAGCGACCGTGTCTTCTACGGTCAACGTACGGGGTTTTACCCTTAGATACATACACTCCCGTATTCTCCGTGATCCTGTACAGGCATGCTCCGTTGTCTGCTCCACGTCTGCTTTCCACGGTCGTCGCGGAGACGAGAGGTGAGAACAAAAGACCTCGACGAGAACACACGTTCGCCAATCTGTCCGTCGAGCAATGAGGGACGCGGTCAATGACCGATGGACAATAAAAAAGTATACTACAGAATGTCTTCAGTTCCCTTCCCTGGGTACCGGGTCAATGATGGGGGTCAACGAGTGAAGCCTGGAGATGCCGGCCGGAATCGCCCAACAGTGATGGCAGCTCCGGTGCTTTGTGATGAGCCAGTGTCGACTGTGCTCTCTCGTTGCGAGAAGATGCCTGATTGAATTAGACTACCTACACCAGAACATCCGTCCTCGAATCCTGTGCACGGGGTCATCGTGTTAGTGTTGTGCATGAGGCTCTATTTTTATTCTTCTGGATTGAATGTTCGAACATGATTCACTGCGGTTCGGTGTCCACCCACGAATGGGCAAAAAAGATACTCGCCCGAAGGGTGAATCAGTGAAGCGCTTGCATGAAGAGCCATCGGCATCTGAATTCATCTGAATTGAAAAATGCAGATGCCGATGGCTCTTCATTATTTGTATCTGTTTTCACAGCGCTCTGCATCTCGAAGGAGTTGGCAAACAGTTGGCTCGGGTCTCTTACTTAACTTAACTCGAGGTGACATCGACTGCAATGTAAAACTGCTTGACGGATCAGCATTCACCCAAATCACAAGGCAGTTCAAGAGGGGAGTCTATTGTAAGTGACGTAACATGAATATACATCTCTTCTCCACTGCTGATATATCCA